TAAGACAACGAGAAAAAAATATAAGGATTAAAAAGGAAAACCAAAAATATCCTTACACACAGACAAAATAACTGTTTAGGAAAAGATGCAATAGAATCTGCAATTTGTTACAGTTAAATGGAGAATTTGACTGAATATAAGTTCCATATATAAAAATCCATTACTTTGATACACCTGTAAGAAACTGTTAGAAAACATTAAAAATTATTCGGTTTATAATCGCAAACATTGAAAGCAAATTTATTTTAAGAATAAGTCTTCGTGACATGGACTTCTCTGGTGGTTCAGTGGGTAAGAGTCGGCCTGCCCATGGAGGGGACACGGGTTCGATACCTGGCCTGGGAAGATTCCACATGCTGCAGAGCAACTAAGCCTGCGTGCTGAGACCATGCGCTGCAACTACTGAAGCCCTCGGGCCCTGGAGCCTGTGCTCCTTAACCAGAGAAGCCACGGCAATGAGAAGCCCAAACATCCCAATGAAGAGTAGCCCCCATTCACCGCAACTAGAGAAAGCCTGTATGCATCAAAGACACAGCACAGCCCAAAATAAATTCATTAATAAAAGAATAAGTCTACGTGCCTCAACTAGGACCCGGCACAGCCAAATAAATAAAAATATTAAAAAAAGAATAAGTCTGACAAAAGATGTGCAAGGAATTTATGAAAACTCTGAAGTTTAGAAAGAAAATTATACACTTGCTGAAAGACTTTAAGGAAAACCCAAATGAACGATAGTGTTAGGAAGACTCAATACCTATAGAAGAGAGATCTATTCCCGCCAAATTGATTTAGTGCCATCTCAATTAGAATTCCAACAGGGTTTCCCTGGAAATCCACAAACTGACTAAAATGTATTTGGAAAATCAAAGGGTCAAAAATAAAAATACCCCTGAGGAGAAAACAGGTATGGGGCTTGTCTAACAAGACAGCAACACTTAAAATTTTATTGTAATTAAGACTGGAGTTTTTGGCATAGAGATGCATGTCTGACTCTTTGTGACCCAAAGGACCGCAGCCCTTCAGGCTTCTCTGTCCATGGAATTCTCCAGGCAAGAATATTGGAGTGTGGTGCCATTTCCTTCTGCAGGGGGATCATTCCATCCCAACCCAGGGGTGGAACCTGGGTCTCTTGTTTTGCAGGCAGATTCTTTACCATCTGAGCCATGAGGGAAATATATGAACTAACATTGTTGTTTAGTCAGTGAGTCATGTCCAACTCTTTACTACCCAATGGACTGCAGCACTCCAGGCTTCCCTGTCCTCCACTATCTCCTGGAGTTTGCTCAAACTCATGTCCACTAAGTCAATGATGCCACCAACCATCTTGTCCTCTGCCACCCTCTTCTTTTACCTTCAATCTTTCCCAGCATCAGGGTCGTTTCCAGTGAGTTGGCTCTTTCAATCAGGTGGCCTAAGTATTGGAGCTTCAGCTTCAGCATTAGTTCTTCCAATGAATATTCATGATTGATTTCTTTAGAATTGACTGGTTTGATTTCCTTGCAATCCAAGTGATTCTCAAGAATCTTCTCCAGCTCCACAATTTGAAGGCATCAATTCTTCAGCGCTCAGCCTTTTTTATGGTCCAATTCTCACATCCATACATGACTAATGGAAAAATCATGGCTTTTTCTATGTGGATCTTTGTTGGCAAAGTGATGTCTCTGCTTTTTAGTACACTTTCTGGGTTTGTCATAGCTTCCCTTGCAAGAAGCAAGAATATTAACATATTAGGAATCTTTTTGACAGATACACATAGGACTCTGACAAATTACTAACAGAAATGTCTTTAGTGAGTTATTACCATAGATTTTCTATTGTAAGAAACATATTTTAAACATATATTAAGAAACTAGTTCATCAAGACTTTAGCACTACTATCTATACTATGTTTCTGTATGAAATAAACCTGTAGTTAAGTTTAAGTTGTGGGTAGCAGAGTTAAGTGAAAGGATTGCTAGGTGCCTGTGGGTAGGCACATTCTGAGGGCAATTGTTTTAAAGTTCTTTGAAGCTGTCAAAATAGAATGATACTGTCCATATAAAATATTGCCCCTTCTAGTTCCAAGCTTATCTTTCAGAAAGTACTGTTAAGAGTGATGAAAAGTAGAAAGAAGGATATTTAATTTTTCAAAATGATTATTTGCCTTCAATAGCCTATGCCTAAGAAATACAGAAAAATCTGTTGTAATAAATAACTTTCAGATAGCACATTTCAGTTAATAGTTAATGTGCTTTAGATTTAGTCTCTGAGTTGTAATTCTGTAATAAAATTTGAAGTTCTAGGCATGGAATTTGATTTAAGATATGCAAGCTCAAGACAGGCAATCCCTGTGATTTCTTTTAAAATTAGGTTATAAAGATTCAAAACAGCAAGCATTTCTATAACATGTAGTTGTCATTGCTCTATACTTCTTACATGTATGAACTAAATTAGTCCTCATAACAATCCTATGAGGATTTTCCTACTACTACTCCCACTTTATAAATGAGGAAATTGAGGCAGAGCTTAAATTACTTGGCCCCAAACCCCATGGCTAGTAGGTGGCAGAGCTATGATTCAGACCTACACAGTTTGACTGCAGAAACTGCACTTTTAATTATTAAATGAAACTGCCTCTCGCACTGATTTAATAGATTAGTGAATATGCAGATTCAAATTGCTCTGACCTTTAATTTCAATGTATCATAATGAGCTACTAGCAGATTAATTACAGTGACTAGCACAAACATAAAGAATATAGCACAGTCAAATTCATGATCACACAGAAGTAAAAGGAAAAAGTTTGCTAACCATTCAGCACTGATATTTCCTGTTATTTTCAAATTTTTTCTCTTTTCCCTTTCTAAAATGCCCGCTAAAAAAAAAAAAAAAAAAGCCCACTAAGATTGCAAGTACCACAGGGATGGGATCCACCTTTCTGGTCTGTTTTATCCATAACAATCTCTACATCTAGCATGGTGCCTGGTACCTAGTGGGTCCTCAAATATTTGACCAACTGCAGATTCAGGGGCCTCAAGGAATGTTCCTCAAGAGGCTGTTTACTTGCTTTGCTATTTTTGGTTCTTTTTAAGATTACAGAAGACCATCACAAATTCTCATTGCTAAAGATTAAAAAACATGTAGGTAGACACAATAAAACTTGAAAATTCACTTTCTAAGCACCAATACCAGAGAAGGCAATGGCACCCCACTCCAGTACTCTTGCCTGGAAAATCCCATGGATGGAGGAGCCTGGTGGGCTGCAGTCCATGGGGTCATGAAGAGTCGGACATGACTGAGCAACTTCACTTTCACTTTTCACTTTCATGCATTGGAGAAGAAAATGGCAACCCACTCCAGTGTTCTTGCCTGGAGAATCCCAGGGACAGCGGAGCCTGGTGGACTGCCATCTATGGAGTCGCACAGAGTCGGACATGACTGAAGTGATTTAGCAGCAGCAGCAAGCACCAATACATACTCTTTTCCAGTTGACCACTGTCCTGTGTAGTGATTTCTCTTTATATGCATTTAATGCACATATGCCAGTACAGGTTTACATGAAAACACAAATGTAACCACAAACACACATTTTCCTGCAACTACCTCCTGTTACTTTCTCATGTCTCTATAAATATACTCCATGTCTTTAAACAGTTATCTAGTATTTCACAGTACATATTCAACTTTGTGTAATTACTCCCCAGGGATGGACATGCACAGGGTTTTTTACTAGTATCTACTGAAAACCACGCAGCAATGAACACTGTTGTGCAAATACATGTGGACATGTAGCATTACTGAGTAATGCAGATTCCTGCTCACTGAAAAGCCTGTTAGCAGGTAGGCACAGGTAGCTCCTTGGACAGCAAGGAGATCAAACCAGTCAATCTTAAGGAAAATCAACACTGAATACTGGTTGGAAAGACTGATGCTGAAGCTGAAACTCTCGTATTTCGGTCTTCTGATGCCAAGAGCTGACTCACTGGATCAGTCCCTGAAGCAGGGAAAGACCGAGGGCAGAAGAAGAGGGCTCAGAGAATGAGATGGCTGGATGGCCTCACTGATGCAACAGACATGATGAACATGGGCAAACTTCAGCAGATGGTGAGGGCCAGAGAGGCCTGGAGGGCTGCAGTCCATGGGGTCTCAAAGAGTTGGACATGACTGCACAACTGGACACAACAGATAGCCACTTAAACTGCGCTTCTTCCCCTCTGGCTTTGTAAGAAGAGGTATGAATAGAGCCAGGGCCTCCCGGGCGGCTCAGTGGTCAAAGGATCCACCTGCCAATGCAGGAGATGCCGGTTCAGTCCCTGGGTCAGGAAGATCCCCTGGTGGGCTATGGTCCATAGGGTAGAAGAGAGTCGGACATGACTGAGCACGAAGCACGAAAGGTGAAGAGAGCTGATGAGTGCAAGATAAGCAGAGTAGTAAAATTCCTCACTTAAATGGGTTCCTAAAGTAACTCCTCTTGCACACCGTTTTTGGTTTTTCCCTTCAAGAACAACCCGCATAGGGAGTGCAGAGCAAGAGCGGCAAGAGCTCGAACGTTGGCGACCGGGAAGTCGTTGGCTAAACGAGCTTGTGGTATCAAGTCCCTGGGACGGCGATGTCCTAGTGACCACGCCTTCCCATTAAGCTCTCACCCCATCAATTTTGCCCTCTTTAGGCTAGAATGAGGAAGCAACTCTTCTAGTACTAAAAAGTTCCTGGAGACCGCAGGGCTAAACTGAAGGTATAGAGATGTGGCGTGAGAAATGAACTGATGGTTGCGACGCCCAAGTAGGAAGCCGGGGACCTCTAAAGGACCGCCGCCACGGCTGTGACGGCCTCCTTCGGCCCCCGCGGAGGACTCGGTTTCCCAGCGGCCCCCGCGGCCCGCAGGGGCGTCTAGCCCAGCCGGCCCTCGCGAGCGGGGGCGGGGCCGAATCCGGAAGTCACGTGCTGCTACAGCCGCCGGGGTGAGGCCGCCGTCTTAGCCAAGGCTGGTTTGGGCTGTGACTGTGGGAGGCGCCGGGGTGATGGCGGTGGAGACTCTGTCCCCGGACTGGGAGTTCGACCGCGTAGACGATGGCTCACAGAGTAAGGGAGCGGCAGGGCGCGGGCTGCGGGTGAACGCTCATCGGCCCGCCGCCGTCCGGGCAGCGCTCCTGCGGGAGGGCTTTGCGATGCGGTGGGCGCGCAGCTTTCTGTGCCTTGGGGTGTGAGAGGGACGGGCTCGCGAGCCTAACTTTCGGGGTCGGGAGCCCCAGGGATGGTGGGTGAGGCAGGCCGGACCAGGGCTTGGCGTATGGGGCTGTGACTGTCCTGCGGAGCGCGCCGTGGCCCGGGGGGCGCGGCGTGTCCACTTGGAGCAGCCGGGGCCCCGGGCAGGGCGCCCCCGGGGAGGTCCGCATCCTGGGGAGCGGGGGCGGCCTGGTCCCTGGTCTCCTGGGACTTTCGCCAGATCCTTCGAGCGTGCAGTTTTAGGTGAGGTTGAGGTCCAGGTTCCTGTTTCGGTTTCCTGTTTTTCTTCTTTTTCCTCCCAAACCAACTTTGGGAAGTTTTGAGTGTTTTTGCCTTCATATTCTTAGAACTGTAGAAGGTAGCGAAAAAGAACTCACGCGTGAAAAATAAACACGTGAATGTCAATTTATTACCTTACATGTCTTTTATTTATGTTTAGTGGTATTTTTCAAAAGTGATGCCCTGTGGTTTCCAGCGCACCTAGAAAGGTTTTGGAAATTAACAGCATATCTCCTGCAGATTTTACTTCATAAAATTTGATTGTCTCATTTTAATTTAGAAGTCCAACCCCCAAAACCTAACAAATTCAGTTCCACGTAGCAAAATTTAGAGGTCAAGCTATTTCACTGAAACTACTTAAAATGAATACAAATTGGAAATCTGTGTCTTATCTTTGGTAACATGAATCTGTATAGGTGATTTAAATAAGAGATATTAGGCCTTAACTGCTTTGTGAATTTGTTTATGTAGTTTTCTCAAAAGGTGTAGTTTTTAAAAATTACGTGTAAATTTTGCTTAATTTTTACAGAGACAGACACATTAGATGTAACTAGGTTTTATTAGCCTGTCAAAAGGGTGAGTTTAATTCAGGAGGGTTAGCAGTTTCTCACAAAACTTTCCGTAAGTTACTAGCTCTTACACAGCATGAAGAAACAATCCTGGTGGTAGTGACAGGATCTTTCAACTTGTTTGTGGAGAGGAGGTCTGTCTTCCTTAAAAGTGAACTGCACCTTGTCACGTATGAACTTTTATGGATAGAGACTCCTTACTCTGTATCTGTGAAAAATTTGATAAAAAAAGGAATTCAGTCTCTTGGAAGTGATAAGCATGTTAATAGGTTTTTGGAATTTAATTCTTGAAGAATCACTATAGAGTTCTTATTTTAACTTTTACCAACTTAAAAACTTACCAGCAAGGAACTTTAATGTTATTACAGGTTTTCTCTTGCCTGCTACTTTAATTTCCAAGCAGACTAAATGAATAGTTCATTGGCATGTTTTTGTAGCTTTGTCATTAAGAAGTCATTTGCTGGTTAAATGCAGCTTTGGTCATTTCCCTTGTAACTGAAAATTAGACAGATACTTGGGATTTTGAGAGTCTTACACAGTTTTTAAAATTTAAGCTGTAAGGAAGGGAAGAGCTCTCTTCTCTGGGCCTGGTTTTCATTAATTTTTGGAATATGAATCATTTATATTGTTTTTCAGAATTGCCTAAATTAACGCTATAAAGAAGCAGGAACCTTAATTACATGGATCCACCTGATTTCAGGCATTAAGTTAATTAAATGAATCCACCTGGTTCCGAACATTAGTTGCAAAATAGGGGAGAATGTGAAGCTAGGTCTTCAGTGAATTAGAACATACTTATAGTTGCTTTGCATTGCCAATTTGAGGAGAGGGAAGTTTTACTTTTTTAAGAAGTCTGCAATTGAATAAAGTAATTCACATCAGTAAGAGAATCTGAGTTGGAGTTGCATTTGCTCCCTTTGGAGTAAGTAATGAGATAATGTCTGGTGCTGAGTCACTTCAGTCCTGTCCCACTCTTTGTGACCCTGTGGACTGTAGCCCGCCAGGCTCCTCTGTCCATGGGATTCTCCAGGCAAGAATACTGGAGTGGGTTGCTATGCCCTCCTCCAGGGGATCTTTCAAAACCAACATCTCTTTCATCTCCTGCATTGACAAGCAGTTTCTTTACCACTAATTATGATGAGTAGGGAAACTTTTTTGTCCAGTTTATTCCAGTGACTTCTAGAATCCTGTCTTAATGTGTTAAGTCTGTAAATATCAACACAATGTTCTGTACTCAGTGTCCTTTACTGGCTTTTCCAATTCTATTATGATAATTAAAACAGTATATCTTGGGGCATTATAAATATAAAATTAGCAATATAAATGGGGCATTACAGAAATAATATGATGAAGCAGATCTAAAATCATTTCAAAAACAATATTTAGGTGTATTTTTAGGCATAGCTTACTGTGTAATTAAGCATTACAGTTAAAAATTTTGCTTCTATGACAGCTCAGATTTTTGCACCTAAATCAGGTTTTTTGCACAAAATAGTTGTTTACAATTAAAATATAGAATTAGGACATTGAGTTGTCTTAAGGCATTTTCAGATTGTTTAGATTATAGGGTAAATGGAATAGTGACTTTTTCATAATACTTTAAAGTTATGGTTTTAAGATGATTTCTTAAAGTACCATCTACTGTATGTACAATTGTTGTTCTACTTGGAAAAGATAGAAAGTTCAATTACTGTTTAACTTTAGAACTTTATTTTCAAGAAGTGCAGACATTCCAAGGTGATACATTAACAATGCTTAGTATCTACTTTTCTGTGACTTTTGAGAATATTTGAAGTAAATGTCTTATAATTCATTACTTCTCACAAACTTCTCAAATTTATATTTAGAAATTCATGCTGAAGTCCAGCTTAAGAATTATGGGAAATTTCTTGAGGAGTATACCTCTCAATTGAGAAGAATTGAGGATGCACTGGATGACTCAATTGGAGATGTTTGGGATTTCAATCTTGATCCTATAGCATTAAAGGTTGGAATTTGTTTATTTTTAATTTATGTATACATTTTCAGAATATATATGCCTTGAAAACAGTGTTCAAAAATGCGGTGTATATATTTTTTGGGATCTAGAAAGCTAAAAAAAAGCTTGGAAAAACATAGTTAATTTCCTTTTCTCTAAGCCATGCATGTGTTTTTTTTTTAAAGAATGACCAACTCGAGTCTTTGAGCTGACTTTAGTCTTTCATTATCAAGAAAATGAAGAGGGTTGGAATAGCATATTCAGGCTTTGTTTTCTTATTGAGACTATTTTACATACAGAAAAGTGCGTAGATTTAAAATATACCGTTCAGTGAATTTTACCAAACACCTATCCCCTTGTAACTCATATCCCAGTTAAGATAAAGAATATTTCCATGATTTTTCAAAAGGTCCTTTATGCTATTTAGGGGCTCTTAATATGGAAGTTTTTTTTTTAATTATAGAAAATAAACTGCTCTGTTCTATTTTGAGGTTGTTCTATTTTGTTTCATCTTTGAAACTGTAGCCTCTTACTACTTAAATAGTAACATTTTTGAGCATTTATTATATACTAGACATAAATGTGCTAGACATATACGTCCTAAGGCACCAGTGTTGACTTTTTTAATAGCAGCGTTCCTGAGATGTAATTTATGTATACATACAAGTGTATCCATAGACTTGTGCCACAGTCGATTTTAGAACATTTTCACCACTCCAGAAAGAAACCCTGTACCTGTTAGCAGTCCCCATCTGCTGTGGGCCGGGTGCTGAGTACAGGGTCTCACACAACTTTCAGTAAAATAGAGCTAGTCTCAATTGTGTATTCAGAATTTTAATGATTTTTTTCAAATTAAAAAGGAATTTATTTTCCTTTGTTTCTATAGCTTTTGCCTTATGAACAGTCTTCCCTTTTGGAACTCATCAAGACTGAAAACAAGGTACAGATTCCTAAACCTAAAAATCTATTTTTAAAAAATGCTTTAATTATCTTCTATAATTTACTTCTTTCCTTTTGTATTTTTCCTCGTGAAACTAGGTCCTAAACAAAGTCATCACTGTTTATGCTGCACTTTGTTGTGAAATCAAGAAATTAAAATATGAGGTAATTATTTGTACTCTTTAAGAGATTAAAAACATGATTTAAAAGCAAATATGAAAAAAGCAAATATGTGTTTATATGTGTAAGTGTGCACAAATATTTCATGAATATTGGATGAGCTATATATTTATTTTAGCAATACTAATGAGACCATTCACTCAGTACTATTTACCAAACACCATGCTAACCCTCTTAACAGTAATAACCACTCAGGGAGGTACGTGAGGAATGGATGAGAAAATTGAAGCTTAAAGAGGGTGTCACTCATCTAACACTTTATTGGTAGTAACGGTTTGAGTCTGGGCCTGCATTCCTTCTGTATTACTTGTCATATACACTGGGTCTTCTGGATATAACTGATTTTTTAAAAAAGGTTTGAATTTTTAATGTTTTGCGTTTCCTCACCCATGAGCCTTTGAAACTGGTAGATGGTAAACTTCATCTTCTTTACATTTTTTTTGTTTTGTTTTTTACATTTTTGATACTACATGGTTGCTTTCTTTCATGAACTTAGGAGAGGAGGTTGGACAGTTAAGAGTGGTCAGATAAAGGCTAAAGAAATAACTTTGAGTATCAGTAATATCTTTGGTATTCTAAAGATAAATTGAATTTACCTATATTATAAGCAGTTTTTGAAGTTAAGTAAATTTGTATGTTTGATGTAGTTATCTGTGTATTATTAAATAGGGATAATGAAGAGAGCCTAGGAATTTAAAAAAAAATAGCAACCTTTAAAATTATTTTAATTTTTTTAAACAGGCTGAAACTAAGTTTTACAATGGTCTCTTGTTTTATGGAGAAGGAGGTAAGTTTTAAAATTTCACATTGTAATGTTGTGGTGCCTTTTTTGAGATTGAAATAAACAGAAAGTTAACTGACAGTTCTAGGACTGTTATGATCATGTAAAGTGTTAATTTGAGCAGTGAACAGTCACATTTTTTGTTGGTTTATGTTTTTGTTTAGTAAACAGATGAAAACCTCAGTAAATAAGTGGCAGCAAATTCTGTATAAAATTGATTCGTGAATATTTTTATAAATGATAAAGCACAATAGCTGGATGAGGATTTTCCTTGAATTCACTAAATAGTGGGACAGATGGTTGCTTTTAATTGTGTGATTAATGATTGTTTCATTTTTCTCTTTAGTGTAAAATTCTATTTTTCATACTGTGCAGATTAGAAGATGTCCTAATGAATAAAAATTATTTTCCTTTTTTGGTGTTGATTTACTTTAAGATAAAAACTTGAAATATTCATGTTGCCTTTTAAAGCTACAGATTCCAGCATGGTGGAAGGTGATTGTCAAATTCAAATGGGGAGATTTATTTCATTCTTACAGGTAAGTGGTTTTTACTTTTTATTGAGTTTTTTTTTTTTTTCCTCCCAAAGAAGTTTGAGTAAATCATGTAATCAGAAAAGAGTCCTGAAATGTCAAATGCTAAGAAATTGTACTCTGAGGGTAAGGCACTTCGTTGGCATTGGATTATATTTAAGGAGATTGTAATTCCTGAAAGATTTTCATAGCATTTTTAGTGACATAGCTATCTAAATAAGTTTCTTTGTATACTTTCATTTATGGACAGTTTATCACCATGCCTCTTAAAACAATTTTAAACTTTGTACCTGGTAGGAAAAGATCATTTATGTTAGAAAAAGTGGTTAATGGAGCTCATTAAGCTATTATATGGACAAGGATGAAGTTTTAAAAGCAGCAGCATATGATGCTTTTAACCAGATGTTTCAATTTAGATGTACTTTTCATTACTGTAAAGTTTTATTTTACAGTGTAAAGTTATTCTAGGTCTTTTGGTTTATCAAAAGAATGAAATTAGTTCTGTTTCTCCCCTCCCTATTGTAAAAGCAGTGCTTATATGACAAAAGCAAAAACTGGAAATGAGGAAACGGTAGCCATAATCCCACTTACTTCTGACTGTTGGATATAAGATTTGATACATTTCATTGAATCAAGCATGCTGATATGTTCAAATCCTTTATATCTTTACTGCTTTGTTTTGGTCTTCTCACCTAATTGAGAGCATTTTGTTGCAGTTGTCCTTTATGATGGTATGTGTCAGTCAGGGTTCAATCCAAAAGCAAGTATCACACAGGATATTTGAAAAGGGGAGATTTACAAGAGCTACCATTTGGTCCAGCAGTACCATTCTTGGGCATATATTCTGAAAAGATGAAAACTCTTAATTTGAAAAGTTAACGTGCACCCCAATAATACAACAGTTTATAGTAGCGGAGACATGGCCGCAACCTAAGTGCCTGTCGACAGATGAATGGATAGAGAAGATGTGGTGTATACATACACAGTGGAATATTACTCAGCCACAGAGAAGCAATGTCATTTGTAGCAACACGGCTGGACCTAGAGGTTATCATACCATAAGTGAAGGTAGAGAAAGACAAATGTATCGCTTATGTGTGGGATCTAAAAATAATACAAGTAACATGTTTACAAAACTGAAACAGACTCACAGAGAAAACAAGCTATGGTCACCATAGGGGAAAGTTGGGGAGAGGGATAAATTAGGAGTATGGGATTAACAGGTACACACTACTATATGCAAAATAGGTAAACAGCAGTGATTCACCACATAGCACAGAGAACTGTACTCAATTTTTTTTATTGAGCTATAATGGAAACTCATCTGAGAAAAAATTACAGTTGAATCACTTTGCATCACTTTGCTGTACACCTGAAACTGTATTTACAATACCATATTGTAAATAACTGTATTCAATTAAAGAAAAAAGGAATTTATATTAAATCTAGAGAATTGGTTACATAAGAATTGGAGGGCTGAAAGAAAAAGCAGATAAGCCAGAGGACGCATCCCCTCTACATCTAGGGTAAAAAAGGAGAAAGGGTCAGGTTGTTAGACTGAGAGCTAGGAGGAGGAGCTCCAGGGGACTAGTAGTATTATCACAGCTCTGAGGAGTCAGTGCAGCCTGGCTGTGCTGGTAGAGTTTAAGATTGAATATTGCTTCTGTAGTGCTGAGGGGCAGGTTGTCATTGCTGGGTTGAACTGCTCCTGCCTGGATTATGTTGATAAAAACTGCAAGAAATGGAAAGGACGTCCCTTGCCTGCCTTTTAAGTCTCCTTTTAGTGCCACCTGTTGACAGAACCTAACAGGAAGCCTGCTGGGCTGGGATCTGAGAAATGTTGATTTGCAGGGTTGACATGAAGCTGTCAGTTTCGCCATCTGGTTTTGTCAAATCTTGCATTTCTTATTTTGAGGACGTTTTATTTGGTGCTTATGAGTTTAGAATTGTTAATAATTCCCAGTAAATTGAATTGTTTATTGTGTGATGACCCTCTTAAACTGTGATAATAATTATGTATATATATATAATTACATATATATTAATTAGCTATACTGATGCTAATAAAAATCTATTTGATATTACTATCACTGCCCCAGCTCTACTTTAGTTAGCATTTTCTTTTTTTTAAATTCTTTTTTATTCTTTCATCCTTTCAGTGTCATTATGTTTCAGTTGTGTTTCTCTAAAACTGGGTCTGTTTGGATTTTGCTTTTTCATATGATCTGAAAATTTCTGTTTTAATTGGTTCTTTTTCTGTCTTTTATAGATAGTCTTTTATGTATCAGAACTCGTTTCTGCCTTTTGCTTTGTGCTGTTTGTCCTGCATTTTCTAGTCTTTGCTTTGCTTTTATTATAGAAGTTTAATAAGAGATATATAACTGGAGCTGTTTAAATAAAGTTGAAATGCATTATTTTCACTTTTAAAAATTTAAATTGTGGATCTCACAGTTGCATGTAATTTCATTTTATACAGTCGACAAATGTTCTGGGAGCCTGGCATATGTTAGAAACTGTCATTGCTGCTTGGGATACAGCAGTGCACAAAACCGACAAATTCTGCCCAAAGAGGGCTTATTTTTAGAACAGCCATAAATTTAATTAGATTCTAAATACTTTAGGATAGGTGTGAGTTAACTAATGACAAACACACTCCTGGGATAATCTGTATTTCACTTAATGTGTGCCAAGCCTGTTAATAGGTAGGGTTAAAGGTTATAAACATTTGAAGTTATTTCAGAGTGATTTCTGAAGACCCTTTCCCTTCCCTTTCTAAACTGGCAGCTTTTGAGCTTTGTTCATTCAGATGTCCATTTAATAGGCAGAAATTGAAAATCAGTTGAAGATTAGCCACCTTACTGGGCAGTGGCTATTCAAAGAAGGAGTAAGACAGTCTCTGTCACTTAGGAATTATATGAGCAGACTTAAATACTTAAATAAGACTTAAATAAGCAAGACTTAAAATACAGGAATGAATGAAATGCTATGGAGGCAAAGAGGTAGAAATGACTGTGGGAGGTAAATGAAGAACTGATTGCTTGAAGGATGCTTGCAGTTGTCTTACTGCAGATTAACTGGAGATTTTTACTGGAAAACACTATTGTTTATGTTTAGCATTGTTAACATAAAACTCAGTCAGAAATGATGACATTTACTCAACTTGTAACATATACTCAACTTGTCATTTCAGGAACTGTCTTGTTTTGTTACGAGGTGCTATGAAGTGGTGATGAATGTAGTCCATCAGTTGGCTGCCCTGTATATCAGTAACAAGTAATGGATTTTTAAAATCATTTTGCATTTTTGATAGAGATGCAGGGAATGTTTTTTCTTAAACTAGCTAAATATCTAAAAGTTTTTTGTGTGTTTACTCACTTATTCACTCATTCCTTCATTCACTTATTCAGCTTTCTTTGAACACTCATGATGTTTTAAAACACTCCTTGTTGTGTGTAATGCAGAGGTTAGTAAGACAGTTTATACCCTGCTGCAGGAACCCATTATCTGTCTGAATGAGAATGTTGACAGGATAATGTTTAATTGTAGAGAAAAGGGCTAATATAGAATGTACTGAGTTCTCTTTACTTATTGCTGTCAAAGTGAAGTTTTCTTGGCTCATTAGAATCGTGTAACACCTAAACTATTGAATCTTAGGGAGAGAGGACTAGATAATCTATATTAGATAATCTATACTATATAATCTATACTTCTAATCTTCCAAGTTTGGATATCATTGCCCTAAATCAAGAAAAATGATCGAATTGTCTTAGTTAGTATTCCTAACCACCACAGAGTAATACCTGGCATTTGATTAAAACTTTATACTTAATTTTTCCCACTCAATTACAATCTTAATCACTAGATGTATGATTAGGGGTTCTCAGTTGTGAGAAGAGAGATAACTGAGGCCCAAAGGAAGGATTTGCCAGGATTCCATAGCCATTTCAGTCTGGTCCTTTGGGTCACCAGTCCGTACACTGTTCCTCCTCTGCCATGCTGCATCTTAACTCTCTTTATAAAGTGGAAGAGTGTGTTGTTTCTCAGCCTCGTGTTTTTCTGCTCTGTCAGATATTTATTTTATGTTCTGTGTTCTCACTAAAGTTCTTCTCGTGGCAGAAGGGAATGAGAGCATAGCTACCCCAACCCCTATAGAACCTGGTGTGTGATTCAAAGAGACCCTTCTCTACCACACCCCGGTCCTAGAAAGATGAAAGTTATTTGAATTTTGTGTTTAATTTTTAAAGTATTCTATCTTGCTGAATATTTATATGTGCTTTAGTATATAAGTATTAATTTATTTATTGTTGAGTAGGTTGACTCTCTGGGAAGTAAAATGGAATTATCCTGGGGCTTTGACTTTGGTATAATCCCATTTATATGCATTGTTTTCTCAGTAGGAATGAAAACTCTAGAAATAAATTCAACTGAAGAGAGGACTAGTTTCCAAATGCCAGTTTGGGTAGGATAGTAAAGATTCTAGTTGAAAATTGAGAAATTCTAATAGTTTAGAAATAAATGAATATCAGTTTCGTTACTTCTCTGCTTCATCCCAAGCTAGATGGGCCACATATTGACGTATACCGAGTTGGGTATAGGCACGGAGAGTAACATTAATTCTCTTCTTGGGAGTGGACTATGATAGTAAACTTGTGTTGCATAAATTTTAGTGACTAAAGCCTAAATAAAAGTAAATACATTTTTAAATTCCAAGAGATGTTTTCCTTAAAATAAACATGAACTGTGACCAAAAAATGAGGTTTTCTTTTAAACTTGGATGTTATTATATTACAGGATTGCACCCAAAATTATAGAAACAACTGGAGTTCATTTTCAGGTAAAAGTAATTTAACTTGTAAAACAATAATTTTTAGTATATTTTACTTTGGCATTTATATGATTGGGGAGTACTACACTTATTGCAAGGCTCTTAAAGGATTTCTTTCTTTCTTTTGCATTTGTTCTCTCATCTGTGAACTTGATGAGGCGTTATTGACCCACTGTCAGTGTAACTCTTCCTAGTACTGGCCCAGTGCAGACTCTCGAAGTCAGTGGTCCCCAACCTTTTTGGCACTAGGGGCCCACTTTTTTGGAAGACAGTTTTCCACAGACCACAGGAGTGGGGGAAGGGGGGTGAAGGGATGGTTTTGGGATGATCCAAGCACATTACATTTACTGTGCACTTTATTATTATTAAATCAGCTCCGTCTCCGATCATCAGGCATTAGATCCTGAAGGTTGGGGACCCCTGCTCTAAGTGGTCTGAGAGAATCTACAGTATCGTGATTAAGGATGAAATTTGGGTGAAGGGTTTTCGAATTTTAGGCTGACTGTTCCATCTTGAGGATTAGTAGTTTCATCTGTAGCTTAACTTACCCACTGCTTTAAGTTAGTAATTATCCCAAGTGTGTTTAACTTTAAAATCCACATGAAAAAAAAAAATAAAATCCACATGAAGCTTAACTTCTAACTAGTGATTAAATGGTAATCATTAAAGGTTTTTTGACAGACTATGTATGAGCACTTGGGAGAGCTGCTAACAGTTTTGCTAACTCTGGATGAAATTATTGATAATCACATCACGTTAAAAGAACACTGGACTATGTACAAAAGGTGAGCAACCAAAATGCTTAAAATACTCTCTTTGTACAGTTAATGTATTCCTAAAAAGTAAATAGTGCAGATCCTTTAAGAGACCTGAAGATATATATTTAGAAGGATCTTATTTCAGATATTCTTTGAAGACAGTAACCATTCTTTCAATTGCAGATGGACTTCTTGAGAGTATGATATACTTGTATAAAGCATCCTAATTCTTAAAGTATAGTGAATGTTAATTTGACTATTTTAGGACCCAGGTTTATTTTTCTTGTTCTATACAAGTAACAGTTATTTATTCTCAGTTTGGTTTTGTTTTGTACTCCAAACTTTTTAAAGTGAAGGCATTTTATTCAGTCTATTAAGTATTCACTTTTATCTAGAGAATACCAGGTATCTGAATTGAAGATGATATAAAAAGGTATGTGATTAGAAATTTAAATATATTAGGATTATTTTTGTTCAAATTTTCAAATGTATCAAGCCAAATAAATAATGACAAATATAGAACTTTGATTTTGGGAGATATTTTTAATATAAGAATTTATTGGCAAATTGAAGGTCTTTCTCCTACTTTTCTACAAGGTTACTGAAATCTGTCCATCACAATCCTTCGAAGTTTGGAATTCAGGAGGAAAAGCTAAAGCCATTTGAAAAGTTCTTGCTGAAACTAGAAGGGCAGTTACTTGATGGAATGATATTTCAGGTAAGAGCTGTATCAGACTGTAATAAATGAGCTTCTATTAGTAGACCCAGCTCAGAATTATAGTGGGGCACTTTTATAACACATTGTTGTGACTGTATTTTTCTTTAAAAGTGCTTAAGCTTGAAACATTGATTATGTTGTAAGATATAATTATGTCAGTATCTAGTAGCTAATGAAATTAATAGTATACTGGTTGTACTTGGGATAAAGTTTTTTTTTAATTATGTAAAGGGATAGAACTGTTCGAGGATTAGTATATAAACAGTTGTGTCAGTGTTTTTTTGTTGTTAATCTCTAGATTTTAGGTTTGTGAAACAGCCTCTTAAAAGTCTGTTTTATTTCTTCCTACCCAGGGAATATAATTTGTATCTATACAATTCTGGTAGCTTCTAACTGCATGTGGCTATTTAAATTTAAATTAAAATAAATCACCCTCTGCCATACTAGCAGCATTTCAAATGCCTAATAGCCACATGTATTATAGTTGTCACACTTGTGTGTGCTCGGTCGTGTCTGACACTTTGCAACCCCATAGACTATAGCCCTCCAGGCTTCTGTGTCCATGAATCCAGGCAAGAATACTGGAGTGGGTTGCTGTTTCCTTCTCCAGGGGATCTTCCCGACTCAGGGATCAAACTCAACAACTGCTGCATTGGCAGGCAGATACTTTGTTACTGAACCACAGGGAAGCCCTCACACTGTAAACTTAACATATGTTACATACTGGTGGTATCTCAGTAAAATGGCGGGGGGGAAAGTCAGCTGTGGCTAACAGTCATACCAGTCAGCACATATATAAAACATTTCCATCATCACGGTAAGTTTTGTGAGATGACACTGATTTGGTAGTATTCACCAGAAGTTGCATTACAATACACCCTTGAACAGCATGGGTTTGAACTCCATGGGTCCACTTGTATATGGATAGTTTTCAGTAGTAAACGCTCTAGTATTACATGGTCCATGGTTGGTTGACTCCCAAGTGTGGAGAGGAACTGTGGATACAGAGGGCTAGTAATAAGTTATATGTGATCTAACCCCCACGTGTTCAAGGGTCAAATGTATATTCCATTTAAAATCTGTTTCAGGGTTACCTTTAATTTACATTTTAGATGGTCACAATTTTTACAGAATGATCACAGCTCTTCTTTATACCAATTTAACTACTAATCCATTAATTTCAGAAGAATTTTTTTGTTGATTCTTTTTCTAGGAGCCATTTCTACACATGATGTAATAAAGTGATAGGAGAGTAATTGTAACCAGAAAAAATAGTCTCTTCTTAAAAGTGTAAATTAAAATAATAAAACATGCTTTCCCATGCTTCATCAGATATACCTTTTGTACATCACCAAGCACCACTGTGTCCCTTCATGTAGGATTATAGATTTTCAGTTCAGTTTTATTACTTTCACATAACTGATGCTCTAATATATAAGTATATATACATTTCCCATTCAGAAAGATTTAGATATTGGATTAGATTAAAAACTTGAGCCTCAGTGTTAGTAAAATTAAAAATGATGAATATAGGATTTTATCATTCTATATTTAATTGTTTCATAGCATATTAAGTCATAATAACTTATGAGAGTCTAAATTTCTCTAAATGTTTTCTTTGTAGGCCTGTATAGAACAGCAGTTTGATTCTCTCAATGGAGGAGTATCTGTGTCAAAAAATAGCACTTTTGCTGAAGAATTTGCACATAGTATTCGCTCAATTTTTGCAAATGTAGAAGCCAGACTTGGTAATGTAAAATGCATTTTTTGGTTTTTGTTTGTAAGGTTTTCATTTCCTTTAAAGCAGAACTTTAAGTACACTCTTGTTTTTCTCTCATGATGTTGTTTTATAAGGCGAACCTTCTGAAATTGATCAGAGAGACAAGTATGTGGGAGTTTGTGGACTCTTTGTATTGCACTTTCAAATTTTTCGAACCGTTGATAAAAAGTTTTACAAGTCTTTATTGGACATTTGTAAGAAGGTAAGAATTTGTAACTTCTGTTTTTTTCAATTTGAATAGATGGAAAAGATTTTGGATAAAACTAGATATTTTAAAATGTGTTTTATTCCTGCTTACAAAAAGTGATAATTTTGTAATAATAGTTACAAAACTAATAGCATAATATTCATTTAAAAAACTAAGCTATCCAGAAATGAGTAACATTGTACATGAAAATACCCCGTAATTCCACATCCTATAAATACAGATTCGTAGGTGCTTTTCCGGATCTTTCCCTATGCATGAACTTCCTATAACTATTAATACTTTTTTCTCTTCTTTTTCTTTTCCTTCTTTTTGTCATTCATTCCCATTACTGAAGTAGGAAAAATATGAAATAATTTTTTTTTCTGTCTTTGCTGTTTCCATGGTGTGGCGCCTGATTTCAGAGTTGAAAATTTAAATAATGTGTAGAATCAAGTATAGTGACCATGAGAACCGAGCCATCTTGGATATGTATTTTGCATTTTTTCACTAATATAAAGTGAAAGTAAAGGTCGTAACAATTCAAGTTTCTGTTCAATTTTTACATATTTTTGTTCATCTGAAAATCCATGAGTGTGTTTAAGTGTGTGTGCACATGCATGTGTATGTTGTTTAATATTTAGGCAGAATAAAATTAATGTCATGCTCCACACCAGATACAGGAATGCCTTGCCATGAAGTTTGTGCCATGTTAACATAATTTTTCATATTAATGATTATCTTTTTATCATTATTTTTCTTGAAATAAGTGGTCTTCCATCGCCTGTTGTTGGACTGTTAAACAGTTCATTCTTTAGCCTGCATTTAGTGATTTCCCCCTTTGTTATGTTTCCTGTTTCAGGTACCAGCCATCACTCTAACTGCTAATATTATTTGGTTTCCTGATAATTTTTTGATCCAGAAAATACCAGCAGCTGCCAAACTTCTGGACAAAAAAAGTCTTCAGGCCATTAAAATACACAGAGAGACTTTCCTGCAGCAGAAAGCTCAGTCACTTACCAAGTAGGTTTTATAAGTACCCATAATGAAAATACTTAGATATTTTATATTTCAACTCTTACACTGATTCTGAATATATGGAAAGCATTTGAATTAGAAGATCAAACATAGTTACTCATTACCAGAGGAAAGGCTGGACAGTCTCTTGGAGATTTATTTTCTAGGAGTGTGTTCTTGTTTTAAATGTTTTAGGCTTAAACCTCAGCTTAAGATGTGGACAAATTGTGCCTTTTGGAAATACATGTACCTGTGCGTACTCTCATACATACACACACATACTCTTTCATCAGGCGCTGCGTGTTTTTGTGTGAATTGAAGCCACCGCCGTCGATGCCATCTGATGACGTTAACATTGCGTGCGCATGCTTCAGTGTTGATTTTTGCACGATTGACTCTGATGCCATCCTTCTTTTATTTTTGTGAAAGTAATGTATGCACATATTTAAGCAGTTAAAAAGTACTAAAGTTTCAAAGGGAAAACTAATTGTCCTCTTCTGAATTGCCGCCTATACCTTAGTCCAGTTCCCTAAAAGAACACTTTTAACTCTTAGTTTCTTTTAAGATTTACATCTTTTAGCTTCTCTTCCTATGTAAAATTCCAAATATGCACAAAATAGAGAAAATAGTATAATGAACTCCCATGTTCTCATCATCTGGCTCAACAGTGAAGTTTACTCACTGGAGTATATTGCATCCTCCCTGGAGTATAGTGCTAAAATTTTATGTTGACCTAGATGAAGATTTTAAGTGAAGTGTCATGGGACTTTGCCACTGGCCCTGTGCTGATCACGGTTTTTATCTGTAATGTGGTTATACGATAATACGGAAAACTACCCACTTTCTGTTGATTGTCACTGTTGAGGGGGCAGTTGTGTCACTCCTGTACGGTGGGAAAAGAGGAGGGTGTATGGGATGTATGAGATCCCCTAAAGCATCTTTTAGTACTCCCAAGTCCTGTGATTAAAGTCATGGAGAGTGATAGCAACTCAATTCAGGCAGGACTACTCAGGGCAGAGATTTCAGGGCTCTCCAATACATGGTAAGACAGAGTTGAGAGATGAAGACATAAGTTTGGGTTTAGATTACAGAGATGAATTCAGTAGGATGGAGAGACAGGAATCAGATTTATTAGCAGTAATCTTAAAAAAGATTTGGATATTTTTGTTATCAGAGGCTTAACATTGTTTAACAATGAAATACAGTTGCTAAAAATGTCAGTTTGTATTTAGACTACATTAATAATTATACCCACATTTTGCGAAATCAGTTGCCATGTCTAGGCTAGGGGAATTGATAGTTGCATTGAATTCTTACTGGTCACATAATTAGTGTTTGGTGGTGCCATGTTTTAAGAGGGCCACAAAGTGCAGCATCCGTGAATGAAGCTGATCAGGATGTTGGATCTGAGAACCATGACCTTTGAAGACTCAGTGGAAAAGTCTCTATATGGTTTGACCTTTAAAAGAGAAATCTGAAGAATGATGTGTTTTCTTTAAATATTTGGAGGGCGTTCAGGTTGAAGAGGGAACAGATTTTATTCTGTGGCTCCAGAAGTTCAATCAGAACCAAAGGATGAACAGATATTAACAGTAATTGCCAGTGTTTTTAAGCTTGTCCTAGGCCTTCTGCTAAAGGATTTTAAACACAGTCTTACATAAACTCTGTAACAATCCTCTCATGTGGGAAATAGTAAAATCACAACTAATATTTAGTTGTGTGCTTTCAATAAGCCAGTATATTCCAGGAACTTCATATATGTCTTCCTTTTTAATCATCAGAAAATCCTGTGAGGTAGATACTGTTGTTATGGCCATTTTATAAGTGAGAAAACTGAGATACAGAAAGAGTGACCTTACTCAAATTTAAACAACTAATGTGTGACAGAGCAGGGAGTTCACCTCTAGAGCACAAGCCCTTCACACTACTCTAAAGTACTATGTTCATCCCATTTTCAGGTAAGGAAAATGAGGCTTAGAGAAATGAATGTTGCCAGGGCACACCGCTAGGTCCATGTCAGAGGGGCCAGGTAGACCCACGCGCAGCCTGCTCCTAGCCTTTGCAGCAGAGTTGTGTGAGCTGCCCTGAGGAGCAAGGCCCTCACACCAGTGCTGCATAGGCAGTCCACGGTGCTATGGGAACTGAGTCTTCTTAAGTGAAAAATTGAGTAAGTTGACTTTCAAAGATTCGTCCCCCCATATGATGACATTTTAATGTTTCTAAATTCTTTTATTTCAAACATAAACCTGTAGTCCCTGCAGAGCGCCTTTGAGCGAAGGGGGCAGTGTCTTTTTCATTCTCAGAACTCGCCAAAGAAACCTCAAATTCACAACACTGAAGTAAAGCCCAGGAGAGGGGAGTCCTGCTTGAGTCCTGATCACGTTCGCCTAAAAGTGGAGGCGTTGCCCTGGGATTCTGCCCTTTATCTGTGTTCCAGGCTTTTAAATCAAATCACCCACAAGTCAAATAATAAATTTTAGCACCATTTGAGGCAGAGTGCAACTGTTGCTGGTGGTTGTTTAATGGAATCCTGGCTCAGCAGAAATAATTTTTCTCAGGTTTGATGGTGAGGTTTCACCTCCTTAAAACACATTGAATTAATTGAAATTAATTTATTATTTTTAAAATAAAAGAGGAGTATACCTTAAATAGTTGTGCCCTGAAAGTTCTCATCTTGAGTGATTTGATATGCATTGATAGAGTGATGTAGTGTTAATAAGCAACCTGCTTAGTAGAATTTTATTACTGATTCAGCTTTTCCAGATTGGGACAGTTTCCTAGATTTGGGCTTAAGTCCTGGCTCAGCTGAGTACTAGTATGATGTTGGGCCCATTACTTAATTTCCCTGTGTGTCAATTTCCTGTTCTGTAAAATGGAGATCATAATATGTTAGTTACTTATAAGGTTAATGTGAGGTTGGAATGAGTTAATTTGTGTTAAGTTCTTATAACAGTGCTTGGGCGTTTAGTAAGCATTCTGTAAATGTTAGCTTTTATTTTCAGATGCTAAATACTTCCAGTCTGGTTTAGGCTGTCATCCCCTTTCCTCTGCATTACACAGGAACTTCTAAGTGGTTTTCCTGCTTGTACCATTGTCCCTTATGTAGTTTGTTTTCAGTATGCCAACCAAAGTGATATTGATCCTCCTCAGAGTAGTCTGCTCAAATCTGCTAGCAGGTGTCCCCAGCCTTCAGGATCTAATGCCTTGATGACCTGAGGTGGAGCTGATATAATAATAGAAATAAAGTGCCCAATAAGTGCAGTGTGCTTGTATCATCCCATAACCATTCACCCCAGCTCCCCCAGGCTGGGGAAATCATCTTACATATAAACCAGTCCCTGGTGCCAACAAGGTTGAGTCTAGAGGCGGCTTCCCTGGTTTCTCAGAAGGTAAAGCGTCTGCCTGCAGTGTGGGAGACTCAGGTTCAATCCCTGAGTCAGGAAGATCCCCTTGAGAAGGAAATGGCAACCCACTCCAGCACTCTTGCCTGAAAAATCCCATGGACGGAGGAGCCTGGTGGGCTGCAGTCCGTGGGATTGCAGAGAGTTGCCCACGACTGAGCAGTTTCACTTGAGGCTTTCCACTGAAGTCCTTCCCAGGCCTTATACAAACCCCTTCCTACTCTGCACTCTGCCTGCTCCTCCACCCACTCACCCCTGTGTATCTCTGATCTCCCTTTCTGTTCTCACCGCCCTCTCTGCTCCTCAGTCCTCCTGACTTCTTTTAGCACTGCAGCATGGCACACACTCTTCTGTTGTGAGATGATTGCATTTGTTGTTTACTTTCCTAAAATTCTCATCTGTTGTATATTTTCGTGGATTACTTATTTATCTCCTTCAAATCTTGGCTCACGATCACTTTTTCAATAAGGCTACTTTGATCCCTGTGTTTAAACTGTACTTGCTGCCCTAGTCACTTTTCGCTGCTGTATTTTTTCTGTAGCACATAGCTGACATCTCAGAGTTCAGTTACTGATTGCTTTATTGCACAACTCTTCTTTCTAGAATGTCAGGTTCATGGGAGCAGAGATTTTTGTCTATTTTGTTACTGCTGTTTTTTGTTTTTAGTACTGAAAATTAGTGCCTGGCCTGTATAGACATTGAGTGAATACTTGTTGCTTAAGCAAATTATATGTGTGTGTATAACATGTGTGTTTTGAATTGGCTGCTGCAAGGAAATATGTGATGCTAGCCAGTATGAAGAAATGGAAGTCAATTTTATTTCCTGTGCTGAATAACCTCAATATTTTCCTTTGTTAGAGATGTACAGTCTTACTACGTCTTTGTGAGCTCATGGATGATGAAGATGGAATCTATTTTATCTAAAGAGCAGAGAATGGATAAATTTGCTGAAGACCTCACCAGTAGATGTAATGTTTTTATACAGGTAGTTGCACCTTCTTTCTTAGAATGTTTGGATCATTTATTTGTTAATCCAGTGTACAGAAGGTACCCTGTGAAAGAACTGTAAAGGGTAGGATATGTTTTTGTGTTTAGAACTGAAATTGATTTGGTTATGTAAGTTTGGATCTGTGTGACTTGTTTAGATTTTCTAATTTATGCTTTTAATATATGCATCTAATGTATGCAAATCTACACTCCATGCAAGTCCTGACTTCTTAGCTGTATCCCATAAGTTTTGATGTGTTGTATCTGTAATATTCTTTACTTCAAAGTACTTTAAAAAGTTTGTTGTGATTTCTACTTTGCTCTCTTGATTGTTTTGAAATAGAATTCTTCATTTCCAAAGGCATGAGGATTTCCTAGTTATCATTTTATTATTGATTTCTCCCAGTATGAAAGTACTTTCACTATTGAAGTTTGTTGAGATTTGCATTGTGGATCGGGCTATGGACAACTTTGGCACACATTTCATGTACACTTAAAAAGAGTGTAGTTTGCTTTTAGTTGGTCATGGTATTTTATACATATCAAGTAGGATCATATTTGTTTGTTATTTTGTCTGAATATTTTGTCAGTTACTGAGATAATTAACTGTTGGAATCCCCCACTGTGTTAAAGATTTGTCTTACTTATCCTTTGTAGCTTCGTCAACTTTCATTTTATGTATTTTGAGACTAAGTAGGCACATAACATTTAGAATTGTTATAGCTTAGTGGTGAGTCAAACCTTTTGACAGCAAACCTGATAATGCTTTTTGTCATAGGTCTCTTGTGCGATAGTAACATAGCTGTACCAGTTTTCTTTTAATTAGGTCTGTCTGCAAGTTCCGTCTGTGACCATCCTTTTATTTGCAACCTGTTTGGCTCCTTTATTTAATGTGTGTCTCCTTTAAGCAACATATATTTCTCTCCAATGAAACTTTTTATGTATGTCAGTACTGATACTCATATTTAATTAGCACCTGATTAGTTGCTTTCTGTTTGTCTCACTTGTTCTTTGTCTGTATTCTTTTCCTTTCTTGCTCTCTTTTGAATTATTTTTATTTATTTTTCCTTCTGTTACTTTCATTCAGCATTTTACTGTTCTTTTAGTGGTTGCTGAAGAGATTTTAAGATGCATTATTGAACATTAAGCTCCAATATAAATGAGTAATTCACTTTCCAGACAGTATAAGGCTCTTAAGTCCTTTTAATTCTATTTACCCCTTCTCACCTGTGCTCCTGTTGTGTATTTTGATTCTATGTATATTTTAAACCGTATAAGTCATTGTTGCTATTGTCTTTAATAGTATTCATTTAGATTTACCCATATATTTACCTGTTCTGTTGCTTTTTATCCTTCTTGCATCTCCTCATCTTTCTACTTGTGGAATAACTGTTAAAATTTCACTTAACTTTTTATTGTTTTCTGGCTTCCTTTGTTTTTGTTGAGAAGGCAGCTGTCAGTTTTGCTGGTTTTTTTTTTCAATATATGTCTTTGTTGGATTGCTTATAAAATTTGCTTTTTGGTTTTTAAGCAATATTACTTTGATGCACCTACATGAGGTTTTCTATGTTTTTGCTACTTGGGATTTGTAAAACTTTTGGAATTTGTGGAAAATTCTCAGTTATCAACTCCTTAAGTACTGTTCCTGTTCTAGTCTCTTTTTTAATTATTTCTTCATCTAACCTACTATTAAACCCGTCTACTGACGTTTAAAATTTTTTCTTAGTTCTTAATTACTTTTCAGTTTGTTTCTTTTTTATAGTTTCCAATTTTCAGAAATAATTCTGTGTTTTATTTCCTTCTGCATACTCAGTGTAATTACTTTGAAGCCCATGTCCAATAATTGCATTATCTAGCTATTTCTATTATCTATTTTTTGTTGTTTGTTTTTTGGATATATCTTATCTCTTTGTATGCCTGGTGATTTTTAATAACACAAATTATATATAGAACTGTAGACATAATTTGAAGATCTGGGTATTGTTTTTCTTCCTCCACAGAGGATTTAATATTTGCTTCCTATACACATTAGTCTAGGACAACTAGTAACTGAGATTACCTCAGCCCAGTCATGGGTTTAGATGATCTAAATTGGACCTAAATTGTATGATGGCTGTTTTTTCTAGTTCACCCTTTCTTTTGGGGGGTAGTCTTTAAGAATCCCAACTCAGAGCCTGGTTGATTTAGTAGGACTCCCTCCTCTCCTGGATGGGCCATGAGCTCCTATTTTTATCCTCAGGGATCCTGAAAGGTATGTCTGGCTTCTGTCTTTGTTATCCTCTTTTGGAATGGGCAGATGCCTCTATGGGAAAGCAGCCTCAAATGCCGGGTTCATGTCTCTGTGTTTGTGTTTTCTCCCTATGATGGCTCTGTGGTTCCTTATTTTCTTAATAGCTCTTTGATATCTTCGAAGAGTTTAAAAAAATGTTTTGTCTAGATTTTCTGATTGTTTTATATGGGAAGGTTGGTCCAACTTCTCTATTCTGCCATTGACAGAAACAGACCCCAGACCTTCCCCCACCCCATTTAGATGTTTAAAATACATCCTTCTTGTATATCCTTCACAAAGTAATGACCATCTGGGAATGAGGTGATAGTAGCTTGTGACCTCTCTGCCCCCTCCCACCTCTCCCCGCAAGAAAACCTCTCTTCCTGCCTGCCTTAGAGTTAAGGTTCCCTGTTCCTTGTCTCTGCTTTCTAACTTCTCCCGGTGCTGCAGTAGGTTCAGGGTCTGGTGTGATAGTCCTGTAGCTGACAAGGTAAGGCTTGCGACTCTTTCCTGCATGCACACCCCAAGTTCTGATCTTACTGTCACCTCTTAGGAAGCGACCTGCTCTCTGATTTCTTAGTCCTCTTACTTGTCGCATCTCTTCACCGTAGAGCTGTTACTGGTTCACAGAAATTTCCCCTCCCTGCATTTTGTCATTGCTTTAGTCAGCCACTGTTTAACTCATGGTGGAGATGGAGAAAAAGGTTGAGAATCACTGGCATATAGTTGCTGCCCTGGCTCCTTGGATATATTTGAAATAATATAGTTTAGGTTCATCTCTAAACTGTACATGTATCTCTTTTTGGTCCTTCTTTATAAACGCAAGGAATCTCCATTATTCTGTTCTGTGTGTCCTTCTTGGATCTAAATGAAAATATATTTGAGAGGTAATACCCTTTTTCTTGTTTTGTATTCTATCCTTTTTCTTTGGCTTTATTAGCACTAAATTTTTTTTAATCCTCACAGGACTTGTGGCTTTCTTTATAAGTAGAAGGGTAAGAGAGAACCTGTTCTTGGGCTGGAAGGAGAGAAAGTCTGATTAGCAGCAACATAAGCAGAGGACATGGTAGCAGATGGATGGTAGGAGTTGGTCTGGGTGAAAAAGAAAGGGGAAATTGGTTTGGAACTGAGAAATACTGTTGAATGTCTGTACTGGCCAGAGAGCAGCTCTTTCTCATTTTTCAGTTCCTACTTCCTTAGAGCCCTCAGCTCTTGTCTTAAGCTGCAGCAAATAGGAGTCCTTAATCCTCTTGTCTGGCAGGTGACATAAGGATGAATAGATATCTTCCTGACATCCCAGTCGTTTCTCTGAAAGTTTTGTTTTTTTAATGGAAATATTCTTTAATTGCAGTTATATACTGTAATGTCAATAGGACCAACCTTCTAGTATGTGATAAGTTACATAACTTTAAAGGGGTGCTTTGAAACTTCACCACCATGTATAATACTGCGTGTAAAGAGTATTTCAAAATCTTAAATGCACCCTAGAAACATTAGATGTTGGAGAGTTGAAAGATTATTATCACAGAATGAAATCTTGAAATGAAACCTTTTATTGTGATTTTAATTGATGTTTTATGTTGGTTTTTTATAGGGCTTTTTATATGCATATAGTATTAGTACCATTATTAAAACCACAATGAATCTCTACATGTCCATGCAAAAGCCAATGACCAAAACATCAGTTAAGGCATTATGTAGGCTTGTTGAACTTCTCAAGGTAAGTTTTGGATTATTTTACCTTGCCATTATAATTGAGAAATGATCTGAGCATAAAGTAGGATTTTGGGGGGTACGGTTTGACTTCATGATTATGAGTATAAAAAATTATGGGAATGTATATTTGTCTCTTAGTTAGATAAAGGAACTTGCCAGTGACAGAAATTTCTGAATAATTTTCTGTGAATGGCCAATATATTTAAACTTTGTTAAAAGTTAACATGTAGTTAAAGAGAAAAGAAGGAAAATGAAAAGATTAGTCAAAATATTAGTAGTTTTACTCAGGAAAGTTCTAAGTGTGTTGCATGAGTTTTAAAAACTACACATGAAATGTTATATTTTATAGCATTAAAATGCATATGAGGCTAGTCAGCATGAAGCTGTTTATTTTGTAATTTAGAGGAAGTGTTGTGTTCTTGGGATTTGATTGCTTTTGAAAATGTGGTAAAATGTTTCTTAGCATACTCTTAAGTAAAAAAATAAAACTCATAGGCAGGAGAGCCTACTTATAGCTTTTTGTAAAACTTGAGCTAAAGATTTGTTAGTGAATTTCTGTTAATAGTGGCTTTAGATTTGCTTAGGAAATAAAGATAGTTTGGAGATCTTGTCTTTAGATTTTTAGCAGTTTTTTCCTTTAAGATATTATTAGTTATATTTTAATAAAATGCAAATACAGAAGTATATATATGTATAAATGCATCTATATCTTTTATTTAATATGTAAGCATAATTTAAAAATAATAAACACTTAAAAACCTATTACCCCATTTAGGAAAGCAAATGTTACCAGTATTTTCAAAGCCCCCTGTCTTGTCCTTCCCAGATTGCATCTTAATCTACCCTTTCCGAGGACCCACTGTCCTGAACTTTATCATTCCCTTGTTTCTTTTTAGTTTGTGGCGTATGACTGAACTTATCAACCCACTCATTGTTTAGTTATAAATGTTTTTGAAGTTTGTACTAATGGAGTGATGTCTCATGTACTCTTTGTCTTGGTTTCTTTTTACTCAAAATTTTTTATTTTGTCTCACCCATGTTGGAATCAGTAGCTGTCGTTCATTAATTATCATCACTGTGTTGTCTTCCTGGGGTTGGACTTCTGGGTTGTTCCCAGTTTTTGCTGTTTTAAATCATGTTGCCATTCTTGTATTAATTTATGTTTTGTGGTATCATTGTGCAGAAGTTTTTATGAGGTGTTATAAACCTATGAGTGGATTGCTGGGTTTTATGCTATGTATATAATCAGCTTTTTAAGATGATGCCAGATTATTTTTCAAAGTAATCAGTTTTCAGTTTACATACCTCCGTCAATATATTAGATTTCTGTTGTTCCCTACCTGGTCAACATTGGTATTATCAACCGTGTGTGTGTGTGTGTGTGCACATGTACTTATGAATTAGTGTTTATTGATGACTTTATACTTAACATTTCCCTGATGATTAATGACAATATCTTTTCAAATATTATTAACTGTTTCTTTTGTGAAAAATATTTTCATGTCTTTTGTTCAGGTATCTGTTGAATTATTTGCCTTTTAAAAAAAGTGTTTATTTCCTTTGGTGTCTACATGTCTGAGTACTAACCCCTTGTGTGTGGCAGGCATTTTCTCATACATTGGTTTATCTTTTACTTTTCTTCATAGTGGCTTTTGATAAACAGAAATTTGTAATTTTAATATAGTTGAATTGACCAATCTTACCCTTTATAGTAGTGCTTTTTTCATCTCATTTATAAATTTCTTACCAGGCCCAAAGTCATAAAGATATTCTAGAATTGTGGCTAAATATTTTAAGTTTTAAGTTGATTCTCACAGAATCACTTCTGATTGTTTTTAGGCGATAGAGCATATGTTCTACAGGAGAAGCATGGTTGTGGCTGATTCAGTCTCACATATAACACAGCACCTTCAGCATCAGGCTCTTAATTCTATTTCTGTGGCCAAGGTATAAAAGCATAATTATATTATCTTTCTGGTTTGCCCTTCTGTTGTTTTGTGTTTTCTGGTTAAACCTGTTTATCCACACTATTCTTGGTTATTATCTCCAAGGTATTCCATGATTTTACTGAGTGATCAGGATTATCTTTAGCCTGAATTTCCAGCATTAACACAGTTCTACTAAAAAAGGACATACTGTGCATTTTTAAAATAATGTTGTGTCTTTCTTAAATTATATCCTTGTTAAATTGATACGGTAACTTTGAGGTACGCCTAGTAATTTGCTGTTCCTGACGGTGCTCAGCAAGAATGTTATGGAAATAAAGCATCTGACATTATCGTAAGAAGTGAACAGGGAAAGTATTTGTCTTTTAAGTATTTGTCTGTTTTTAAGTATTTAAGTATTTGTCTGTTAAGTTGAATCATGGAAAAGATAACTGAAAAATTTTTCCTCGTGAGTCTTTTGTTACTGCCTCAAATTTAAAGCTGCTCTGTCCTGTTTCCTTTTATCTTTAAGAAAAGAGTAATTTCTGACAAAAAATATAGTGAACAGCGTCTTGATGTGCTCTCTGCTCTAGTTTTGGCTGAAAACACTCTAAATGGACCAAGCACAAAGCAGCGACGACTTATTGTTTCTCTGGCGCTGAGTGTGGGCACACAGATGGTAAGGGTATTGCTGTTACTTACAGGGTAAAAATGAGACCTGAGGGTTCACACTTCCCTTTTTACTGACTTAAGAAACCTGTCCTTCAAGTGCAACTTCTCTGTGCTTTTCCCCTCCCTAATAGAAAACATTTAAAGATGAAGAACTCTTTCCACTTCAAGTAGTCATGAAAAAGCTGGATCTTATCAGTGAACTTCGAGAAAGGTAAGTAGGGATCTGCAGTGGTAACAAAAGATATGGGTGAAGGAAACATCAGGGCTTTTTCTTGTTTTGTTTTAAATAGGCTGGCAATAGAAGGAATATAATCTAGGTAGAACTTTGGTTCCTCCTTGTAACATCTGTGGCATGACTAGAATGAGACTCTGACAAGGGTTTGTATTTCTTTTACTTGTCTTCTGTAGTAAGGATGATGCTTTTGGAAGAACTCACTTGAAAAATGTGATATAACCCTTAGAGGATTGGCAGACTCTGGAACTATTTTGCTTATTGTGATGGGTATCTCTGATGGACTCAGAGTTGCTGCTTTATAACAAGCCTTCATCTACTTGTGAGAGACTTAGAGCCATCTCACATGGTCTTCCATAATTTTATTTGGTACAGAATTTGAGTTACATTGTTGGTTAGACAATCACTAAGATGGATTCATTTTTGGAAGTCTTATTTGTATAACTCCTGTGGCTTTATTGTTTTCTTTTTATCAAATAAGCATTGAGTTTCTTAGAGAGGAAAATGGGTTTTCTGAATTTTGATTTCCAGCCGAACTGAGATTACTGCACAATTTTTATTTAATGCTCATATTTATAGCATAATGTGTTTGTTATTCGGAGAAGCTCAGATTTTTGTTGTTAGTGGCATTTCACTTTCTATCCATGGAAGAAATACTGAACTTTTCTTCACTATAAGATATTTATGATCAAGTTGTTGCCCTATAAAGCATGAAATGGTAACTTGGCAAAGATAATAAATAGGTTGAGTGCCACTGGTTTTTGTGGTTGCTGTTTTGGTCACAGTTTTTTGAAAGGTCTCCTTTTCAACTTTAAGACAGGTAAAATGATGCATCTGGTGCAGGTCTTGTAAGTCTAGTCATATCAAATAATACTGAAAATTTAAACTATCTTAATTAAAGTTATATATTTTTTAAGTATGCTTTAAAACTAAAATGCATTTATAAAATTATAACAGTGTCAGATATTGAACTGTTTTGTTACCATTATTTGAAAAATATTTATTTTGTGACTTTTCTATGCTAATTTTGGGTTAGGGAATAGAGATATGAATAGACACTCTTACCTTTACAGTATGTAATGTCATTCTTTTCATTATTTTGGGGGGGTTGCTTCACTTTTGGTACCACTAATTACTACTTTACATTGTAGAGTCCAGACACAATGTGATTGTTGTTTTCTATACTGGCATCGAGCTGTCTTCCCAATTTATTTAGATGACGTATATGAAAATGCTGTTGATGCAGCCAGACTACATGTAAGTAAAAGAATAGTGTAAAGAACTTTATTTCTTCATTTTTATTAATTCACTGTCAAACCATTTTAGTTAATTTTAAAATAGATCATTTAATAAACCATTTAAAAACTGGTGCTGTTTTTAGCAGTGCTATGCATATAAATTTTATATTAATACAAATTAATTTGAATATATATTTAACTCTTCTCTTATTCCTAATCATTCTCATTTCACTGGGTTTTAGTTTGTGTCAAGATAATTGACTTATTTGTCAGCAAGGTATTCAGATCTTTCCATTTCCTTATGGAAATGAATGTATTTGAATGCTCAAGATAAAAAGGATTAGTTAATGTGATTTTTTTTTTTTTTTGGTTTTAGTATATGCTTTAGAGAATAAAATTAAACTCTTACTTAGGAAAGTAAGATAGTCATGTGTAGAAAAACAGCCTTCAGATTGAGGCTTTGTCTTTTAAGATAGGCGACTTCTGCAATGTAATTTAGAGATGTAGTTTTTCTAAATTCATGTACATTCTAATTTTTTTCTTCAGTACATGTTCAGTGCTTTACGTGACTGTGTACCTGCCATGATGCATGCGAGGCATTTGGAGTCCTATGAAATACTTCTGGATTGCTATGACAAGGAAATTATGGAAATTTTAAATGAGGTAACATTTGAGATTGAAAAGCTTAAGACGTGTTTGGAATGCAGTGTTTGGAAAAACTTTTTGGGTTGAAACAGACTTTCACAAGTTTGTGATTCTTACAAAGCACTGTCTGGAACAAAGGAACTGTCACTATTGTGCTTAATTGGTCTTTAATTCCTAATTTTTTGTATAGAAATCCAGATTAGAAATTTGGAAGTTTTTTTCTTTTACTTTAGTAAGTAGTATATTTGAATTTAAAGTCCTATTCATTAGAAGATTGCAAATGCAAAATTGGTAGAATACTGTCTGCTGCTCATGGTAATACAATTAAGACAACTGTCAAATGTTGAATTTCATTTTGAGAGCTAATGACTGAAATCTTTTATATTTAAAAGTAAAAGTAAACACTTTCTTGTGTAACAATTTAAATGCATCTTTCCTTGTTCTAATGAAGGGTGTGTTGTAAACACTGCTATCTTTAAAACTGTATTTTCAGCCAGCGGTATTTTTATATAGAAGGAGGAATTAAAAATGAGTGAGTTTTACAAAATCTTACACAGGTTTGATAAAAATGTGAGATTTTTAATATAATTTCTCGTGCTGAATATTCATATTTAGAAAATAAGGTACATGTCTTGGTCAGTATTTAGAACCCCATGTTACACCAGAAAAGATGATTAATTTCATTGCTGTTAACTCAGTGAGTTTTGTGATTTTTTGATAATTATTACATGGAAGCATTTAAAATTTTTTCTCTTGCATATTCTCAGGATCTTTCTTCCTTTGTTCTGGTTTATATAAATTTTATGCTTCATGTTGTATATTCATGTTCCTTGTGGTGAAACTACCAGACATTAGCTTTTGATTTTCTTTGCAAGGGTATTATACTTAAAATACGAATGAACTCATTAGAACTCATCTGACTGCTTCCTGGTTAAAAAAAAGTCATTGATTTAAAATGGATAGCAAAATAATTTCACTTGCCCAGTGAAACAGTATTTTACCAGAGAGTATTTAGTTTGACAGTTTGACAAACTTTTTCATCATTGTACTGAGTGTAAAGCTCTTCACATTGAGAACATGAACATCTAGAAGAATCATACAATTGGAATATCATTTTGAAAATTTAAGATATCAATTCTTTTCTGAATAGCATTTGCTGGACAAGTTGTGCAAAGAAATAGAGAAGGACCTGCGACTTTCTGTGCATACTCATTTAAAGCTGGATGACAGAAACCCTTTCAAAGTTGGCATGAAAGACCTGGCCCTTTTTTTCTCTCTGAATCCAATTCGGTTTTTCAATCGTTTCATTGACATTCGAGGTGAGTGTTCTGGTTTTCTTCTTAGGGTCATATTCTATATGTGTTTGCTCTGTTAAATAACAAAAACGAAACCTTGAGAAAAATCTTCCATTGTATTAGTGCATTTATTCTTGAGTTCCTTTTTGTTTCTTCATTTTGTTTTCCCAGCAGCTGACTTTATTATTTAAAGAACACTTTTTAGCTCTCAGCCGTCTCTCTTTAATCAATTCATCTATCATTATTATTTTCGGCTGCACTGGGTCTCTGTTGCCGTGTGAGGGCTTTCTCTAAGCGCAGCAAGCGGGACCTCTCCTTGCGGTCCGTGGGCTGCTCGTCGCAGTGGCTTCTCAGCAAGCGCAGGCTGCCGCAGTTGTAGCCCACGGCTCGCTAGTCGCAGCCTGTGGACTCTAGAGCTCGGCCTCATTAGCTGCGGTGCGCTGGCTTAGTTGCTCCGTGGCATGTGAAATCTTCCGGCCAGGGATGGAACCCATGTCCTCTGTGTTGGCAGGCAAATTCTTATCCGTTGCACCACCAGGGAAGTCCCGTTCCTAGCACCTTATTTTAAAGGAAGAAATGTAATGTGCAAAGACAAGTTGTTTCCTTTTTAGTGTCATTTTTCTTCCTTTCCTACTGTTATCATGAATCAAAAAAAGTTTTGATTTTTTTGTTTGTTTGTTTTGAAGCTTATGTAACTCACTACCTAGACAAGACTTTCTACAATCTAACGACAGTAGCTCTTCATGACTGGGCTACTTACAGTGAAATGAGAAATTTAGCGACTCAGCGTTATGGATTGGTTATGACAGAGGCCCATCTTCCTAGTCAGACTTTGGAACAGGTATAGTATAAAGTGTTCTTAGTATAGTCTAATGGTAGCTTAATAGTATTTCTCTAAGGCAATTTTTAAAAAAATTTTATTTAGTACGTGTTTATATTTCAAAGTTGAAAGTGAAAAGAGAATATTTGTTATATATAAAAACCTCATAGTTGAGAAGAATAAAAAATTAGTGCTGATTTGCTTTATGAAAGAATTTATCACATGCTTCCAAATGCTTATACTTTACCTTTTGTTGAAATTTTGGTACATACGTAAATTTACATACAGCTTTTCAGAAACAACTTAGGATAGTGAGGTGACTTCTGCTGAACTTTTACAAGTTTAGTCAAGGTTACAGTTAAGAATTTTAAACTAGATATAATATATGTGCTTTAATATCTTAGAAAAATGGTTAAATTTATAAAATTGTATTTGTTTTTAAATTGAGTGCAAAATATTTAGCTTTATTAATTCAGTAAGCTAATTTATAGAATGGTTGTATCTCAGGAGTGCAAAGATTTGTCTTCATTTAATTTGCATGTAATTCTTTCTAAGATAATCCAGATATAATATTTACTAAAATCCATTAATTTAGTTCCAAAATTTGAAGATCATAATTTTTTGTTCATCTTACTGCATGTATAGGGGCCAGTTCCAGGATCAATTTGTATATCCTTTCATTCACTTATTTATAAAATTAATATTTTTCAAAAATTTGCTAGATACTGCACTGTTACTGGAGAGGGTTGCCATTTCATTCCCCAGGGATCTTCCCGACCCAGGGATTGAACCCATTGACTGCTTTGCAGTCAGACTTTACCACTGAGTCTCCTGTGAAGCCCTCAGTATGTTTAGGGATACAAAAATAAATAGAAACAGTCTTAGCTCATGTACCTGGAGCCTAGTGGGAGAAAAATAATGAATAAATAAATTTTTAGATTAAAATGTGAGAAAATCTGTAATAAAAACTTAATCAAAGGGGTGTTGTGATATTACTTTGAGTCCCAGTTAGAAAAGCTGTGGAACAGTTTACCTGATACCATTCACTGGATATTAGAGTGATCACTGAGGAATGAAGGGTCCTTACTAGGAACTTGTATATTAAAGGTATGGATGGGTAAGCTCAGTTGCTCAGTCATGTCCTACTCTTTACGAACCCGTGGGCTATAGCCCACCGGGCTCCCCTGTCCATGGAATTTTCCAGGCAAGAATACTGGAGTAGGTTGCAGTTTCATTCTCCAGGGGATCTTCCTGACCCTGGAATCAAACCTGCATCTCCTGCATTGACAGGAGGATTCTTTACCACTGAGTCATCTGAGAAGTCCTTACATTCAAGGTAGTCTAGTCTGATTAAAAGAAGCATAAAGATTTGGAATTAGACTTTCTAAAATCCCTGGGTTCTGCCTCTTCTTAGCTCTTTGACTTTGCAGAACTCTTAGTTTCATTTTCTTCAGCTGTGGAATTTTATTTTTTTCTCCTATAACACATTTATAGGAGACTTAGAAAATACAGAACAAAGTTACATATAGTCCACTATACATTACAATTATTTTTTTAAGTAGATCAATTAAGATTTTTAGTTGGCGTTTCCTTATCAGACTCTCAAAAATTTATAAAATAAATAGAAAAGTAGAAGGATATAGTAGACCTGAGAAACACTATGAATCAATTCAACATAATTAAGTTTTATACAATTTTCACACAATAGCAGGATACAAATTCTATTTAAGTTCCCATAAACTATAAACACTGGAACATATCCAGGGACATAAAACAAGGTGTAAAAATTTCATGGTCTAAAGGTAACTGAAGTCATACAGTGTCTGTTCTCTTATCACTGTGGAATTACGTTAGAAATCAATATCAAAAGGTACTTGAAAATAGTCCACATATTTTTAAGTGCAATGTGTCATTTACCAAGAGAGATCTTTAACTTAGCCATTGAAAGCCTCAGTAAAAATAAAAGACTGAAAGAGCAGAGGGTGATCAGCTGTGGAATTTAGAAGAAGAATATCTTTTTATGAATTCCATGTAAAGGACCTTGCACAGTGCCTGAAAAATAGTATATACTTTAGAGATCACTACATATTCTGGCTGCCTTTTAGAATCTGGCTGTTAATTTACTTTCTGAAAAATATAGAAAAAAATCCTTGGGAAGACAAATATTCTCAGAAGTGGTAGGGAAATGATTGTGAGTCATTGATCTTTGAAGTTTTAACTTTTCCTGTCTACACAAAAGGTATTACAGTCAGATTTCCCCAAGCAGTTAGTCCTGATTGTATGTGTCAGAAGCCTCTTCTAACCTTTGATTGTATGTTTTCTGTAGTTCTTGAAAATAATTTAAAAAATATTGGGTGACTTAATATAAGCAGTAAGTTACTATATTGATAAGTTTGATTATTTTAAACTAATAATAATAGAACTTATATGTGGATTGTTTTGTAGGGCCTGGATGTCTTGGAAATTATGAGAAACATTCATATATTTGTATCTCGATACCTCTATAATCTCAATAATCAAGTGAGTAAGTTTAAAAAAAAATTTTTAATGTGGGTGTGTGTATAGTAGGAAAGGCTGAGGGGCAAAGGATTGATTCTTAGCAGTGAAAGTTAGTAAAATAAAGGAAACAGTGATTGTTTAGAGATCTTGTTTATTTCTTTGCTTTGACTGTATTATCTTCTTGAATGACTTTCCAATTATCTCTAATAAAATAGAGTTCTTAAATTCTTAGGTTAACTGACCAGTGTTTGCTATGGATTGTGTTTGTTTTATTACAGATTTTTATTGAGCGAACAAGTAATAACAAACATTTGAACACTATTAATATTCGGCATATTGCTAATTCAATTCGAACACACGGCACAGGAATCATGAATACAACAGTAAGAAGCTTCTGGGAGGGGGCATGGTACAGATGTTTGATGCTGCTGTTTTGTTTGGAAGTTTAAAAATAGTTTTTTCATTGAATATTCTGATAAATACACATTATTACCTGTTCATAAAACCTGAATTTCCATTTCTCTGTTTGGTGTAATTGAAATATCTGGCACTGAAGTTGTGTTAGATGGAAATGGAAGCTTTGTGATTCAAAAGGCACTTTAGAATGTCTTAACATCTCAAGATCATCATCATGAATAACATTGGAGATTTGAAGACATCAGCATAAATACATATCTATGTGGATCGTCTGAGAGTCTGAAAGTTGCTTTTGAAAGCAAATCTTTGATAGTTTGTTTACCATCAGTCCCTGCTGGCTGTGCCACCAGGCAAAGAGTCTGCCTGTGATGCAGGAGACCCAGGTTTGATCCCTGGGTTGGGAAGATCCCCTGGAGAAGGGAATGGCACCCCACTCCAGTATTCTCACCTGGAGAATCCAATGGACAGAGAAGCCTGGAGGGCTACAGTCCATAGGGTTGCAAAGAGTCAGACACGACTGAGCGACTAACACTTTACACTTACATGCTCTTTTTTGGGGGAGGGCACTTACTAGTTATTGATACCCTTAAAAATAGCAGTTTGCTAAAAATATCTCAGATCTTCCTAAAAATGGGCAGTCATGTGAGAGAATGAATCATTTGAGCTTATATGCTATTTGTCCTCTGTGGGAAAAAGAGAAATCTTTAAATTTACCTGCTTTTCAGGTCACAGTTTCTCCTTGAGGAAAGAATAATGCGAATGTTTAAATAGTACAATCTTATTAAGCGTATTTGGGAGTAAGGGAATAAGGAAAAGTTACGTGACTGGAAGGTTACAAAGGACCATTTTTAGTGTAGTGGAGAAACTGTATTTGACCTGATAAGTAATATGGTTGGAGCTCTTTGTTCGTGGTTGCCAGGAGAAAAAGGAGACATGGATGAAGTTTCAGATTTCAAGTCAGGAATCATCTGCATAGAGATTTCTGAACCTTTCAGGATCAAACTCCTCTGACCTCATCTATCAACCATTCATGTAACAAATGTAATTATGCTTGTATTTTATGTGTCTCAGGCACTGTGCTGGGTGCTGAGATGAGAAAAACAGACATTTCTTGCTCTCATAGTAATTGTACTCTGGCAGGAGAAACAGCTGTTATTCAGTTAACCACACTAATAAATGTAAATTCCTGATGTCTGGTGATGGTGAGCTGAGCACAGAAAACATAAGATCAGAGACTGGCAGATTTACCCACTATTAAGATGGGTAATAATCTTCTAAGAACTACTACAACTGAGGAGATCACGAAAAAGCAGTGTTTTAAGCTGCAAGAAAAGTTCTGAGAAAGCACCCATTTCCATAACTGGGTGATGAAGACTGTTAACATGGGCACACATATGCCAAAATAATTGGTAATATTTGAAGGTGGTGGGGATGGAAATTAATGCAAGGCTTTCATCTGAGGGTCAGAATTAATCTTGTTTTGACTTTAATTGCAGCTTAAATCCTACTTTTTCAATGTTTTCTAAGTCTAGATCAGGGCCTTTTAACCTGCACTTCTCATTTTACAGGTTATTGCAGTTGAGATTTCCTAGTTTGTTTAACATACATTATACTTGTCTTACAATGCCTGTCACTCCCACCGGAATACACGTGATGATGACAAGGGCAGTGTCTAGCATGAGAGCAGGTGCCTTGTCTTGCACATAAGAGGTGCTTAAAATATTTATGGGTAAATGATTGAATGTTTACTATCTTCCTTTAGGAGAGGTCACAGAGCACCATGTTTTTTACTTTAGTATCAGTTCATTCATGTGCATTGGTAATAATCTCCCGAGTGTGGTTTATGACATAAAACCTAGCGTGTCAGCAAATCTGGTTTATGATTCTCACTATAGCTCTTAGTCATGTTATTATGTGACTATATTTTCTGTTTTTAAATTTCTTTTTTTGTGTCATAAAAATATTTAAGAGGAGCTTTTAGAAAGTTTTATAAACTTTGGCAATAAAAACTTCATTTATTTAAGTATTTCAGGTCCAAAATGAATTAGACTTTATAAATGGATTATTTTATTTAGTACTACTGATTTGAAATTAAGTTTTATATTTAATTTTTCCAATTTTAATTTTATAGGTCAATTTCACCTACCAGTTTTTGAAAAAGAAGTTCTATATATTTAGCCAATTTATGTATGATGAACATATCAAATCCAGATTGATTAAAGATATTCGGTTTTTCAGGGAAATCAAGGACCAGAATGATCATAAGGTATTGTTACATATTCTTCTGAAAAGGTAGTTTGATTCAACTGTTGAATATATTGGCATCCCTTACATTGCTGCGCTTTACTTCATTGTGCTTCGCAGGTACTGTATTTTTTAACAAATGGAAGGATTGTGGCAAACCTGCATTTTCAGATGCTGCTTATCTTTTTTTAGCAGCAAAGTATTTTTAAATTAAGGCATGTACATTATTTTTTTATATGTAATGCTATTGAATACTTAATAGACTACAGTACAGTGAAAACATACTGTTGTATTACACTGGGAAATCAAAAAACTAATGTGATTCACTTTATTGCAGTATTTGCCTTGTTCCAGGGTCTTGAACCAAACCTTCAATAACTTCAGTGTTTGCCTATATAGCAAATGTTTATGCTGAAATTCATTATGAGTTACTCTACTAGGGATTTCTTTTTCTTTTTCACATAACTCCCTGGTTTGACTTCCAGTTATCTGTATTTTCTCTTGTAATTTCTTCCCCTTTGCATTCTCTGTAAGTGAAAGTGTAAGGAAAAAGTAAATGATGAATGTAACCAGATATTACTTTTCTTCATTTTAAAATAATGCAAGAGCAGAAACATTTAAACAATGTATTGTTTAACATTTAAACTAAATGTTCTTCATTTCTGTTTTCTCCCAATTCCATTTTCTGGGGCCAGTTGCTATTAACAGTGTCATGTGACGTCTTCCAGATGTCTGTGTGATAAACATGTATTTGTGCATTACAAATACTGCTTTTTTCCTTAACAAAAATGGGCTGATACTAAGCATACTGTTTTGCAGTGTGCTTATCATGTGTCAGTACCCATAGATCTACCTTGTTCTTTTGCAGAGTTGATAGTAAAGATGCATGCTGTAAGTCCTTTAACCTCCTACTGAGAAATAGTTATTCAGTAGCTTCTGATTTCTCTGTGCCATAAACAGTGCTACAGATAACATCCTCGCATATTTATCTCTGTGTGTTAGGGACTTTTGAAAGACAGATTCCTTGAAGAGGAAAAGGGCAAAGAATCTGATTATTTAAAATTTTGATACATGTTGCCAAGTACTGTAAAAATACTGCACCAGTTGACAATCCCACCAGTAATTTATAAGAATGCTGTTTTACTTCCGCCCTCTGGACTGAATTTTCCCGTAGTGAAGTGAAGAATTGTAAATGTTAACAGTACAGAGGCACGTATAGCCATGTAGGTAGAGAAACCAGCAGGCTTGGATGGATTTTATGTTTGATGTGCCACATCCAGACCTGTTTTTATTACTCTTCTTAAGCATCACCTAGTTCTAGCCCTCTTATATATTAGTTCATTCTTTTCAGTGTCAGAGCGGCAAAATAATTAATAAAATTACAGATTAGTTATCAGGAAATTACATTAACTCATTTTTATTGAATCAGAAATTAATGTTCAGAGAAATGGTGCTGTTGTTGTATAAGAATTGTTTCCATTTGTTACTCGTATAAAATGAATGATTTAAAAATTTTTTTAATTGACTAAGACTTGAAAAACCATTTTTTATCGGTGACAGCAGCTAGAAATTTTAGTTCAGCTGATGTGTGTTATTTGGGAAGGAGTGTGTTTTTATGTAAGCCCCTAATACCTTTCAGCCCATGGAAACTTATCACAAATCTCTGAATAGATGTTTCTAGGAAGAATTGATTTCTTTTATCTATCTGATAGAGCAGTTGGAAGACCAATGTTGGTAATGGGAAACCTGTTGGGTGGCATTCATAATTATTCCCTTTAATATAAAAATATTTAATTTATATTGACCTTGAATATTGGTAGTTTTTGTGCTGTATGTGAATTCTTTGTCATTAAATTCAGTAATTGTTTTTTTGAACACAGTGGAAATGCAAAATTAGAACAGTGATATTGGTATGATTGATTTGGTGGGTATTTTATGTTTTAGGAGTCTTTATTAATAATGGTGGTCTTCAAATTTTCTCTGTAGTATCCTTTTGAAAGAGCGGAAAAATTCAATCGAGGCATCAGAAAACTTGGAATAACCCCGGAGGGACAAAGCTACCTTGATCAGTTCAGGCAGCTCATCAGCCAAATTGGTAAGTTATTGTAAACATGTTGAAAAGTAAAGTACAAATGCCAAGAATCTGTCTGATATATTATAAATATCTCATAGGAATAAGCTTAATATATGTGTGCCTAAGTTTAGCTTTATTCCACTAGTAATTTCCTTTCCTTAAAGTTTTTCAAGTATGATTAGATGGTTGGTGCACAAATAATTGATAGATAAATAAAATATTTATAAATAAAATAGTATAAATAAATATTTTGTGGATAAATAAAACCTCTTCAATTAAATTAAAAATATAACTAACTCATCTCAAAGGCCATACTCAGTAAATAGTCAGCTGGTAATTATTGGGTGCCTATTCTTTTCAAGGTCCTATTTCAAACTTTTAATTTAACTTTTAAGTTAAGCCTAAATGCAAAGATGTGCAGTGTTTATGTGAAAAGTTACTCAATAATATTTAATATTTAATTATTTATTAATATTAATAATATTTACTATTAATATTTAAAATATTAAATATTTAATAATATGCTTCATCATTTTATATTTATATATAATTTTTTGAGTTGTCCTTCTGCCTTACAAGTAGAACTTGTTTTCTGAAATGTATAACACTATTTAAAAGGAAGAACTTTGCTTAAAAATAATCCATTCACTTAAAAATAATCCAAGATTTAAAAAACTGTATACTTGTTTGAGCTTTTCATATGCATTCCCTTTATTAATGTCCTCACGGTAACCCTTGAGATAGGCATGTAATCATCTTTTTAAAGATGAAAAAAGAGAAACTCAGAAATAAGTGGTGTTGCTGGGATTTTAACCAGGGTTTTTCGGCTCCAAGTCCAAAGATGTTTCATATTCTTCACAGTTGCAGACTGCAAGCAGTTCAGTCAATTCTTATTGACTCTGAAACTGAAACTATTGGTTGCTCAGTCGTGTCTGACTTTTTGTGACCCCATGGACGGTAGCCCACCAGTGTCCTCTGTCCCTGGGACTCTCCAGACAAGAATACTGGAGTGGGTTGCCATTTTCTTCTCCGGGGGCTTTTCCCGACCCAGGACTCAAACCTGGGCCGTAGGCATTGCAGGCATTCTCTTTACCGCCGACCCGCTGGGGCCCGTTTGTGACTCTGGTTTGGTAAAGTTTGGCCTCCTGAGGTTCACTGATTCATTCATCAAACATTTATAGAGGCTTTGTTACACCAAATGTTTTCCCCAATGCTGAGAATACAAATAGCCTTTGTTCTCAAGAGGCTTTAAGTTTACCAGTGAGAAAGGTATGATAAACATTTAGTTACGGAATAAAGTCAGCACTAGCTAAATTGTATAGATTAATTGGTTTACACATTAAAACTTTCTATTTTGTATTAGTACAAGAACTTAGAGAATTTTACCTTTGTAAATTTTTAATTTTAAGCAATTTAATAGTGAGGTACTGTCTAATAGTGAGGTATTGTTTTATTCATAGTGATATTTAATGTCATATTGGATTGTAAATTTATGGAGCAATAGTTTTTAACCCTTTTTGAGAATCTGATGAAAGTACTGAATTGATTTTCCTCAGAATAATGCCCCATGCATGTTCACATATAATTTTGCATAAGATATACCAGAGGTCAGATGCCCAAAGCAAGAGTCCATGGTACTCAAATTAAGAGCTGTTTCTTCAGAGCAGTGTTGCTTAAAACTTTTAAATCCACACACCAATAAGTTTTTTCCCCTTGTGAATACTGCTTGTGGTAGTACTTATTTCATGTTTTTATATTTTCTAAAAGTACAGTTTTGTACTATGAAATAATCATTAATTCATGAGCTTAGGACGCTAGTCATTTTTCCCCCAGTACAAAATACACATTTTCCCCCAGTACACAAAAGATCATGTTATCTCCGCCCCTGGCATGTATTGCACAGTTGGTGAATATTATCCTTTTCAGTTTGTTCTAGTATTTTATTCTTTATTCTTTTCTTAGGAAATATAAGTTCTTTACCTCTGCCTGTAAAAATTGTAATGTGCTTTTGAGTCTGTTAACTCTGTTGAGAAAAGGAGTAAGGAATCTAGAGCTAGGAGCAAAATGAGAAGTCTTTTTGTCTAATAACCTGCCTGCTGAATGAATAATCACCACCATTAACATTTATTGAGCATTCATTATGTGCCAGAGTTATTCTGAGTGCTTTATATGTTCTAACACATGTAAAACTCATTGCTAAGAAGTAAGTATTATATTCATTGATTCTACATATTTATTGAGGACAGTACAGTATTTCTAGATGCTGGTAATATCTATGACAGTAAACCCAGTATTTAACCCTTTGTAGCTTAATTTAACAAATGAAGAGACTAAGATACAAAGTTTATAACTTGACCTAGGTTTTGTAGCCAAAAAGCACAGAGTTCAGATTTGAACCCAGTAGTCTAGCTTCACAGATTTACTCTTTACTGCTGCTCCCTATTTGCTTCTCACTAGCATATTTTGATCAGCCAATTTGGAGGAAAACAGTTTGACAATTTGAAGGAAAACAATCAAACTAGATACCTCATTTTTCTAAGATGCATGTTAAAGAAGCATTTAAACATCATTTCTTATATTGGGATAAGCGTTGAATTCAGTGATACCTAATTGAAGGTTTTTAAAGATATCAGATGAGATAATGTCTGTTAAGTGCATAATTATATTATTATAATATATGAAGTGTTGACTGCTTCTTAACTTTTTGTCTGTTCTTACTCACAAGTATTTCCATTTCATTTGAGTAGGAAATGTTGGCTTTAGGGGTGGAGCAGTGAAGAAAACAAAAGGTATATCATGGATCTTACATTCTGTGGGGGCAGATACAGACAAAAAGATATGTATCAGTAATAGGTGCTGAGTAAGGTGACATATCATTAAACGCTTAATGATTTTAAATGATATTCAGGAAATGATATAGTTTAATGATATTTAGGGAGAGCTCTAAGTAGGTGATATGAGAGCAGGAACCTAAATAACACGAAGGAATAAGCCGTGTGCGTGCGTGGCTAAGGAAAGAGTTTACCAGGAAGAGGTGGCGGCAAATGCTGAAGTCCCGAGTCTGCCTAGCAGTTTTGGAAACCAGTCGGGCTGGAATGGAGTTAGAAACAGATCAGGAAACCATTGCATAGTGTAGTATCCTAGGCAAGAACTGCCGGTGGTTTGGAGTAGGGTGAGAGCTGTGAAGGTCAGGAAAACTGGTTGAATTCTGGTGACATTTTGAAGATAGAGCCAGTGTAATTTGCCATTGATTAAAGTTTGAGGGAAAGGAGGGCTTCCCTGGTGGTCAGTGGTAAAGAATCCTCCTGCCAATGCAGGAGATGCAGGTTTAATCCACAGGAAGAATCCCCTGGAGAAGGAAATGGCAGCCCACTCCAGTATCCTTGCCTGGGGAATCCCATGGACAGAGGCGCTTGGCGAGCTACAGCCCATGGGGTCCCAGGGAGTGGGCACTACTACCTAAACTAAACAACGACATTGAGGGTAAGGAGGGCGGCAGAGAGGACTTCCCTGCGTTTGGCCTGAGCCACTGGAAGGATAGACTTGTCAGCTTCTGAGGAAGAAAATATAACTGGGGGGGTGAAGATCTTCAGTTGGAGTTAAACTTCTTAAATTAAAAATTCTTCTTAGACATGGAGATGTAGGCATTGGATAAAAAAAAGCCCAGAGGAATAGTCTTAGTTGGAGATACTAGTTTGGGAGGAATCAAATAAGGATTTCTTGATACCACTTGCAGCTGTGTGTGTGTGTATGTGAGAGAGAGAGAGAGAGACAGCCATATTATTTAATGTGAGTGAAGAAGCTGTTGGTAACAGTAATTTTTAAATGTTTGATTTTTTTAAATGTGCTCAATTTAATGCATTTATCAATTGAAACACTTATTTTTAAAATATTTAATATAGATGGTGTAAGTTTATGTACATTTATATTCAAAGAGTTGGACACTAGTGACTGAGCAACAATATTTTAAGTGCACAAATATGTAAGTTTTATTTTTGTGGAACAAAACTGAAGTAAAATACAGCAAAATCTCTTGGTACTTATGAGTTGAAACCTTGTAATTGAATGCTATATATAATTTTATTTCTGATTATTAGAACTTAGAGTTATTTGTATAAACATCTGATTTTTTTGTGTGTATGTGGTTTTTAAGGTAATGCTATGGGCTATGTACGAATGATAAGATCTGGTGGTCTTCATTGTAGCAGCAATGCCATTAGGTATGGATGCAAACATATTTTTGCCTTATTTATGCCATGTAGAAATTTTATGTCATTTAAATCTGTCTTTATTGTAAGTAATATTGTAGAAGGGGCTTTTTTCTCTTCTTACTGATATATTTTGAGATCAGATACGGAAGAAAACCATTAATCCTACTACTTAAATATTTTTCTCAAATTTTAAGACTATAGCAGACTTGAAAATCTGTATTTTTTGAAGTTAATTTCTTTTATCAGTGCAGTTTGAAATGTTCTATAGATTACGTAATTTTTAAAGATTATAATTTGATGATTATATGTAAATAATTAAAAATGCTGAAGTTGAGTTTTGGAACTCAATTGTTCCAAATATAAGTGGTGATATTAATAATATAACTGAAATGCAAAGTTCTTTCCAAAGATATTGTTGAAAAATTTAGTCTTACAGTACTGCTTTTATGTCTGTCAATTTCATATATTTAACTGCTTTAATAAATGCCTTCCAAAATTCTTATGTAGATTTGTACCTGATCTTGAAGATATTGTAAATTTTGAAGAACTAGTCAAAGAAGAAGGTCTTGCAGAAGAAACATTAAAAGCAGCAAGGTAATCTAATCTTGGAAAAAAAGTTAAATTTGGATATTTAAAAAATGTATATTCATTTAAACATTAAAGACTAGAGGATAACACATAAACTGATATGTCAGTGTTTTTATTATGCAAATAATGGTCTGTTTATGGAATATAATTTTTTTAAGACTACAGTATTCTGAGATCTTTTCAGTGTCACTAAAAGGGATCTTTTAGACGGTGCCCTCAAATACATGTGACTGTTCAACACTTGGCATGTGGTTAGTCTATATGGAAATGTGCTGAAGTATAAAGTTCATAGCTAATTTTGAGGATTTAGTGTTTGAAAAAGAATGCCAAATAGCTCATGAACAATATTGGGGCTTCCCTGGCGGCCCAGTGGCTAGGGCTTCTCGCTCTCAGTGCAGAGGACCTGAGTTCTGTCCCTGGTCAGGAAACTAGATCCCACAAGCCCTGCAGCTCAGAGCTCTTGTATTCCAGCTTAAAACTGGATGCAGCCAAATAATTTTTAAAAAGTAGAAATTAAAAAAAATCTCATTAACAAAATTCATTTCACCGATCTTAAAAAATAATTGTATTTACTTATTTATCTTTGGCTGTGCTGGGTCTTTGTCGCTGCGTGGGCTTTTCTCTGTCTGTGGCGGGTGAGGGCTGCTCTCTGGTGTGGTGCGTGGACTTCTCACTGCGGGGTTCCCCTGTCGCGGCTCCCAGCTCTGGAGCACAGGCCCGGTAGTTGCAGCACATGGGATCTTCCCGAATCATACATTAAACCCATGTCTCCTGCCCTGACAGGTGGATTCTTTGCCACTGAGCCACCAGAGAAGCCCCTTACCTATATCTTTCTACTCTCTTTTAATATTCCTCTTTGCCAGCATGGCTCTAGAATACTGGTCCGTCCTTTTATGTAACCTGGAGCAGTAGTTTCCAGTACAGTGGCCACTACCAATTGTAGCTGTTGAACACTGGAAATAGGGCTAAGGGACTAGGGAACTGAAATCAAATCTTTGTTTCATTTAAATTTAAATAGCTAATGACAATCCTATTGAACAGTGCAGATGTATAGACTTTTAAGTAGTGATTTTGGAACACACTTTAAAACTTGAAAAGGCATGCAGAATTGTTAAGCAAGTATTTAGAAAATGGGGTTTTCTCACTAATAACTGTAACAGTTATTGAGTCAGGCATGAAGGGGCACCCTTGGACAAAGTGGAAACAATTTGAATATCAAAAAGAATAATGGTAGAAATTGATTATACTGAATTTAAGAAGAATCTGTGATACAGTGATAATAAAAGTTGGAGAGACAGAGGGAAAGTTCCTTTTTACAGTGCTTGCCAGCTAGTAAATATGAAAGGGATGAGAAAATTTAGGGAAAAAACCAGTTTTGCAACTACCACTGTAGTACTTGACATCAGACAAAAATCATCAATGAATTCTCAAACATTTTTGGAGAACAGAATATTCAGTGTGAAAACATTGTCTCACAAATTGATTATTAATCATAAAGGGGAAAAAAACCACCTTCCCAATGGAGAGACTGATGTATCCTCCGTACATGCTGACATAGGGCCCCCTGATGCAGTGTAATGGCAAGTACCTGTGTTGTGTTCTTGCCTTAATGTTTACTTGTCAAGTGAAACAAAGTTTATGGCAGGTGATGTCAGGGAGTTAGGAGGTTATGATAACAAATTGATTCTCTAAATGGACATTAATGTCTTCTGCCACAGGTATCATAGTTGAAGATAAATGGAAGGGCAGTGGTTAAAATGGTTAATAGATGCCTGCTTTCCGGAGGTAGGGGTTGGATAGTTGGACATAGTTGGGTCACATGCATCTCAAAGGGGAGATTTCTACCATTTATTGGTGGAGGAATAGTAATTTGAAAGTGATAATGGCCATACATAAGGATGTAGAAGCAGCAGCTAATGTTTCTGAAGGTTGACTCAGTGAGTGAGTGAAAGTCGCTCAGTCGTGTCTGACTCTTTACGACCTCACGGACTATAGAGTCCATGGAATTCTCCAGGCCAGAATACTGAAGTGGGTAGCCTTTCGCTTCTCCAGGGGATCTTCTCAACCCAGGGATCAAACCCAGGTCTCCCATGTTGCAGGCAGATTCTTTACTGGCTGAGTGACAAGGGAAGGCCAGGAATACTGGAGTGCATAGCCTGTCCCTTCTCCAGGGGATCTTCCTGACCTAGGAATCGAACCAGGGTCTCCTGCATTGCAGGCTGATTCTTTACCAACTGAGCTATGAGGGAAGCCTGAAGTTTGAGTGAGAAACTAGATTCTTGAAAAGGAGATCGGTTACAGTTGAAGTCAGGAAGTGTAGAAGTGTTAGTGAAGAAAGTTAAGATGAAAAGGAATTTATTTACAATGAAATGGACTTCTGCAGGGTTCATTTTGAGAAGAAATACAAAACTAAAATTTCAAGAGGCACTACATATTCTGTTTTAGGGACTAAGTTAATTAAACAATGATAAGCTTCTGTCCATTAAAAAAAAAGTTCATCCTGTACTCCAAGGAAGTTTAGAGATGTCTTATAGTAATTCATATTTTTGAGTGCTCTCATCTAAACTAATGAGAGATAGATTTTAAAAGCTTCCTCTTTTTTTGAGAAAGGAACCAAATAAATACTTTTTTTCTTTTTTTTTTTGCATTTTAGGCACTTGGATTCAGTCCTCAGTGATCACACACGAAATTCTGCTGAAGGCACAGAATATTTCAAAATGCTTGTGGATGTTTTTGCTCCAGAATTTCGAAGGCCAAAGAATATACATCTCCGAAATTTCTATATCATTGTTCCCCCTCTGGTGAGTATTTTTAATACCCAAAATGAATTTTTTGAAGAGTTAATAAATTGATCCAGTTTTTTTACAGCAAGAAATGCACGCAGACTGTACTGCTGACTTTTTGGTTGTAGATAAAACTAAATGTGGTCTCAGTGAATGTGGCCTAGAATTTTCACTTACTGGCTATGCAGAATGAGACTTCTTTTTAACTAAGATAGATTCTCATTAGTTAATAACTGCCAGAGGAATCCTAGTGTGATTTAAATGACTTGAGTATACTCCATTTTATATATATACCATGTAATCTTTGGACTGAATTATATAGTCATTTTAAGTGATTAATGTAGACTGTTAAAATATGAAGTGTTTCTTAAAAGCATGCTATTTAAAGGGACTTCCCAGATGGTGCTAATGGTAAAAAACCACAGACGGAGCCTGGCAGGCTACAGACCATTGGTCGCAAAGAGTTGGACATGACTGAAGCAACTTAGCATGGCATAGCATATCTCTACTCAGTAGTAAATGTTAGCATCTAAACTAAATTTTTTTTATCATATATAGTGTGTGCTGCTCTAATTCTGTAGTTGACATCTTAAAAATAACCACAATTGCAGTATGAAAACAGTGATTACAGTGAGGAAAATGGAGTTAAGAGATTAGAGAGGTATATATTAGGAAAAAGAGTTATTCTGCTCTAAAGGTTTCTTTAACAAAGCTCTTAAAAAAAATTGTAAAAGAATAGCTGTAAAGTCTAAATATCACTGAGCAGATGTAACTTCTGATCACATCTAACTTTGATCAAGAGTACTGACTTTTTTCACGTTGCGCCTGAATTAACACATGTATTCTCACATACTACTGTTAGTTGCTCAGTCGTATTCAGCGCTTTGCAGCCCCATGGACTGTCGTCCGCCAGGCTCCTCTGTCCATGGGATTCTCCAGGCAAGAATACTGGAGTGGGTAACCATTCCTTCCTCCAGGCAGTCTCCCTGACCCAGGCATTGAACCGGGGTCTCACATATTGCAGGCAGATTCCTTACAGTCTAAGCCATCAGGGAAACCCGAAAGTGAAAGTGTTAGTCGCTCAGTCATGTCCAACTCTTTGCGGACTGTAGTCTGCCAACTTAGAACCATTATTATGAATTCAGAGTATCTGATGGGTACGGATAACTTTTTTCTTCATGCATTTTCCTTTCTGTTGTTTCTTTTTTAAATACATTTACTGTTAATACTGTCATAATAATTGTTATACCATGTAGCAAAAATGTCCATATTTGTCTGATAAGCATTATCTTTTCATATTCAGATAGTTGTGAGACTGGAGGCAAATCTTAGTTATATTTCAGTAATAATGTAGTTAACTCACGGTGAGTTCTCACCATCTTTCTTTAATTTGAAGCCATAGTAAACAGCAGTGAGGAACCATTTGTGGGTCTGAGGAAGAGTGGAATTTTGCAGGGCAGCTGTCAAAATTCAGTTAGTGATGGAGAAAACAGGTGGGTTAAGAACACTACAAAGAAGAAAAGTATGGGACACTATTGTTTTCCTTGAGTTTTAATCTAATTTCAGGAAAAAACGTGAAATAGCTAAGGAAGAAATCTTTAACAAAGATTTTACAAAATGCAGTTCATTGCCAAATAAGTTTTACAGGCCAAAAAAAAAGGGAAACTTGATCATCTTGTTTCCATTGTAATCTATTGTAGCACTTGTCATACTGTACCATAATTATTGTTAAACAGGCCTCTCTTTATTCTTGTGCTGTGCTATCGTAGCCCCAAGTGGCCACTTAAATTTAAATCAGTTAAAATCTTATAAAAAGTTCAGTTACTCAGTTTTACTAGCCACGTCTCAAGTGCACAGTGGCCAGATGTGGCTGGTGGTTTACTGGATTGGACAGTGTAGATGCCCTGCATTCCTGCCGTTGTCAGGAGTGTTGCCCTGTCGAGTGTTAGATGGTATTCATTTTCTCACTGTGATCATTTCATTGGGCCTCCCTCGTGGCTTAGTGGGTAAAGAGTTTACCTTCAGTGTATTAGAGATAGGAGGAGTGGGTTCAATCCCTGGGTTGGGAAGATCCCCTGGAGCAGGGCATGGCAATCCACTCCTGTATTCTTGCCTGGAGAATCCCATGGACAGTCCAGAGGGTCATAAAGAGTCAGACCACGACTAAAGCACCTGAGCACACATAGTAAGTTTAGTAAATCTTTGTTGAATAAATGCTGTGATTAGTTAAGTATTTTATAGGAGCTAAATTTTTAGGGAAGTCCTTTTTGGGGGGAATTTGTTATCCAAATGACCACTAAGCTTTTTAAGCCAAGAATATGGTAAGCATGAATTGGGTGGCAGAACTAAGGATTGCTGTGTTTAAGAGTACTTAAGCTTTTAAGTAAAGCAGACCTACTTTTCTGACTCAACTTAACTTTAGATTATGGCTTTAGGGAAGTTACTAAACCTCTCAAGCCTTAGTCCCTTCTTCTGTAAAATGCACATGATATTTTAGAATGAATCTTACAGCAAGGCAGTGTGCTTGGGTTAAGTGGTGATTGAGGGAGTGCTGACATTTAAAGGATTTGGAAAAGAGCCATTATGAGATACTTACACATATTGTGACCTCACCAAGAGGCCTTTTATATGAGGCAAGTGTTTGAAATCAAAAAGGCAGGAACTTAGAAGAGATCCTATTTATAATTTTTGAAATGTCTGTTTTAGGAACTAAATTCTGCTGACTCTTTTTAGCACAGTTGTTTCTCTGATATGTTGTTATATTTTTTTAGACCCTCAACTTTGTAGAGCATTCCATTAGTTGCAAGGAGAAATTGAATAAAAAAAATAAAATCGGAGCTGCCTTTACTGATGATGGATTTGCCATGGGTAAGCTTAATGAGATTCTTTTCCCATGAATTTTGTGTTTACCTTACAATGAATTTTTCGAAATGTTTGCTTGAGAATAGATCTATGTGCTCTTTGTAGATTTGTTTTTCACAAGCTGTGTGTGTTTACTGTTTACTTTTTAGCTGGGTCATCTGGTTGTTAATACTTGTTTCCCATCATTTGTACTGTTCATGCTCCTTTGGTGTTGCTAATCACTTGGGTTAATTATTTAGGCTTTGTTTTTGTTGTAGGTTTACAGTTTGACCATCTTTTATTTAGTTTCTCTGGTTTCCTTGTAGTTTCCTCACTTGTTGTCTGTTTAGCAGTAGAACCAGTCTTACAGCCCTGTGTTATCATTAAGTGACCTTCATATCTTCAGAGCCATATTATTTCTTTTTATCTCCTTGATTGGCTTTTTAAAAAAAATTTCTTTATAGGATCACATCTTTTTAAGGAGGAATTAAGCCATGTTGCTAAACTTTTCATTTGTGCTGTAAAGTGTAATTGGAAAGAGGAGTAATTTTAAAACAGTTAATTTTAAGAATTATTGGTAGAGTAAAATACAGTTTCTGTACACATTGTAATTTGATTTTGGTTTTGCTGACAACTCCAGGGGTGGCTTACATTCTGAAGCTTTTGGATCAGTACCAGGAATTTGACTCGCTTCACTGGTTCCAGTCTGTTAGAGAGAAATACCTGAAGGAGATGAGAGCGGTTGCTAAGCAACAGAATGTACAGTCAACTAGTCAGGATGAAAAACTACTCCAAACCATGAATCTCACTCAGAAACGACTGGATGTTTATCTGCAGGTAGAGGAGAATAATAGTCAAATCTGGTTTGACTTTTTAATACCCATTACTTCTTGATCACTGAAAAAATGTCAATCATATTGAAACTCCCATTTTAATAGGTGAGATGAATAGTGGTCATAAAGAGTATATTTTTAAATGAATGATACTGGGAAGCCATTTGACTCATATCTTTAAAAATGGATGGATTGCTTAGTTCAGTTTCTGTATTTATGATTTGCACTCACTAGAGCATTTCAGAAAATGAAGAGGTATTAAATATGGTAATTTTGATATTTTGCTCAAATAAGTATTTTCAACTTTTATTTCTGATATTTTTATTTACTTAGGAATTTGAATTGCTGTATTTCTCACTGAGCAGTGCAAGAATTTTCTTCAGGGCTGACAAGACTGCGGCTGAAGAAAACCAAGAAAAGAAAGAGAAAGAAGGTTAGTGAGTGGCTTTTATTTGGAAAGACTAGTAAATCTTTCATCAATAATAGATAGGAATACCCCATATCTAGTCCAGATCTACTATTTATACCCCAAATCTACTATTTATCTAGTCAGACTTTTCTTTTTGAAAAAATATATAAACCTAGAAATGTCCTTTTTTTTTTTTTAAGGTAAAGCCTAAGTGGATCATTTGTGAAACTGAAAAGAAATTTAACATGCATTTCATTCTGGAATAACACTTTATTCAGTTCATCTTCTCAATTTAAAATTTTACAAAGTTTGGGTTTTTTCTTTTGCCCTTTAACTGTTAGCAGATGAGAAGGAACAGATAAGAGGAGACTAAGTGCCGCTGAGGGCAGGTCTGCTGATGACTAGATGACTGAAGGCCTGGGCAGGTGACTGGGGGCGTGGAACGGTCAGGGCTGTTTCAGAGTCAGGGGGATAGCTCCCGTGCTCCTCTACAGCCGGGCCTGGGAGAGGCAGAGCGGTCCAGCCGTAACCACTGACGGTCACTGAGGAGAGGTTCTGTCCCAGACAGTCTGTGTGGGTGTAAGTCCTTCAGTATTGGTACTTAAGGGACCCTCATGACCGTTCCTCTCAGATTTGAAATGTAGCATTGATTGTTTTCTCTGAAAAATGGTGATTTCCTTTTTTCTGTTATGGAAGTTATGCCACGTAGGCTTCCTCTTGGGAAACTCAAAACTAGGGACAGCAACTTAACAGGTTTCACATTTGCTCTGTTTCCTTTTTTCTTGTATTTATTTCACTAATCAAGAATAAAAGAACTTCATGAACTGTGATACTTTTATTAATCTTACCAGTTAAATTTTTAAAATATATATTTCACACTGAAGAGAGATCATTCGTTTCAGTAGATCACTTACATCCATTACCTTATTCCCTATTGATAATGTTACATATAGCAGTATTACTAGCATATGCAGGCATTTTTGGAATCTATACTAAATAAGTATTGATAATTGTGTGCTTGAAAAATGATTTCAGGCTGTTGCCTGGAAGGTAATCAGTATTTATTAAGTGAAAAAATACATATTTATTACTTTGGGGCTCATTTAAAAATAATATTTAGCCAAGTCACCTGGAAGAATCTGAGTCAGTATAATCTAAACTGTGAAGAGTTTAGTAACTGAAGTGTGAGTTCAGTTTAGATTGGAGTCTAAGAGTTTAGATTCAGCAGTTCAGTCACTGCAGGACATAGGCTGTGCTCAGGCCCGTCATGATGCCAGGACCTTGTCTGCCGGTGGGCTGGATGTTTAAGGCCTAGAGCATTAAGACAAAATGAACATCGCAGTCTCAGTAGAGCTCCTTGCTCTGGACTGCTGTTCTTGAGGAGCTCTCTGGGGCTTGGGGTTAATGTATGTCACCCATATATCTGCCTGATGCCTTCGTGGTGGCGCTGCTGTAGGGCTGTTTTAGCTCAAGGTTGCTCAGAGTTGCTAAATATATTAGCTAAATAGTTTTTCTCTGTTAATGAAGTATATGCATATGACATTTTTCACTAAAAGTCAGAAATCCATTTTATTATGTTCATAATAAAAAATCACATTTAAAAATAAATTATAAACATAATTGGGAAGGTATTCATTCTGGACAGTTTTATATGTGAATTTGCAGTCATGTTTTTACCAGTAACAGCCCTATGATTTCCTCGCCCAGGTGGGGGAATGTGCAGTGTGAAACCAACCCCACTCCAGACACAGTTCTGATGTCTCAACAGTTCCACACCCCCATTTCAAACTAGTCAGAACATCACATTTGCAGTATTTAGCCTTGAGTTCTAAAACATGAAGGTAGATAAACTGCATATAATTTGTGATATTAGAGAAATATTTGGTAGATGCAACATTTTGTTCATTAGAAATTTAGCAGTATTGTCCTTGATTTTAGTTTGTAATTTTTTGGTTTTTTTAAATGAACATAAATATGTCCATTTTCACTCATGCTTTCAGAAGAGACTAAAATAAGCAATGGAGACCTGCCCGACAGCACTGTGTCTGCAGACCCTGTTGTCAAATGATACTGATGGTGTGCGTTGCCCCTGTGAGATCATCAGAATCGTATGTGAAGTGGATGTTATAAGCTAATAACAGAGTGTTTCCTGGGCTGCATCTCTGGGAAACATGTAGATGCTGCATCTCTCTAAGGCAGTGCTCTAAAGTGAAGTCCATTCTCCGTCTAAAAGCTGTACTTTTCGAAGGTTGAGAATGAGATTTTAAAATAAGATTTTTTTCTTGGACTTTAGGCTTGACATGCCTGCTTGGGAAACCGATGTTTGAAATGAAACGTTAGAGGGGTTCACCCACATTCCTAAACTGCCACCTCAGATCTCTTATAATCTACATGAATGTTTATAATTTGTATTTGCATAGGTCTTTGGTCCGTATTTGTCTCAGTCATTGGAAATTCAGTGCATATACTATGTTCAGCCAGTAAATATGTTTAAACAAAAGGAATTGAGCCTGAAATTCATGAAGCATACATACCAATATTCTTATAAAAGGGATATATGAAGATGGTATTGATACTAGAGGTGAGGCACTAGTGTATTCTTTATGTACAGTGTGAACTGGTTCATTGTTAATTTCATGTGACTCACAAGAGCTGCTGCTGTCCAGTGAGAAATTTTATAACTCGTTTACATTGCTTTGAGAACTTATTTAACCTCCAACAACTGCTTTAAATTTAAGATTTACTTAATACTCAAGATGGAGGAAAATACAGATAAAGCCATAGATTCCTGCTTGACGCTTTACATTTGGCTGAAGGCATATTTATACCAGAGAAAACTGAATGAATTCTTACTTCTACATCCAAACTCAGGTTTCTTCTACATTAGGTTCAGTTGAAGTCTTGGTGATGGTTTGGGCAGATTTTTTTTCTTTAAACCAAGTATAATCTAAGAAATCAGATTTAGCACTGTGCAGGCTTTAAAAAAATTACCACTGTGAGAATGAAGTTCTAAATAACAAAATCATTTACTGATTTAAAAAGTACAGAAAGATTTAGAGTAAATTTAGTTCCGGACAAGCAATTATTAGCTTTATTTTTGTAAAGATTGTATCAGTTAATAGTAAAATGGTTAATCATGGCCTATAATATTTTAATATAATGATACCTTTACAGTGAAAACAAAGTTTGAAACTTTACATGTAATACTAATGTTATTTTAGGAAATACTTGATTTTTCCATTGCACTTGCGTATAAAGCATTTCTTTGGGTAAATTTTGGGAGTAATTCTGACGTTGTTTGATTTCCAGCTTTTGGAATGGGTGTACAATGCCCTGTCTGTTCTCATTGATCATAGTCAGGGTAGCTTTCCCAGCTCAAAATAAATATTTTCACTGTTAAAATTCAGAAGAAACAGAATAGGTAGGAAATGTTTTTTATTGTGTCAACTTGACTTACAGAATTATGTACAATGGATGGATTAAAGACATTTAGTATTTGTAGTTCATACTAACTGTAGAAATGGCCCTGAAGCATGCTGCATAATTAATAATTTATATTTTCATTATCATCAATGTTTATAGTAATGATCTTGCATTTGACTCTCAAATTGGTCACCATTTCATAGCAACAGTATTTTTTTTGTTTTTCTTCTTTAACTTCCCTAAAATCATTTCCTTTAATAGAAATTCTAATTAGAAGATAATCAAAGGTTTCTGTCATTTTCCCCACGTCAGTTATTTTATCCACACTAGATGGAGGTCACATGCTGACTCCATGGATACCTATGATTACGAAAAATGTGATAGATCAATATTTTACCTTTAGTTCAAAATAATGTCACTGCAGACTGGATAGGGTATAATTAAGTTTACTTATTTGAAATAAAATCTCTGAAAAAGATTAAGCATATTTAAATGCTGTTAGAGTGCAGAGCAACAGGGCTGAGTGTTCTCACACCTAAGTTAATGTACACGTTTAGATGACGGTTTTCCTTGCCAATGTATTAATGTTAACATTTTCATTTTTTTCAGACATACTGCAATTTAAAATTTGTGTAAGCATTTGTTGTAAATTCACAGAAAACTTAATGTTCAAATTCTCAGGAATTAAGGACTAACCATAACATTGTCAATTCTAATTAGATTTTATAAAAGATGGTAAGTTTGTTATCTCCCTTAAGTGGGGGCTTTCCTCTCCCCCAGTTCTAAGAGAATACAATATGTATAATAGAACATTAATAAATGCAATTTCCAAAATTTACTTCCTTTGGATGTTTGTTCAGAATTGAATGTCTTAAACCAGTAGTTCTTACTCTTTCTGGAGTTCCCTTTAATAGTATGTGGAAATGTCTTTTAAACAAATACTTGCATGCATGTAGGCAAGAAATTTCAAGTATAAAATTGACATTGGCTCCTCTGTGTAGCCCAGGTGAACTTTTTGTTTTCTTTCCTTTTTATATTTTTAATCTTTCTGTTGCTTGCTGTTTTCAAATAAAAGAACCCAAATGAATGTATAATTTTAAATCTTACTCCTGGGGAGGGATCATTAATCTGTGGTGCTGTAGTGCCATTTGCAGTCATGACTTGGACTGGAACAGTATAATAAAGAAGAGCATTCTAAATGCTATGCTGGAAAAAATGTTCTGCTTTTCTCTTCTGAGGTGGTAAATTTGTAAGGTTGTGGGAAAGCTGAGACAATATCATTACATACATTGTCCCCTTACTTTTTTATGCTGGACTGGCCAAATATAAATGGTGGACTTTAGCCAGTTTTAATAATTTTAGTTCTTTTTCCAGCTTAAGTTGCAGAAGTTTCAGACTGATGGTATTCCTTAAGAGATTTAATGCTACATTTTTTTGTTTGTTTGTTTTTAGATGTTAGGACAATTAAAAGTTTAGATTGTCACAGATTTCAGTTATAAAAAAGGAGTCCAGAATAAGTGGGTCTGTAGCTATTAAGTGAAGTCATAGAAGTGTGCAGTGATGGTGATGACAAATGAGAGTTTAGTTTATACAGGAATTTCTTATAGGAAAGGTTGATTTGGGCAAGTATATGGATATTTTCCTCTATTGTAATAGTTTGGTTCTTCTTTATCACCTAGTTTACCTAATAGCACTGCTTGTTCCCATGAGTGGAGAACATACTCGGGGAAAATAGGTGAAATTTCTGTCTGTCTGTGTAGATCTGATGTCATAATTCTGGAGTCACTTTTAAGGTGTACATTCTGTAATGTAAGATCTTTGTGTGTATTGAAACATTTTCTCATAATGCCATCATTATCATTAATGTGAGGGGCAAAAGTGAGGGGCCAAAAAGTTAACACTTCTATACCCAGAATCTCCTGTTTATATAAAGGTGGTAGAATTACAGTAAACATTTCAGAATCTGTACAAAAGGTAATAAGGCATTAAGGATGCACTTTTTAGTTGATGCAATTACTGAATATCAGAATCTTCAGAGATGACTGCATTGGAACATTTGGAGGTTGCTTTGTCTCTGGTTTTCTGTCTGCTAACAGTATAGCAGGAGCATAGATTCTGGAACCAGGAGTGATTTGAATCCTGAGTTGCCGCTTACAAGTTTACTTACCTTCTGTGCTTCATTTCCTCAGGCCTAAAATGGTGTAATAATATTGTTAATAGATTGAGGATTTAGTTAATATGTATAAAGCCACTTTATTAGGAAACAGTAACTGCTATAAATACTGTTACTATGGTTGCTCCTATGGGCAGAAATGCACTTGGCATGTAATTATTAGCTGTTGAAAAGTCTGAAGATAAGCAGTCTGTATTTGACTCTGTTGGTCTCATAAAATCTTCCTTTTTAAATAGCTCAGTGGCGCGTTGACAGCGTGAGACAGGTCTTGCTCCTCCCTGAAGCTGGTCTGACAGGTGCCAGTGCTGCGAGATGCAGTTCGGTGAGGCTAGCTGCCTAATAAAAGGTCTCATTTTCCTCCTTCCCACCTTTTATTTACATGGCACTTGTGAATTTTTCAGAGGGCTTTCCTATGCATTAATGCACATTTCAGTTGAGAGAAAGGGAGTCACCCACTGTTCCTGAATTTAAAATATTTAAAAATCTGATACATGCAAAAGCATATTAGTATGTATGTGCTATTTAGTGACTGAGAAGAGAATGCCTGTGTAGCCACCAGGTGGGTTATGAGCTTACTACCTTAGATGCCCCCATTATTCCTACAGTAATCCCTTTTCTACTGCAGAGGAAGTCACAGGGCATTGCGTTTTTCTTGAAAGTTACAACTGTCAATATTTTAAAAAATAATACGGTGATGTTTGTGTTATTTTTTAAAGTTAAATGTATTCTGTGTGCTTATATGACTTTAATTCAGTATCACTTTTGAAATTCATCCACATTGATGTATATAGATCTAGTTCATTTAGCTTTATTTCGCTCATCCTGGATTACATGAATAGAGAGATTTAGTCTGTTGATAAGATCTGGGTTATTTCCAAACTTGGGATAGTGTGAATAGCGCTGCTCTAACCGTCACTACTTGTCCCTGGGAACGTGTGTGGAGTGTCCCCAGGCTGTGTCACAAGTGAACCTCCGTGGTGGCAGGGCCAGCTGTGCCTGCAGGTTCATTGGAAGAGAATGCCAGGCTGTCGTCCCATCCCAGAAGTGGGCGAGGTGACTCCCATTCCCTGCCAGGAGCTAGATTTCTGCAGTCTGGTCAGTATAGTATCTGTGTGGTTTCAATTTGCATTTCCTTGATTTTTATATGATTGGACATATTTCTATTTGAGTCTTCTTTTTCCTGTGAAATGTTTTCATGGCTTTTTTAAAAATTAGTTTCATCTTTACTGGATACATACGGTAGCTCTGTTTCATCTTTTAAGGAACTTCCAAACTATTTTCCATAGGCTATACATTATTAAAACTTTTTAATTAAAAATATTGATTTTTATTGTTTTATTATGTAGATATTTTATACCCTGAACGGTTCTAAGCAAGAATTCAGGGGGCTGTGGCTCTTGAAGCTTGTCGGAACTTACTGAGCTATGAGCTACTATGGTTATGCTATGATCTTATGGTGTATAATTTCATACTGTTTTGACCAGCTGACTGTTTCTGATGGTGCCGGTTTAATTTTGAGTTACAAAAGTTTTATTAATCCATTTTAAAAGCAGCACCTTTAAAAAGTTGGCCTTGATCACGTTATTCCGCTTAACCTCGCATAGTACCTACCCTCTGCTGTGATTTCATTGTGTTTTTAATTAACTGTTAAAGCTACAGAAACAACTTTAGTTTTCTTTCATGGATGTTGTAGAAAATAACCACAAAAAGAAACAGAATGATAGTTTTTATTTGCTAGCATTTATTGCTAGGTTAATTTATTACAAAGACAGCTGTATTTCTGTTGAACTTGGTTATAATTAAATACACTGTATCAATTAAAGATCATTATGCTTATTTCCTAATGGGCTAGGATGTCTGGAACCTGTGTGTCAGGGAACTTTTCTACCAAGCCCCATGGCCAGCTGTGCTTCAAGTGAGTTTAAAAATTCATTGGTCCCTTCTTTAAGGAGGGTCTGGCTCAGAAGAAATAGCAATTGGTAGAGCTGCACACTGTCCATGGTGCTCCACCCCTAAAACAGTACCTAAAGGCCCATACACTTCAAATGCTGGTTCATTAAGGTTCCACTGTAAAATCAGACATCTTTTGTGGTACTTATCTGCTTGCTTTTTTATTGTGTGATGTTTGAACAATTACCAAAACTAGACCTGCGTTTCTGCTAGTGCTCAGACTTCAAAGCACAGGGCTCATCACCTGACTGCACAAATTAATGCTGTTAGGTTGAAATGATGAGACAGACTTGATTATAAACAGACCAATTTCAGAATGACAGGCACTTACAGTTTCATTAAAATACAAAAATAGATTATATTAATAGGAAATATTTAGTGTCTATCAAATTATAAATCTAGACTTTTACCATTTTTTTTAAAGGATACTGGAAACTGAAAAGAGATGACATTGAAATAAAGTGAACAGTGTATTTTTTTCATAGCTTTCATTCTGAGCACTGAACAATGCAATCTAAGAAAAGGACTTACCACAAAGCACCTAAAATAACATTTGTAGATGGGTATGTTGTCAACCATTCCTTACTGTTTCCCTCCCAAGTCTCAGTACCAAGGCATCAAGAGTACATTCCACAAGCGATTGTCAGCATTCTGAAACCAGGTGGTGTGCCTGTATGTATCAGAGAAGTTGAAAACCCTTAAGGAGGTAGCTCTCCTTCCTGGGTGGTCTTCACCCAAAGGCGCAAAGAAGTTATGCTTCAGATTCTGCGCCTCTATTTTCACTTGGACTTCCATCATTGTCATCTGGTTGATCGTTTAATAGTACATATTTTCCATCATTGGTTAGTGGTATGGACAGCATTAACTGAGCCAGTGCTTCTGGATCCTGAAGTTACGAGAGTTTAAGAAGGAGAAAAGAAAACACTTAAAATGCACTTAAAACCCCTTTCGTTTGGCTGTCATTATATTCTGTAATCTAACCTCATTTCTTCTGACTCTTGTCTTAGGTATGCCTTCTTGCATCTCTTAAAAAAAAAAACCACACCTCAATTGTTATTACTTCTCCCCAAAATTAGGCAAAGGTTCTACCTGTCAGCCAAAATATCATTTACATAGCAAACTCAGAATCATTTTTGTGGAAGAGTCCAGAGCGGAATTTCTTTCACAGCCCTGACCGCTGTCTTTAAACTCCTGTTTTTCCTTTTACTCTTATTTCCTTTTACCAAGAAGTGCCAACTATGGCTGTTTGGCTCACCACTTGTTTTTGTAAAGTTTTACTGGAATATAGCCATGCCAGGTCATTTATGTACTATGGCTGCTTTCGTGTTACAACAGCAGAGTTGGGTAGTTTGGCAGCAGAGATGGTGAGCCTGGACAGGTTTATCATCTGGCCCTGTATAGAAAGTTTGCCAACTCTGACCTACACCATAAAATACAAACTTGCCACAAGTGCTCTTTTTTCATCATGTTGGTCCTAGTCCTTGACCTGCCTGCCCTCCCTGATGGAGTACAACTGTACAAGTGTGATGCCCACTAGCTACACACTACTATTTACATTAGGTAAAACTAAAAATTTCAGATCCAGTTCCTTAGTCACACTAGCCACATTCAATCTGCATACTAAACAGACCGTCTCCGTTACTACAGAAAGTTTACAGAAAGTTTTGCGGTGCAGTGCTCAACTAGAAGCCCCTGGGGGCAGGAACTGTCTCTGGCTCACTGCTGTAACTGCAAGGATTTTTCTTACACAGAATTTGCTCTCAAAAATTAGTTGGCTAAATGAAAGATGATAAACTACTGATAGAGAGGTCTGAGAGTCTTCACTTCCAGTTTCCAGATAACATCTCAGTGTTGCTGCGCCTGTGACCACTCTGGGGGGTGAGGCCTTAGCGCACACGGCAGATACTGGTTGGTGTCCTTTAATCTAAAACAGGAAACCTAGCCAACCACCGCAGGAGCTGTAGCCATGGTATTTGTTAGCAACGCCACGTGTTTCCAGTGACAGAGGAACCAGCTGATCAAAAATGCCTGACACACAGAAGGCCTAAAAGGAAGCCCCAGATGTGGCCACTCTGCCTACTGAGCATTGTTTTTGAGAGAAAGGTAAGTGTACAGATAACTTCTGAGTTGTTCAGCCAGCACTAAAATGAACCTTACCTTCTGAACCTCAATGATTTCTTTTCCCAAATTAATAGCATAACATATCTGCAAAAAAAAAAAAAACAAGAAAAGCAGTGTTTGGCAGAGAAGGGTAAGAACTTGAGAAGATGATGTGATCCTGAAAGTACAGTGAGGTCACAGTCTGCTCCCATCACCGTGGAGGCAGAGGACCTGGCTGCAGGAAGTTCGTCAGGTGGGGCTTCTGAACACTAGCGTCCACCTGTACTGATCTCCTGTTGCCACTTCATGTTAAGTGAAAACTGACGTTATTAAATAGTCTAAAATTCTTACCGGATACTTTTTTCCTTTCTCTCAACCATATTTAGCCACTGCATGTTCATACACACAGTGCTTAACAGATACTTCCTGAAAGAAGGGTTGAATCATTTTGATTACTTCTAAGTAGTGAAGGCAGCCGCAGAGTTTCATACTAAAGAAAAGAACAGTTAAGATGTACTTTCCTGACATCTGCTTCCTTGGTTTCCTCCCTGAGAAAAGATTTTCTCCATTGTAACTTTTAAAAAAAGAACAAAGTTGAGGTGAACTGCTTTTTAACATTTCCTGATCTCTCCGAAGCAATTATATTTCACCATTAAAGTTCTTCACTCTTTCGCTTGATATGTACTTTCCATGCGGAAATTTTACTCCAGTTTTCAGTGGGGACCTGAAGAATAGTTAACTAAATGTTGAAGAGGTTTGTGCAAAATAACCCTTTAAATATCTATTTTTGGACTGAAATATTATGGCCTCGTCAGTCTAATGCTCTCCCAACTGAGCTGCTATTTCGGCCACCTTTGCAGCATCTTAAGATGAAGAAAAGAACAAGACCTTTTCGCCTTCTGAGTTGCTTTCAAAAACATATGTGCTCAGAGACTCTCCGCCTGTGGATTCAGGCAAGCGGACCACAAAGCCAACCAGTCTCTTGTTTTCTTGATGAGCAGCAAACTGGGTGACACTGGTGAGTTCAAACTAGAAAAAAAACAGGAATAGACTGTTACGACGCAGCAGACTGGAGTTAGGGTCATTCTCCATGGAAGCAGTGCACACTACTAGTGACGTGTAATCTGGCAAGTAAATTTTAAGTGCACACTTTGTGTTTCAGGTGACTATAAAGGGGAATTAAAGAGTAATCACTACAGTTAGCACGCAGCAGGGTACTTACATTGGCCCTTGTTACTTGAGTCTGGGGGTCTATCAACCTGAAATTTTAAGAGATTCATTATATCACAAATGTTGGATAAAATTATATTCTTAGATGAGTCTGTAGAACTTCAGAAGGAAACCATATAAAACTTTAAACATGAAAACATATTTTCACATGTTTTTGTCTGGTTGAGGGTGAGGTGAGCGCACCCTATGACCATCCAAAGGGAGCGAGTGCCCTGGTTTCTGCCTTGATTGCACCTGTGCAGTTAAACCTCAGGGCATCTTTAATGGAAGATGATGGCAAACGGTGGATTTCACGGCATTTTAGTGCTTATCCAAAGAGGCAGCATTATAATTCTCCAGAAAAATTAACATGGATGGGTAATACTCTGCAGCCGCTGCCTTAGAAATTCCTATCAGCCTGTTTCCCTTAAGTACCAGAAACAGATACTTCTCAGTTTTAAGTTTTCTCAAACACATGGGTTAGAGGTGAGAACAGTTAAGAGATTTAACAGAACTGTTCCCAAATTGAACCAAACTGTCAGTTTGGGTGTAGGAGGAATAACTGTAGGAAGGTATTCTAGACACTCTCAACAGCATTTTAAGCATCATCCATATCTGATCTGAAAAAACTATAGAGAGTTTGCCGTTATTTTATAGATACAAATTTCTACTTTCTAAAACATAGTACTGTGTATATAAATTATTATTGATGTGCTGTAAGTTTCATAAGTGAAAGTGAAGTATCCTCTTTTATTAAAAGATGGTTATAATTCTGTTTATATGGAATGTCCAAAATAGGAAAATCTGCTAGACATACTAGTGGCTAGAACTGAGCAGGTTGCAGGGGAGAGGGAGTGACTGCTAATGTGTCTGAGTTTTTTTGGGGGGGGGATGATGAAAATGTTCTAAAACTGTCTGGGTGACAGTTGTACAAATTATACATACTAAAAAACACTGCAAATCGGTAAATTGTACAGTACGTTAAGTTATATTTCAATAAAGCTGTCCCCCATTCCATGGTAACAATTTGAAAAATATACACTTATATTTGTTAAAGCACAGGATTTATCATCAGAGGGCTCAAGACTAAATTCCTGCATACTAACTTCATGATCTTATGCAAGTCACCCTGCCTTCTCTCATCTGCTTTGTAAAACTGGGATAAGAACCTCAGTAAACCTCAAAGAGGTGATTAACAAAACACGCATGGAATTTTAAGCTACAAAGCTCAATAATTATTTATGTCTTTTAGTGAGTGGCTCATTAATTAGTGGTGACTTAGAAGGTAAAGCGTCTGCCTACAATGTGGGAGACCCAGGTTCGATCCCTGGGTCGGGAAGATCCCCTGGAGAAGGAAATGGCAACCAACTCCAGTACTCTTGCCTGGAAAATTCCATGGACTGAGGAGCCTGGTAGGCTACAGTCCATGGGGTCGCAAAGAGTCTGACACGACTGAGCAACTTCACTTTCTTTGACTTTCATTAGTGAGTATGAATTTAATGATTTTTAAAATATACATCATAAACAATTACCCTCAAGTTGGGATAACCAGAGTATTTTGTAACTTTTCTATAAATGGAAATTGAAAACTTTTAGTCTGCTGTGTATATCAGGTAACCTGTATTTGCTTCTTAAGATCTGATTTTCTGTGTGACTTCTAAAAACATATGAATTCCCATACAAAGATGTGTGTGTATGTAGTGGTAAAATACACCTAACATCAAATTCACCATTCTTGACATTTAACACATCACACTATTGAACAAGCATCACCATTATCTAGTTCTAGAACAGCTTCATCACCTCAGAGGGAAATTCCGTATCCATTAGAGCAGTCACTTCCCATTCTACTTTCTTCTCAGCTTTTGGCAGTTCTCACTAATCTTTGTTTCTGTAGATTTGTCTATTCTGGATATTTCATTTTTTGTCTTCTGGATATTTCATATAAATGATCATACAATATGTGGCTTTTTCGTGTCTGTCTTTCAATTAGTATGTTTTCAAGGTTCATCTGTGTTGTAGTATATACCAGTACTTCATTCCTTTTTTTAAAGTTTATTCTTAATTGAAGGATAATTGCTTACAATAGTGTTTGTTTCTGCCACACATCAACGCGAGTCAGCCACAGGCGTACACATGTCCCCCCTCTTGAACCTCCACTCCTTTTTAAGGCTGGGTAGTATCCCACTGTACATATATACCCTGTTTTGTTTATATATTCATCTTTTTGATGGACACTTGGATTATTTCTCTACCTTTTGGCTATTGTGGATAGTACTCTTATATGAACATTTGTTTTAAATTCTTTTGGCTATCAACCCAGGAATGGAATTCTATGTTTAAGTTACAAAGGAACTGCCAGATTACTTCCCACGGTGGCTGAACCATCTTACATGCCCACCAGCAATGGGTTCCAGTTGCTTCACATCCTTGCTAACACCTGCTATTTTCTTTTTTAAAAAAATCTATAGTCATCCTAGTGGGTGTGAAGTGGTTCTGCATAAGATTTACATGTTATTCATGACAGCATATTTTCTGTGCTTACTGGCCAATTACATATCTTTGGAGGCATAGATAGTCCTTTGTCCATTTTTAAACTGAGTTTTTCCTTTGTTGATTTGTGAGAGTTCTGTATATTAGATGAGGATCTGAAAATATTCTCTCCCATTCTGTGTGTGGTCTTTGCCCTTTTTTTGGATCGTGTTCTCTGATGCACTACTTTTTTCTTAGTGCTTTTACATATATTTAATCTTTTTGGTGGTGATTATAAGAACAGTGAGCCAATGCCTATGAAAGGTCCAGGACATACTTGGAGAAAAGCTTTAAATAAATCTAAGTTTTTATTCGTAAGAACCTCATTCTTGAAGCAGGGCACTCAAAGCTGGTGCCCTGGGACAACCCAGGGGGGTTCAGGATGGAGGGACGCATGTATGCCTGTGGCTGATTCCTGTTGCTATATGGCAGAAACCACCAATTGAAATGAATGAATGAATTAAAAAAAACCCTCATTCTAAGTAGGTTTGTAACAAATGAAAAGGACTGATTTTAATAAATGGAAGAAACTATATTCTGATTTTTGCCAAAGTACTGGTTAACTGTTTTGAAACTTACCATTTATTGAGCACCTTCTATGTGACAGTCATGGCTGTATTTTACATGAATTAACTCATTTATTCCTCATGACAACACTATGTGGTGTGGATATGGTTGTTTTCATTTTATATTTATAACTGAAGAAACTGATGCACAAAGGTTAAGTAACTTGCTCAAGTTCAAACAACTAATAAATGCCAGAGTCAGGACTAAGACTCTAAAGGAGTGCTGCTGTCCCACAGAAATTTAATGTAAGCCTTGTATGTAATTCAAAAATTTCTAGCAGCCACATCAAAAAAAAAAGTGAAAGCAAGTATAATTAATATACTACTATAATATATCAAAAATATTACCAGCTAGACGTAATTGTTACTAACATAACAATTACTTTGCTTTCTCTTTGAGGTGGGTAACCCTAGTATGAGAGCTTAAATATTGGCATGTGCTTTACACTTCTCAGCTCAGATGAGTTAGGTTTCAGATGTTACATGTAGCTGCAGCATGGACAGTTCAGGTCTTAATAAAACCTGTGCCAACCACAGCTTGACCACTGTTTGCCATCATCCATACAGGTCTTATTATTTGAAACCCCAAATCATGTAGTTGGTATGGCTTGACTTTATTTTCAGCCCAACAAACATTAACCAGATTTTCCTTGTGGTGGTCTAGTTATCTCCAGCAGGCTCATGTTGTGTTTTCACAGTTTTTAAGGTTTTATTCAACAGTACTCTGAGCTGAGGTGAAAGAAAAAACAAAACCCCTTTCATTTGCAAGCTCAGAGAGAGAGTACACTCAAAGGACAGCATCTTTATGCACAAGAGGTGGGATTCACTCACCACTGAAAATACCAGTTTCTAAAAGTACCAGCTTTCGTCTTTAAGGGCACTTCTTTGAGCCAGTGTATCTTATGAAATCGAAATGTATTATAAAAAGCAAAGCAGAAACATGAATCATGTCTTCACTTAATCCAATCAAACAAGTATTCTACTGTGAACATTCTAGACGGTTAGATGTGCCTTAACAGGGAGTTGGTAGAAGCTGTAGGAAGTCTGAGAATGAAACTGAACGCACCTCAGGGCCTGACTGGTGACCATCAGGTGGGACTCTGTCATCCGGAAGATGTTATGAATAGCCCGAGCAGCCAGTACTTGTCTCATCGCTTCGTAAATCACTTCCGTAGTGTTGTCTGTTTTGACTGCCATTGATCCCAAAAACCGAACTATAAACATCTGCTGCAAAAGAGAATCTGCAAGAGAGCATTTTCCGCTCAGGATCATGTTCACTTCCTGCCTGCCGACCCATGTACAAGAGGCACGCGTTCTGCTCTGAAGACAGGCCAGCTTCAGATTCTCCTTGCCTTCTGGAGGGCTTTCTAAAGCCAAAACTTCTCAGTACTCTGATTATGTAAACCACAAACCGCCAAAGCTCTGAATCTTCTACTGTCTATATTTTGTTTGGAACTATTCCTTAGACTAGAAAAGCACCTCTTTTTCTTCATCTATAAAATTAAACCAGATGAATGTCCTTCTAGTACTAAAACTCTAGGTGACCACATGTAAAAGAAAGTGTATCATCTTCCTTTTGTCTGAAAATGAGCTTTTCCAGGTAACAGAATATTCATTCATTACTTTGGCCTGCTGATAAAATCCTCTTATAGAAGAAAATTTATTTGAAGAAAGTAAGACCTGATGTTGGATCTCACTCAATTTATGCACATCATTTATTACTGAAGGGCAGTGATGACATTCCATAAACTCTGGGAGATCTCACACTGTTAACTTATTTGATGCTAATGAGCTTACAGTATTTGCTTCTTGATAATGACACACAGCCAGACAAACTGAGTAACAGCGATCACAATTGGAAAATCATGAAGAAGGTTTGGAAGATCTTTTTTTCTGTAAGAACAACAGTTCTCCTTTCTACCATTTGAAAGTAAGCAGCCTACATTTTCTTCACTTTTCTTCCCTATTAGTATCCTAGCCCCTAAAAAATAACTAAATGGTTAAAAAACAAATTAGGAAAACATAACTGACATGTTATAAATGGTTACTCCCATATGAAGATACTTTTTACAAGTTTGATGTTTTCTGTATAGACTGGTAACAAAGTGTGGACTGTGTGAAAAGTCAGCTAGAGAGTCATATCTGAGGCAGAGCCTATTTAATAACATCATTTTTCCTTTTTCTGCCTAAAGCTGTGAGAAATGCCTCTTCACAACTCCTACTTTTAAATTTAAATAAGTGGCATTTCATTCTAATGACATTATGTGGCTTCAGTCAGGAAGCTGTGTTAAAACAAAAGGCCTTGCCAGCACTTCTGAACTGTCCTGGCTGGGAGCTGCAGCTCTGTGGAGTAGCAGGTTATGGTTAGCTCTATTGGGTGTGTTCTTGTGTACCTTACAAGAATGTAAATCAGACAACAACAATCTGAGTTGCAATGAATTAAAACACCTTTTATCCCCCCCCCCCATCTTTCATATCATCTTCAAATTTAAGAATGAGTTTTTGTGCTTTTATTTTTCTAAAATGAAACAGCCTATTTATGACGCACCTGGATTTTACCCTCTTGGAGTTTGTTTTGCAGTAATGTGATAGCAGATTTAGATTCGGCTACATTGCTCTGCAGGAGCTACAAAAAGGTTATGGATGTGGCTAAATGGTATGATGCTTGCAGAGAATGTGTCAGCCACCCCTCAGTTTCTACGCTAGACCTGTCCTAACATGACTTCACATCTTACTTCAAGGGCCCTGATAATTCTGTGCTGGGGAAAGAAAAAACACACAAAACAAGCCACTTACCTTCTGCTTCTGGAAATGTCGCATCCTCAGTTTCACCAAAGGGATTGGTACGCCTAGGGGGACAGCCAGAGTCAAAACAATCCCAAGGGCTTCAGTTCAAACAACACTTAACACCTGAACTCTATGCCAGACTTTGGGGAGGGGGGGTGGGCGGGGGGGAAAGACATTCTCCCAGAGATAACCCCCTCTTTTTAGCCCATACCTGCCTCCTCTGTTCTGATCAAGGAATTCTGTAGCGGGAAGTACAATGTCAAACTGAATAGGTGTTCCAGGTGCAATTAGTTGTTCGGCTTCCGGTATAATGACTGTTGCTTTTGGCACTATCTTGTCATTTTCCATCTCTGAACTTTTCATGTTCTGGCTAGAGTACAAAGTTGGAAAAAAAATTTTTAAATGCCTCTTGACCTTAAGTTTTTACAATCAAATGAATACATGTTGAATGCCTATGTGACTTTTACAGGTAGATAAAGGAGAAGATCTAACTTACTCTACCAATAAATCTTTTAAGATGTCATTCACATCTGTGGTTAAAATTCATCAGATATTCCTATTACCTACAGCTGGTTCTGTGCATGACATTCCACATGATGCTAGACTGCTGCTTATATTACCTATTAATTTCCTGTATCTTTCTCTCTTTAAGAAAGGTTTTTGAGGGCAGGAGCTGTAGCTAAATCATATTTAGTGCTTGGTACCCAGTAGGCACTCACAAATGTTTGCTGGATGAATACTACATTTTGGCCTGGCGGTCACACCCTGGCCGTCCTTCCTCCTGAGGGCTCCCTCTCCCCCGCCCAGCGCACCCTCCACTGTGCTCCTCCTGCCGACTCTGCCTCAGTTCCACTGCTCACCCTCTCCTGCACGGCAAACATCAGCTCAGAGCGCCCTCCGTACACCAGGCCTTTCAAGCCAGCCTGACCCTCTCCCTCTGCAGTCCTGTGGTGGTTCTCCGGGAGGCAGGAGGGTAGTCGTGGACCTCCGTGTGCCTCTGGGGCTTAGCACTGGACCCACACATGCTGTCTGGAGATTGTGGCCACTGTCTGAACAGTGATTCACCCTGTCTGTCCTCTTCCAGTGTCAGCATGCTGTAATTTAACCTTTCCTATGTTTATAATCTTTTCTCCTCAGGCCCTAAATTGGTCTCCTCTTTATTCTTTATGACAGCATTCTTATTTTTACCATAATAGTGCTTTCCTGTATTTTAACTTATTTACCTCTTGCCTGTCTTCCCTTACAAGTCTTTAAGTTTCATGCCCTAGCTCATTGCCTGGCCACATACTGGACATTTAACAAACATGTGTTGAACAACAGGATAAATGAATGAATATTAGATATAAGTAACTGCAGAATGAGTGAAGGCCACACGAGATTTGCTTGGAAGTGAACAGCAATTTGTCCCCAAGAACACAGTTTCTCTGCTTCATCCCCTCACTGTCATCAGAACATTTCTTTATCCTTAATGAGATGACCCCGCCCCTCCACTGCTCAGAGGCCACCTGGCAGCCATGTGTCACCCTGCCAGTCTCTGGGCTGATTCAGCCAGCTGGCTAGTCATTTTTTCCTAGGGATTCTTCTATGGAGTCCTTTCTAAGAATGTAGTTTACATATTATAGAACAGAAGAGAAAAATCAGTTACTGAATCTGAGCTGCAAACTGTTTTTTCAGAAAGCCAATCACACCTAATTACTAACAATAACTGAACTTTGGCACCCCAGAAAGTGTTTTAAGAGTGGGAAGAGGCCTCGGAGATGGTCTAATTCATTTCATGTCAGAGTCGGGACAGAGGCCTGGAGTGTTGATGACTCACTCAGGGACATCCATCTGTGTTCAGAGCAGAGCTGTTGGTAAGACCACATCTCCTAACTCCAGTCTAGGGCGTGTTCTCCACTCTGTCCCCCTCACACTCTTGTCCCCTCACACTTGCATGGCTTTACAAAGAGAGGACACTGGCCCAATCCGAGGCTCAGAGAGGAGCCCCACTGGCTGGATCTGGATTTCCATTTCCATTCATAAAGTGCTTTCCTTAAAGCTGCACTTGATAAGCATGCTACCTGTGTGTAAGCTGGTATCCTTAAATTAGGGCACTGGAGTGTTCTCAAGACTTGCCTCTTCCTCCTTTTCATTCCCTTGGCTCAGGTTCTCCTCACAAGACAACGCATGGGGCCCTCTGCCCTTCTCCTCTCCCACCACACCCACTCTCTCCTAGGAAGGGCCACCAAGCAGCCTGGCCACGCCGTTCCGACTGCCCCACCTTCTCAGAGCCTGCCGCTGCCATTCTTTCACGGTTGGACTCAACCTGTCTTCTGTTTCATCGAGCGCTCTTCCTCCTCCCGTCCCCGTGCTGGGTGTGTGAACACTGGCTCCACACTCACCAGATTGAGACCCTGGCAAGTTACTTAACCACTCTGCGCCTTCTGACAACTGTCTGCCGGAATCACTGGACAACAGCCGTAAAACACGTAACGGGATTCTTCTTCCCATGCCACTGAAGATGGGTGCCTGATACACTCATGATTTAACTCACCTTTTGATACCACGCTTTCATCAGCGTAACAGATAAATCGGCCTTCTATTATTTAACCAGTGGAAAATCCCATTTAGATAAAGGGTGGCGTTCCTAGAATAAATCCTAATGCAGCATTCAAAACAACAGGATAGCTGTCCATGTGAAAATGCTCACTATAAATGACAACAGCAAGTAAAGGAAGGGAAGACAACCAATGTACTCAGACAATAATAATAATTGATGGAATACTGTGGAGTTAAAGGAACAATTATGAAAAAAGTAAAAATATGAAAAATATGTATGTGAAACATGCACATACGAAAATACCACTGTATGTGCTGATAAGGCCTACAGCTGTAACATGGACACACAAAAGGTGATTTTCTTCCTTATTTTAAAAAATTTTGTTCTGGGTCCGTAACTCTGCTGATACTGATACGAATGTGGGTAGAACTCCCGAGTAGCAGACATGCTGGTCGGTGCAGGTGCCATTTGCTCAGGCTGTAGCCACACAGACCCGGGGGAGGCGGCTGATGTTGAAAGCAGGCAGCTTGGAATCCTGGCTTGGCCCCCCATCTGTGGTGTGACGCTGAGCGAAGTGTTTACCCTTTCCTGGTCAGTTACTGTTTCTGTAGAACAGGGCTGGACTGGGAGGTCTGGAAGCATGAAATTTCTAGTACATGTTAAATTCCTAATACACAGTTTGGCTCCAAAAAGCTACTTTTCTTTGTCCTTTAGTTACCTGGGGCATGGACTTTCTTGTTTTTTTGCAAAGCTTGTAACTGGAGTCACTGCTTGGAGAGCCGTCTGATTCAACTTGATGGCGACCGCCTAAAAATCCACAGGAAGACACACTCAGGTCCAGGAGGTGGATGCTTACCTTTCACACTGAGAAAAGTGCTGAGATGCAGGCAGGGTGGCTGTGAATTACCTCTGGGTTGTCAGTCAGGTAGATCTGTCTGGAGATGTTGTTTATTGCACATATCCACTGCAGACGACATTAAAAAAAAAATCCTGCTGAATCCCAAAGTCACCCACCATACCTCAACAGAATGAAACAAATGAAATCTTTACCTCTTCATTTTCCTTTCTGCTTTCTGCCTGGAGGATTATTCCCCTGAAATAAAGTACATCTAAGTAAGTGCCTCCCAGATCTCTGTGACTGGGACATACTTCCCTCTCCTGGGCCTCAGGTTTCCCATCTCTACAATGAAGCAGCTGGACTCAGACCTGCTAGCCCAAGGTTATGATTCTGCAGCATGGACCATCTTGTGGCCCTGCGTAGATGATCCAAGGTGGCCAAAACTGTGGCCTCACCACTCCTCTAGCCACACCCAAAGAAGAACCAGCAGCCATTCCACACCTTCCTAAAACTGAATAGCTGCATGCCATGGGCCGGGAGTAAGACACAAGTCATACTGCCCTACCTCCATAAAGGCTTCACTCCTCAAGGGACTCCACACCTGCCAGTTCGTGTGTTCCTCATCTCATCTCTGGGAGCTGGGCAACATGGATCATATCCCTATTTCTTACCTCAGCGAAGTGAAGCCCAGAGGAGTTACGTAACTGCCTGGGACTGTGGCTAGAATCCAGAATCTTCATTCCCAAGTCATTCCCCAACACCCAGGGAGGAAGGATGTCTAAATATGCTCTGCCATTCTGGGAGAAGAGACGGTCTACACCATACAACACTGCCCCGCCCCTGAGAACGTCAGTTCAGAAGCCCAGTGGAGAAGGGAAATGTAAGCAGAGCAGCTCTGAGCACAGGGCCGCTCCTCCCCACAAGCAGGTGAGGCCTGGAGCACTTCACGGACTCCACGGAGCAGTTTCAGGCCAATGCTCTAAATGAGAGGGGATCCTGCCTGGACAGGGTCTACTGTGAGGATACGAGCCTGCCACTGCGTAAGTGTGTGGTCTCTTCTGGGCCTAAGGTGCACAGCAGTATGTGGGGACAGCGGGTTAACGAAATGACACTGCTGCAGCCGAACGTCCTGCTCACATCAGCTGGGTCAGCTGGAGGAGTGGACTCCTCAGGCAGGCACCCACTTTCCCCTTCAGCTGCACAGCCAACCCCCATGGTGCAGACACAAAGGCTTGTCTAGTAACAGGAAGAGCCTGGCACCACCCCTCTCTCTGAGTTGCTACTGATCAATAGCTCCTTCCATTGCTCTCTACACATGTAGGTCACCCCTTCTCCAAAGTCACAGACAAGTCCTGCCTGGGACTTCTTTTTTTTGGCTGCCTGGCATGCAGGATCTTAGTTCCCTGAACATGGATCCAACCTGCACCCCCAGCAGTGTAATAAGCATGGAGTCTTAACCACTGGACCTCCAGGGAAGTCTTCTCCCTGGGACTTCTTATATAAGGCAGGCTGGACTCTATATGGTCCTGTGTCCTTGGTTAATTAAAGAGAACATAAAACCAGCCTCTGCAAAGGTCGACATCACTCAGAGCGGGGCCTCCCCCAAGGAGGGCCAGCTCGCAGAGTGACCTAGGAGGCCCTCGCAGAGGCGGACTCTGCCCACTCCTCCCGCAGGAGCCCATGTGGCCTACGCTTTTCCATTGGGAGTGGTGATCTGGAAGCAGTATCGCCGGTCCTCACAGTCCACCGCCATCACAGAGCAGTTGTCCAGGTCCTGGATCAGGCCCCCGGCCACGGCGCCCCGGGGCTGGCACATGAGATTCCCGCCTTGGGTGAAGAAGTAGAGTCTCTCCCAGGTGGTGGAGACCAGCCCTGTTTTACTGTGAAAATTGAATTGTGAAAAGCCCGTGAGCGCTAGGAAGCATGAACAGCACCTCAAGGGTCTTGCTGCCTCTTTATGGATATTGGTAGTGTTTTAGAAACAATGGGTTTCTTGACATTAAAGCAAAAGTGCTTTGAAAAGAATTCAAGTGCAAAGACTAGCAGGGGAGGGACCCTGCGGCCTGAACAAGTGGGGAGAAGACAGGCTCTGCTGGTCCCAGGGCCCGCTCCAGGATGTGTGCGGGGAAACTGCAGGCACCTACGCCACTGCAGCCAGACTGCTGCTCAGCCCAGGGTCAGCCATCGGACACTGAAAACCTGGACGACCACTTCTCTTAAGACTCAGAGCTGAACTACTCGAAATCTAGTTATAGAGTTACCAGGGTCACCTTAGCCCACAGCACATACCCCAGAATCCTGGGTGCTTTTTATCAGACTAGGTTTTGTTCCAGCTTAGGTGTTTTTCTTGTTTTGTGGGCTGTTTACAAGAGGAAAATCCAGTTCCTGGCCAGTAACACCAGAACCTTGTGGCGTTTTCTGTACAGAACTAAAGGAGATGTGTGGCTTGTGATCTTGACAAGCTTTACAGACTCTCGAAGAGCTCTACCCTGGAAGGAAAACAGCTGGCTATTCCTCTTCATACACCCTCCATTTGGGGGGCATCGAATACATTTACTTCATTCCGTGTGTACGGAGTGGTGACTATGTATGGGGCACAGGTTTCCTGCCTCAGTAATTACAATTTCCAAAAATGGTAACAGCTAACATTGGAGTGCTTGTACCTGCTAGGAATTACCTCAGGTAATCTTTATAACAATTTTATGATGTAGGTTCAGTTTTCAGCTCTATTTGACAAATGAAGTGACTGGGGGCCCGGCCAAGCCAGGGTGTCTGACCAGGGGGAGTTCACCACTGCACCTGCTCTGCTCTCAGGCACAGGTACACCTGAGTGTCTCTTTAATTTGAAATGGGCAATTGGAAGACCTGAAGGTTGAATATGAGACTCTGAAAGGTTCCCTGCCCTCAGACTCTGGCCTCAGTGCTGGGCCACTGGCACACTGCTCTCACCCGCTGGGGGTCTGGGGAAGGGTCTCAGTGGTCTAGGACGATGACCGGTAGGAGCTGTCTACCTACAGACAGCCCTGGAGAGCAGGAGGGGGTGGCCTGTGGTGTCCTGGAGTCTTACTGAGTCTTACTGGGTGAGTCTCCTGGGTTCTCACTCACACGACTGTTTCAAGCCCATCTCTCGGCACAGTTTGGGACCTGGCCCAGGTCCTATGTCCCAGGCAGGAGGGGAGCCTGCTGGGAGCTCTTCCCCAGCCTCACACACCCCCACCCTTTGATGGGGCACTTAACAGGTGCTCTTCAGCCACTGCTAGGGAACACAGCTTTCAGGAGGAGGCAAGCAGAGCGCTCTTACTTTCTAAGATTAAGGTAACCGGCCTTCTGGATAAGGTTCCTGTTGATCTGGGGCGCAGCCACATCGAAGTCTGGGGTGTAAACAGCTTCATCCAGAGAAAGTAATTCTTGCTGGGATGCCCTCATCTTCTCTGCTTCCACTTCTAGTTCCACCTGAATGCTTGGGACAGAAGGTGTCAGGTCAGCTGCTTGTCACAGCAGACGGCAGCGCCTCCCCATGGCTTCCTGCCTCACGCAGGGTACACAAGGCTCCACCCGAGGCACTGAAAGGCCACAGGGACTCCAGTCTGCGTTACCCCAAGTGTTAATAGGACTGCTGCTTCCAAACAGGGCGTAACCGGGCGAGGCCTGAATCCAGGTAAGCGGTTACTCTGCCCACACAGCGGTGTCCAGGCTCAGAACCACCAGTGCGAGCTTGAGAAGGCAAGCCCATCCTCGGGAGCCACAGGTGCTGGCAGCTGCGGAAGTGCCGGAGAGGCGAGAAGGAGATGGCCGTCTCATGCACCCACCTGCCCGCTATCTAGGCAGGAGTGGAGGCGCAAACACAAAGGCAAGGCCAATGCTTCTGCCTTGTGTGATAGCTACTCAACTGCTATTGAGTTGAGATGGCACGGGCTGGCGGGCCAGTTTGCCCATGGTCTGGCTTTCATTTCCTTGTGCCCTGAAGTGTGGAAAACCTGGAAGCTTTACCTTGAAATAAACAGCTGCCCTTTCTCCCCCTCAACAGCTACCTCACCCAGTGAGGACAGCCTGGGTTATAAAGTCTTAAACACAATCTGCCAGGATGGTCCCTCCGCCCAAGAAAACAAACTCTGGAGGCACTGTTCCACGTCCCCGCTGCGGTAGGGAGGCAGGACTGAACTCCAGTGTTGGTTTCAGAAGGAAGCCTGGGGGCCAGTGAGTCCAGGGTTTTAGAGTGAGCTCCTCAGCATTTCCTTTCAAAAGCGTTCTGCAGGTGAGTGAGCTCGGGCTTGGTCATTCCATGTTCCCCTCTCAGAGGTTCACAGTGTCTACTGCCCGGGTCTTGTTTAATGTTGCCCTGATACAAGCAGTCAATCTGAGTTAATTTTGGCTATTGAGACATTTGAATGGAATGCCTGGGGCTCCACCAATGAACCTCATTAGTTTAACCTGCCTGTCACTGCCAAGGCTGAGAGAAAGAAATGAGGGAAAAAAAATTAAGCAGTAAGGACGTAGAAAGAGGAAGCCAAACATATACAGAACCTCGTAGGCTCATCAGCTTTTGTGAGAAGCCTCTGAAGATCTCATGAAAGGTAAGTACGCTTTCCCCCAGAAAAGCCCTCATGTGAACCAACACAACATCGTGCGCACATCTGCAGGGAGCTTTTAGTAACTGCCCCCTCCCCTCCCCACCCATGTGGACTCAGGCTCAAAAACTCTGCGCTAACGCAGGAATTCAGAGAACAGGGTAGAAGGGTCACCATCTTCATATGTTCCCTTCAAAGTTTTTTGTTTTTTACAAAATCATGTTTTATTTAATTAAAAAGTGTGTGAGAGAAGGAACCAAGAAAAAAGGCTGAAGTGTTATCACTTGGAGTAGGGATTAAACGCAAAGCCCCTGGCACCAGGGGTGGTTTGAAATACCACCCATTTGGGTTCAGGCTGGGCTCTGAATCCTCTCACACCTGGATGGGAGGCCAGGCGTCCATCTCCCGGGGAAGCACTGCAGAGCCCAGAGCCACCATGAGGCACTGTTCCTCGGCCTCTCAGGTGGGCTGGCTGCTGACATACGGCAGTGCAGCAGTAAGACCCCTCCCGGTGGGGTGGCGGGGGGCAGCAGTATTTATCTACTCACCAGAAGAAAACATAAGGGACAGGAAAATGAAAATTCTTAACTGAATGCTTTCACTGTTTGAACCAGGAGGTTCTGGGGCTCCCGGGTTCAGCTGGGAACCCCACCTACTGCCTCTGTAGCAAAATGCCTCATCAGGCAGCAGAAACATAACGCAACTCACAAAAGTAGACCCAGCCCTTGGGAGCAAGCTGTGTGGCCAGGGCCCAGTCACTAGACTGTGGGAACAGCTGGTGCCCTGGTGACGGTTCAGAGAGAGGCTGACAAGGAGAGAGGACGCGAGCACTGCAGCATGCCGGAAACGGGCACAAATGTCCTGCCATGCGTTAATACAAAAATCTAGTCCATGAGAAAACCCTGAAGCACAAATAATTCTCGCAGAGACACAGGAAACCAGGGGATTCTGAGAGTTAAGGCAGGATGAGAGAGGTGGCGAAGAGATAAGGGAGAGAGCATTTTGCAGTGAGAAGTTAATGGGCTCCCTATTTTCACTTTCTCCTGACACTCCCAGGGGCTCACAATCAAATTACAAGGCAGGAAACTGAATTCAGATTTCACAAGCTGCTTTCCAACATAATTATAAATTTATCCTGCATCCAGAAATTGGGCGGGGGTGGGGAGGGAACAGCTCAGGGACTTTCACGAAGGAATATATGCTTTCCTAAACCACAATTCTCCTTGTGTTGCCCAAATAAATTCTGCTTCTTGGCCTTTTAAAGATACTTTGAAATGCTATGTCCTCAAGAAAATGAATAACTTTCACTTTTCCACACAAAATAAGATCCTATACTTATATTTCTATTTTTTACACTGACTTATCAGTTATACATCTATATATAGAGAGACAACATTTCTATATTCCAGCAATCGTGAGGGGTGCTCGAGGAACTGCGCGTCTGTGCTGTTAATGAAATAAGCCTGGTGTTGGCGGTGCTTGGGTGCCTTCCATGAGCTTACTACCAGGGACACTGATGGCAGGAAGCAAGGAGACTCCGAGCAGCTGCAGCCTCAATTGAACGTGGGCAGGACGGTCTACATTTGTAAGGCTGAACTGCAGTTTGTTAAATGAATTTTAAAAAGGCTTAATGTCTTATTTATCTATTTGTCATTCACAAATGATGCCAAGTTTCCTGAAAAGCTGCAGCACTTCTGGCTGATAACCCCATTAGTTCTCAAGAGAAAAAAGCAAGCATCTCTTCTAAACTGAACTTGCTAGCTTATAATATGAAACTTGAGTATTAACAAAAGAAGATCTTAAGAAGAGGAACTTGGACTTAATGGGAAAGTACCCTTGTGGATGTCTTAATTTTTATTTACAATTTGTAGTAGATAGGACTCTGGCTCCATACAAGTCAAGAACAGCAGATATCATGACTTTCCAAGCACTACTACTCACAAAGAGCACAGCGAAGAGATGGGTGCTGTCTCTGAGCATTTACTGAGTGGAGGTGTTCGGGGTGGGGGGCTCTGTGGGGCCCTCCCTCCACCTTGCAGAAAGACTGACCCAGGAGAAAAGACAAAAGGCAAAGGAGACTCAAACCAGAGCACAGCATTACCTTTGAACCATGTCTGCGACGGAGGATAAGAAGCCATCCATACTCTGGGAAAACATCTCTGCTCCCTTCTTAAAAAAGTTAATCTGAAAGATACAATTATCACATTCTGAAAACTGTCTGGGAAAGGTGATTGATAAAACTCATGAAATGTGAGCTTGACAGCACCAGGGCGGAAGACACTAGCGGGCCCTCCTGCCCACAGCACTGGCTGCCTTCTAGCTGAGCCCCACCTCACCAGCTGAGAGTCACTCCCAAAGCCCTCAGTGTGTCGGCAGAGCGAGGGGGGTGAAGCCTGCCAACTCGCCGAAAGGCTGTGAAGACCAGAGGTGGTGTAAGTGCTTGGTGCATACTCCCCTCATCAGTAACTACTACTGATAATTATTTAGATATTATCATCCACCTTTTTCCTGTGTGAATTTAAGAGTCATTTCTTCAGGGCCAGTATTAGGTCTTATTCACCTCTGAACCTCCAGCAGCTACCGCGGTGAAATGCACAGCACCAGCAAGAAGCAGAGAGGCAGTGTGCAGCTCTCAGTGAGGGGCAGGCCACACTGACCGCCCTGCTCACTGAGCCACATGTGGCTCCGAACAGGCCGGACAGACGGTGACCTGGCTGCCAGCTTGCAGGGGGAAAATGAGGCTGAGGATCCTGAAAAGGCCCTTCCAACTCTGACATCAACTTAAAGGGGATCGTGCATGAGAAGGACACAGCAGGGCTGTGGCACTGCATGGGTGCTGGACCCTGGGGGCGGGGCCCTCCTGCTCCCCTACATTCTGATCTGGAAGCAGGTCTTGCCTGGGTGGTGGGCATGGAAATCGACCTCTCACCTCGAGGAGGCTAGGAGGTGTCATTGGTACAGTCTGGCATCCTTATGCCTGGCCCCCCAGACGCCCTGGGGAGGTACATACACCAGTGTACTTAGCTCTCATGGCACAGAATCACAATGCTCGGGGTATTCCTAACGCAAGGGATACCTGCAGGGAGATGCCCTGGCTCCATGATCTCGGACCCATACAGAGATCAACATTGTAAATGCCACTCTGAGTCCCAGAAATGTTAAACTAATCAGTCTGTTAAATGAGCATTCCACATTTCTGAGGGCACAGCATGAAGGTGGTTTTCCTCTGCTTTCCCTCCCTGAACTCCTTGGAATTGATACTCTAAGTCCATACCTCAGCTCCTCTACTATTCCATAAATGCCGAGGGAGGCTCATGCAATTCTTAAAAAAAACCTGACGGAGGAAGGCATTCGCCACTGGCTTCTACAACCACATGATGTACAACTCACCCTGTAAATACAACATTTTTTGTGTTCTCATGTGCCTGTACACAGATGACAAAACCTCAATCTGTAGGCAGGCATCAAGCCTGAATCATGGCTTAACTGGAAACCTGTTTACTGAGGGCCAGAGAAGGAAAACATGGAGTCAAACCATCCCCACTAAAGTGAGTGGTGCTCATCTGGGGCAACGTCATCTGAAGACCTCAGTTCGTGGCCCTTTGTGAACAACAGAAGTACTGTGGTCATGTGACCATCCATACCAAAGCAGGTGCTCTGTGGGCAGTAGGTACACAGGGCTGATGAGGCAGGAGGACAGCAAATGCTTCAGAATCATCCAAAGATTCAGTGTCAGATAACAACCTCGTTTACAGGAAGGAACTATAGTTTTTATCAGAATTAAAAAGTCTGCAGGGTGAGACTTTCATCCAGCCTTCTGTCTTGAAATCTGCATACTTTTCATATAAAAAATGAAACATGCCATCCTCAGTCCTCCAAAATGATGCTGCCACCACCCAAGAAGGATGGCGTGTGCTGCTCTGCGTTCCTAGGTGAGAGGGCTACACCAGCGCTACTGCACCCGATGTCTTGTCTTCCCCTCCATGGCCAGGTTGGGAGACGTGCTGGAATCCTTGCCGGTGAGAGCCAGTGAAACCAGCCAGTATCAAACCCATCCTTCAGGCCTTGTGAGGACCCTCCTCTGACCAACGCAGCTCCCCAAGCACTGACCCGTCAGGCCTGGAGCTGTTCATCTTTCTGAGATGCTGAGTCCAGGTCCTTCCCTGACTCGGGGCCTCTAACTGAGAAGGAATTACTGCTCCAAAGGCAAGAACTGCTAATCAAGGAGGTCAGATGTAAGAAGAGGTATCAGTCAGAGAGAGCAGAGAGTCCTGGCATTGTGTAACTATGCCAGGACAAGGGCAGGGGCAGAGGGGCAGTATTTAGCAGAAGAGGGGAGGGCAGCATGGTGTGAGTATACACTAGTAGACACACGTGCCCCTTCCGAGGAAGCTGGGCAGCGCCCAAGGATTTGCTGAGGATTGGAGCCCACAGCTGGACAGCGCCAGTTTTTGGTTTAATCCAGCTTTACTCAGCTGACACACAGATTATATTGCTCTAGTTAAATATTACCTCCGAAGACATAAGCTGACCTTACTGTCCCCACCACTTAACAATGTAACAAACGTATTGAGAAGATAGCTGAGCTTAAATGTTCAAAGGTTCTCTCTTATTCTTTTTGTATGAAACGAATATTTTATTTTTTTGGAAGTATATGTATTTTTAAAGTGTATTTTAAACATAATAGATGCTCACATGTGGGGTTTTTTTAAAGTTGCTTTTTTTCTTCTCAATGTTTTGCTTCCTCACATTCCCTTCTGTCCCTAGAAGGTTAACTGAGAGGATTCCCAGGTGTGTTTCTCACGTGCCCAAGTGAGGTTTTGGAGCTAAGCTAAGTGGGGCAAATGCAGGGCAGGGGTGGAGGGTGAAGGCTGGTGCCCCAGGTCAAGGCCCCATCCTGAAACTGTAGCCTCCCTGCAGACAGTGTTCAGCAGCCCGTGAAGTGGGAGGAAGAAGCTGGATCAGTATTCTACAGAGACTTCAGCAGGCAGTGGCAACGTTTCCCCATGCCCCAGAAGCCAAGGTGCTGGCAATAACCTCAGCAAGGTTATCTTGTGAGAAGAGCCCTTCCCACACAGAATACAAAGGAACATGCAGAGTCTTGGGTTGCAGGCCCAGCTCCACCAATCTGGGAGTCAGAGGCTTCTCAGAAAATTGAACGAGGCCTGGCTTTCATTGGAATCAGACACAAAGGCCACGCCGGCTCCTCCCCACAGGAGTCCTGGGAATGGGCCATTGTTTCCTGCACATACAGCCTAACAAGTCCAGCTACTGAGGACCCAGCCCCTCTGGAAGCTCTCCAAGTGCTGCACCTAGTAGCTTCCAGGAAGGCTGTGCACCTGTGTTTCTTTCTCTGATGATGCTTCCATGTCTCCTAGGGGCTACGTCAGCAGAACACCATGCTGTTCTCCACAGCTGGTCAGGTCTGAGGCCTCAGGGCAGGGGGACTGGCCTACCTGTCCACGGGCGAAGCCCAGCATGGGCTCCATCATGGCCACACGCTTCCTGCACTGCAGCGCATTGAGGGCACAGTAATACTGAAGGGAGGAAAGGTGCTGTTTCCGCCGGGCCGCGGCCACCTCCTTCACGATTTCAGTCTTCACCTGGTGAAAAGGGGAAGCAAGACCAATGGCAAGCTGTCCAAAGCAAGAGGCAATTCTGTACAAGCTGGCAGCTTCAAAACATGTCTGTTTACTCATTAGAGCAATATTTGTGAAAAAAACATAAGGCTCTCTCTCAAGTTTTTAAAAAGTCAAGTCAAAAATACCAAAATTAATGGCATCTCAGTGTCTGGGAGGGTGAAGACAAGACTTTCTGCTGGCAGCACTACAAAGAACTGCAATCCTTTAGGGAGACAATATGGCAGCATGCAATCAAAGCCATAAACATTCTGGTTCACTCATGAGACTGTATTCCCAGGAAATCACGGAATGGAAGTAAAAGTTATATACCTGAAAGTATCTGATATTCTCTGTGTGTGTGTTAGTCATTTAGTTGTGACCAACTCCTTGTGACCCCATGGACTGTGGCCCACCAGGCTCCTCTGTCCATGGGATTCTCCAGGCAAGAATGCTGGAGTGGGTTGCCATTTCCTTCTCCAGGGGATCTTCTGGACCCAGGGACTGAACCCGGGTCTCCTGCAATGCAGGCAGATTCTTTACCATCTGAGCTAGAGGGAAGTCCCCAATATTGTCTATAGCAGCTAAGAAGCTAGAAAGCATGAGTTAAAAGAATCAGAGTCTACATCCAGGGCAAGGAGATCAAGTGCCTGAGTATGTATGAGCCAGATAATCATATGAGGTATCAAGCTTAAGTTAGAATCATTACATGATTATTATTTTACAATGGTTCCAAGTTCATGTTTAATAAACCAGTTGAAAAGCTAGAACAGAGAAGCAGAAGTCTACTTAAGAGATTCAGAATAAATATTTTTAAAAATCCATGTGTAGAAAAAAAAAAAAATTCATCAGGATACCCTCAATGCCACAAATTCATAACAGAAAAACATAAAAGGAGCTTAAATAAATGAAGTGAAAAATAACATGGAAGGTAGGTTTTCTTACCTTTTCATTCTCCTTTTTTTTAGGAAGCCTACTATATTTTGCCATTGAGAGGTCGTGTTCTAAAAATAAACAGATATTTTAGCACCCAGATGGGTTGAAAGGCAAGAACATTCATTCAGCATCTCTACCCACAGACAAACTAAACCCTCATACCAAGACCAGAGAAGATGCTTACCGCTGCTGGCGAGTCCGAAAAGATCCTTTAAAGTGCTTACTTCTGAATAAGAGAAAAGAATCATCTTAAAACAAAGAAAAAGAAAGTATGCCAACCCAGAGCTCTGTGCTTTCCCAGGAAAATAAAGATATGTACATGGAAGGGGAAAGTCTTCACTAGCACTCCCAGGTCCTGGTGACTGGGGACGCTTGCTTTAATGAAAAACATCTGAAGTGATCTAATATACTGTACTTGCAACAAGCCAACATCAATAAATGTTACCCCATGTAGGTGCCACACACATCATGTATAAAGACAGCTTAAAGTCTAAGACCAAAAAATCAAAGTCAATGTTAGACAGCAATGACTGTCCAAGGTTAAAAACTTAAAAGCATGGAGATATTTAAAAGGAAGCAACATTTTCTACAATTCTAAAATAATCCATTTTTACTTTATCAACAGAGAAAAGCATTTTCACATTTTCTATGTTGTTTTTTGTCTCAAAACTGCCTCCAGCTTACAAATTTCTCTTCACATTTTTGTTCTTTCTAATATGGGGGCTACTTTCTACCTTTCTATTCTTTAATTTTTCTTTCTTTCTCATCTTTTACTTCCCATTGGAGCAGTTTTAGTCTTTTCCTTATCAATTTTAAATCACTTGCTTAAAAACTTTTGTATTATCTTCATTCAGATTATGTACTTATACTGGTGGGTAAGCAGGCTTCCCAGATAGTTCAGTGGTAAGGAACCCCCCTGCCAATGCAGGAGACCCAGGTTCAATCCCATGATTGGGAAGATCCCCAGAGGAGGAAATGGCAACCCACTCCAGTATTCTTGCCTGGGAAATGCCATGGACAGAGGAGCCTGGTGGGCTACAGTCCACGGAGTTGCTAAAGAGCTGGTATGACTCAAGGCAAACGCTTCAAATCTCTGTCTTGGTGTCATCTGAAAAGGATAACAACTTTTTTCATGGATACTAAGAAACTTCTCTTTTCAAAACTACTACTGGGTATTTTTATTCTCTTAAAATAAAAATTTACATCCTGGTAAATACCACTACTCCACAAATTGAGCCCTCTGGACTAACAAAAGCCACGTCATCAAGGCTGTGGGGCACTCTCAAGCTGAGGTTACCATCAACAAACCTGAGAAACATCAGTCTGACCATACAAGTCGTCAGGGGAAATTCTGTCTCCAAAAGACTTAGAGTTTGTTTTTTAAATGACACCCCTACACGTTTCTAATATTTTCATTTAGAGAAAATCTTTTTTTAAAACGCACTCAATGAAGTTTTCAGTTACCACTGGATAAACAGCACACAACACAACTGTATTTAGGTCTGGGATTTATACGCGATTATAGATAAGCAACACTAAAAAACATAAAAAGTTCTGCTCAATGGAGATTTCTCTTTGAACAAGCTGACATACTATGTATTATTTTTTATTTATTAATTGTTACTGCTGCCAAACTGCTCTTGGGTAGAGTTTATGCCACTTCTGCCATTTCTCTGGTAGGCCTCAGGTGATATGATCACAGAGGATCTCAAAGTGAGGGGGAAGAAAGCTTCATATTTAAGATTTGGCCTTCCATGAACGGTATCTTTTCTGCCTAAAAAGAAAACTTTAAGGTGGTGTATTTTTAAAGAGGAAGTACTATCCTAAACAACAGATCTTTCAGTACTCAGGTTCAGACTTTCTGTTCTATAATTTTTTATATCAGTGTTGTAGAAAATACAATTCTTTACTCTCTGAGCAATGAATATTTTCAATGAAGTAAAAATGGACAAAAGGACTAGAAAATCCACATTCCCAAAAGTGATATCAACTAAGTTTTTTCAAGATTATGTTATATTTATTTTTTCACTACCTTCATTTCAAATGATATAAAATTATCCTAAAGTTTTATTTTAGTTGAAGAACCAAAATTAACCCAAAAGAGCAACTAGGTTCTCTGAACTAGTCACAGGTACTCCCTCCCACTAAATGAGCTCCACTGTTGTTGTTCACAGCTGTATCCCAGAATCGAGCACGGATACTGCTTGGTCTCTGCTGGGAGCTGGCACACAAGATCCCACCCATGACAAGGTCATGAGGGAGAAAAACTGACAGGCAAGGCGGATCAGGTTTTCAGGGGTTTCGAAAAGCTGCCCCCAGCGCTCACCTCAAAGATGGTATCTGTCTTTCTGATGCTTGCTTCAATAGACTACTCCCTAATTTCTGTGACACAGGCAGAAGGCCTTCCCCGATCTCTTTCCAAATAACAATCAATTTAGAACTTTCATCAATAAGTTTCCCAGGTGGTGGTATAAGATTATCCAGGATGAAAGGAGTGTTTCAATTTAAACTCCTTTGCTGACATTCTAGTTTGTTTAGCAAATGCGTTTATGCCCTTGGTACTAATATGCATGACTGCTCATAATACCCTAATCATAAAATAGCATAAAGAACCTGACCATATAAAGGCCCTAATAGACAGAGAGCCTTTTTTGGGGGTGGGGGAGTCCTATTAGAAAACATAAGAAAAATTATTCTAAAGGTGGTTATTGGGTTAACATTTGCTTGCTGTGTTTTTGTTCTTAATGTGCTAAGGTTGTGTTATGGAATCCATTCTTAATATAGTTATAGATCTAGAAAAATAAGAGCTTAGCCCTAGTGTGGTAACAATGAGATGGTTGTGAATTGTCACCCAGGAGTGCTAGGCAGAGGCTGCCTCACCAAAGTCGCAGAGTCAGTGTGGGGTAAACTTCTTAGATAAACTCAACTGACAACTTCTGCAGAAGGATTAATTTTTATGTTAACAAGGTTATACTTCTACTCTGTATTGTTGCCCTATGAGACTGCTACCTTTCAGTTAAGGTCACCACAGAAACAGAAAATAGGTTTACATTCACCTGACCTGCATAAAATGTTAATGGGCCCCAAGGCCGAAAGATAATGTACAAGACCCTCATAAACAAAGAAGTATGCAGAAAACACCCTGGTTTTGTGAAGAACAAGCTGATGTAATGTTAAACTATCTTCCCCTTAGAAATGTACTAACTTATGGTATAAAAACTATGGTAAAAAATAAAGCATTGCCAGACCCTGCAAACACCCCCATCTGGTCTCTCTCTCTCTCTCTGTCTGTCTCTGTTTGTTTCTGTCTGTCTGTCTGTCTGTCTGTCTGTCTCTCTCTCTCTCCCCACCTCGCAGACTTGGCCCCATCAAGGCTGGTCTCACGTGTCTTCTCTCGCCGACGCTGTTCATCCCGAGGGTACCCCCTGGATCCTGCTGAGGCTGGACCCTGGCAGGTCCCCCCCACTTTGACCTTTCCTCTTGAAGCTTCCCACTTACATTCCAAAGTATTCACTGGCTCCACAAGAACAGCATGCCTTTAACAAACACCCCCAACATGAGTTTGGGCAAACTCCGGGAGATAGTGAAGGACACGGAAGCCTGGCATGCTGTACTTCATGGGGTCACAAACATTGGACATGACTCAGCGACTGATCAACAACAACCTGTAATATGAGCCTTGTTATCTCTGTCTACTTGGTAAACATTTATTTATCAAAACCCAGCTCAGAGATCATCTTCTTCTCTAGGAAGCCTTCCTTGGCACCCTACCCTCAAAAGGGTAATCACGCCTTTCTGTATGCTCTTTCTCTTCCCTGTACAGCTCTATCCTGCTGCCCTCATCACATTACAATTGTTTCCAACTCTGTTTTCTTATAACCTTTGACTTCCTTTAGGTGAGCAAAGAACACTGTGAGGATTTAATAAAAGCTGAAAAAGAGGGTATTTCTCAATGATCCACATACTTAAATAGTTGCAGAAAAAAAAATACTAAAAGAATTAATATTCTGAAAGTATATGGCATTGAACTCAGATACTTTACCTGTAAGATCCTTTTCTCGAAATTGTATAATTGGTAGAACCATTGTGTCTGCCAACTGTTTAGCCAGCTCTGTATGGAGAACATTAAGCTGAAAGAAACAGAAATCTATTGAAGAAAATTATACCTACTATTTCTGACACTGTCTTATTTCACCAAGCGATCACACCGAACACTTCCATGTGGTTAAAGAGCTCAGTTAGACTTCTTAGCAAATAAATTACCCTTCATAAAGCAGTAAATGACATAGGCTAAGAGGTATTAAAAACTAAAGGCAAGGTTCTAACTGACCAGAGCACCATTTAAGTTTGCTAAAGGAATTTCTGAGCCCATGGTTATTGTTTGTTTACTGTGCAAATTCTGGCTCTGTGTTCTTGATTTGAGCCACATGAAGCTAGAGAAGGAGAAAAGTTCTGATGTGTGGGCAGTAAGGTTAGCACTTTGCCAGGCCTCTGTGCGCATGTGCTCTCTCAGATGGGGCTGAGGTCATACCTTAAAGACTGGCCCACTGGGAACCTACCTACCCTGCAAGTGCAGGCACTGGGGACCTGGGAATTGCTCTGGAGAGAGAAAGCTCCCTGTGGAGACAACCCAGCCAGATTGCAGACCTTTCCAGGAGCAAGAAGGCTATATTCAGATATGCTCCTCCTCACCAGATAATTTTAACAGCTCTTTATTCTTTCCTCCCGTCCATCTCAAGGCCTTACTAAATCTTGTCTTTGTAAAAGGTATGCTGCTGCTGCTAAGTCGCTTCAGTTGTGTCCGATTCTGTGCGACCCCACAGACAGCAGCCCACCAGGCTCCCCCGTCCCTGGGATTCTCCAGGCAAGAACAGTGGAGTGGGTTGCCATTTCCTTCTCCAGTGCATGAAAGGGAAAAGTGAAAGTGAAGCCGCTCAGTCCTGTCCGACTCTTAGCGACCCCATGGACTGCAGCCCACCAGGCTCCTCCGTCCATGGGGTTTTCCAGGCAAGAGTGCTGGAGTGCGGTGCCATTGCCTTCTCCGGTAAAAGGTCTAGGGGAAATAAAAATCATCGCCACCAGCACTAGCTCTTTGGAGCACCTCATGTGCCACTGTGTGTGCCAGCTTTCTGTGCTTTTACATCACTTACTTCCCATCTACTCTGTCAGGTGGGCATTATTTATTATCCTCAGTTTTATAGGTGGGCAAATAAATCTCTAAATCTAGAGAGCAGATAAGTCGAACAGCTAGGATGTTAATCCCTGGCTACTGGGATCTAAAATTCATGCTCTTCTCAAAACAATCCCTAGGATACAGAGTTTGTCTTTCACGCTCACAAAGTGGCCAAAACATTAAACGTGTGGTAGTTGGTAATGAACACAGTGGAAGGCTCAGACTTCCAGATACTATGAGGATGCTCTGGGATTCCTGTTGGGTGTATAAGGAGCAATCACCCAGCGACTGTTTTTTTGGGTAAATGTTAGGCGAAGTTTCTTTCAGCAGTGATCAAAGTCACATGCCCGCATCCCCCTTTTGCACATAGATCTCCCAACAGATCTGGTCCTTCAGAGTCGGGCTTGCAGGGGCTGCTCTGATAAGATTAAAAACTGGCCTAAGGTCAACCATCTGTCAGGCAAGGGAGCAGCTGGCCAAACAGTCAATGTTCCCCTTATCTTTCAATCAAGCCGAAGAATGGCAGTTGTTTTCTTTTCTACCTGTGGGGGAACACATGAAGACAGCCATGCCAAAAAATGCATTAGGATAGAATGTGTTAACTACTTTTCCTGAATAACTGCAATCAGAAGTGTACCTTTTTTGTTTTAACTAACAGTTAATTAGATGAATTCAATGAATTCGCTCTGCATCGAATGCTCTAATTATTTAATCTTTATAACAGCTTGGCTAAGTGGACTATCCTGCTTCTGTCATTTACAGATGAAGAAAACCAAAACACAGAGAGGTTAAATGGTTTTCTTTCCAACGGTCATATACCTCAGGAATGGGAAATTTCCGAATTATTCATTTTCTTCCTAATTTCTTCTTAAGGATCAAGGGATCTATGTTGCCAACTCTTTCCTTTGGGACTTTGGGAGGTAAGGGATAATCACTTCCAAACACACCACCTCTGCTGAGAAGTGTGCAAAGAGCACAAACCACCTCTTGGCACGTCAGTATCATCACACAGAAAATGGGCATCCCAGCATGTCCCTTGCATGACTCTTTTGAGGATAAAACAATAACGTGAATAAGTAACACTCAGAGCAGGGGCCTGACACACACTGGGCAATGGAATCAATAATGTCAAAACTTTCCTGTCTCAGATGCACTAAAAATAAGTCATCTAGAAACCTTGCTTTTGGTGAAATCATCCAGGATAAAAATCTCTATATGCCTATAATATCAAAGATCTGAATCCAACACATCCTATTAAATATAAGTGACACAAATCTCTACTTTTAGTAAGATTTTTCAATTTCTGAGTCAAATTACTTCTTTTGAAAAATTGTCAACCTGATATAGACCCAGGTAGAGAAAACTACCTCAAAAGTCACGCTCCACTTCCCACCAGAGTTAACTGCTTTTACTGGCTTAAGTCTTGACATCAAGAGGCTTGTGTGAAAAGTCACAGTGCTAAGCTTCCAGGAGGCTATGATACTGCCTATAAAAATCACACTTCCAAGCTTCCATCCTTTTGAAATGATCACTCCCCACTGAAAGAATCATCACTGACGAGTAAGTTCATGAAAAGATGCTCAACATCACTAATTGTTAGAGAGATGCAAATGAAAACTACAATGAGGTATAATAAATGCTGGACAGGTTGTGGAGAAAAGAGAAAGCTCCTATACTGTTGGTTGGAATGTAAACCAGAGCAGCTACTATGGAAATCATATGGTAACACTTATATATGGAATTTTAAATATGATACAAATGAGCTTATTTACAAAACAGAAACAGACTCACAGACATAGAAAGCAAAGTTAAAGTTATCAAAGAGGAAAAGGTGTGGAAGAATAAGTTAGGAGTTTGAGATTAGCAGATATAAACTACTACATATAAAATAAACAACAAGGTCCTACTATGGAATCACAACTCTATTCACTATTGTGTAAGAAACTATAATGGAAAGGAAGATGAAAGAAAAAATATATATCTCAATCACTTTGCTGCATACCAGAAACTAACACTGAAAAATCAACTATGTTTCAATAAAAATCAATTCATTAAATTAAAAAAAAAAATCATCATTCCTCCCCAGGAAAATATAGTCATGAGTAAAGATCTTAAAGTAGAAATCCTAATTTAGGATTTCTAATCCTAATCCACATTTCCTTAGCAACTCTCTTTTGGTCAAGAAAACATAACTTCAGTGAGTGGACTACTGCTTCTCCCCCTGGGTTATTCATTAACTGTTAATTAAGAAAAATTCTTCTCACCTTCAACAAAATTACTTGTTCAGTTCAGTTCAGTTCAGTTCAGTCACTCAGTCGTGTCTGACTCTTTGCAACCCCATGAACTGCAGCACGCCAGGCCTCCCTGTCCATCACCAACTCCTGGAGTCCACCCAAACCCATGTCCATTGAGTCGATGATGCCATCCAACCATCTCATCCTCTGTCGTCCCTTTCTCCTCCCGCCCTCAATCTTTCCCAGCATCAGAGTCTTTTCAAATGAGTCAGCTCTTCGCATCAGGTGGCCAAAGTATTGGAGTTTCAGCTTCAACATCAGTCCTTCCAGTGAACACCCAGGACTGATCTCCTTTAGGATGAACTGGCTGGATCTCCTTGAAGTCCAAGGGACTCTCAAGAGTCTTCTCCAACACCACAGTTCAAAAGCATCAATTCTTCGGCGCTCAGCTTTCTTTACAGTCCAACTCTCACATCCATACATGACCACTGGAAAAACCATAGCCTTGACTAGATGGACCTTTGTTGGCAAAGTAATGTCTCTGCTTTTTAATATGCTGTCTAGGTTGGTCATAACTTTTCTTCCAAGGAGTAAGCGTCTTTTAATTTCATGGCTGCAATCACCATCTGCAGTGATTTTGGAGCCCAGAAAAATTAAGTCAGCCACTGTTTCCCCATCTATTTGCCATGAAGTGATGGGACCAGATGCCATGTTGTTAGTTTTCTGAATGTTGAGCTTTAAGCCAACTTTTTCACTCTCCTCTTTCACTTTCATCAAGAGGCTCTTTAGCTCTTCTTCACTTGTTGCTCTCCTCTAATTCCATTTTCCATTCATCTTCCTCCTCTTCTGGACTAGACATGCATCCATATTATTATACAAAGAGCCCCAGCAGTGGAACAGAGGACAAAGCTCACTACCAACTAGACAGTTTGTATCTACATCCCTAGTGCCTCGCACTGCATCTGCTAAATAGCAGGTGGTCAGTATCTGTTGACTGAATATCGACTTGGTGAACTGAATGAACAATTGGCACAAATTTACGTGAAGGTTAGTCTCTCATGTTATAAACTGAAGACAGTGTCACCCCCGCACCCATGGCCGCCAAGTGAGATGGCAGCTGTACACCGGCTTGTTTGCTTATCCCCTGAAGATATTCTATTGTAGGTGCTACAAGCGCCTTGAAAAACGAAGTCGTTTATGCTCATCTAATTTGGCAGAGGGTGCTGCCCAGCACCAGTAGCACCTGAGCTCTTAAGTTTTTTACAATTAGGATTTAGGCACTTTTCCTATACCAATACCTGCTTTTCACAAATATTTCAAATATATTATACAATAGAGCCATAAGAACAGTGGTCAGAATCTCTCTATAGTGGGTTGACTCACGCTCCCTGCAAGGTTATGTCTATACCATGTGAATTTTAGGGAAAAGGATCTTTGCAGATACAATAAAGGATCTCAAATAAGATCTGGGTTATCCAGGTGGGCCCTCAATCCACTGACAAGTGTTCTAGTAAGAAGCTAAGACACAGAGATGAAGAAAACATGCTGGTAGGGTAGGGAGAGAAGGCCACGTGAAGTCAGGGGTAGAGACTGGAGTGATGCTGCTGCAAGTCAAGGAACACCCAGAGTCACCAGAAGGTGGGAGAAGCAAGGACAGATTCTCCCCTGGATGCCCCAGAGGGAACGTGGTCCTGCCAACAACTTGATTTCATACTTGTGGCCTCCAGAACTGTGAGAGAATACATTTCCATTGTTTTAGGCCACCTATGTGTAACTTTATTATAGCAGCCCCGAGACACTAATTCTTCCTCCTTAGGAAACTGAATTCTTAGAAGTCTTAAATCTTTCAGTCTATTGCTTATATGTACCAAAGCCCCTCCCCTCAAGCCAAAATCAAACATAACCACACACAACCTCATTTATGAAATGAGCCTTGGAAGATAAAGTTGAGATACCTTCTCAGATATTTAAGTAGATATCTAAAAATAAAAAGTAAGCCGAAATAAAGATGAAAGAAAGTTCAAAAAAAGAATCAAATAAAAATCTGCTATGTATACCTATGGCTGATTCATGTTGATGTTTGGCAGAAACCAACACAATTCTGTAAAACCTTTATCCTTCAATCAAAAAAAAAAAAAAATTTTCCATGTTGCTATCTTACCTCATCCACCACTTTGGAAAAATAGTGGAGTGTAGAAATTACCTCTTCATCGCCTTTGCCAAGAGCAAAATTCTAAGACCAAAGAAAAAAAGTGCAAGGTGTTAGCTGAATGCCAGGGAATTCCACACTATAGCATCATCCCGCAAGACACTGCCCTCCACATCGACTTCCTCTCTTCCCAAGAGCACATGATATCAGAGTGTCTGACTGCAGAGAACCAGAGCTCTCCCTTGGTCTGTCCCAGCCACGCTGTCAACTGCCCTTCCCAGGCTATCCCGCTGGTGGTCATCACCCCCTGTCTCGATATAATGGTATCTTTCAGTTTATTGCCTGGAATTCTTAGTGCTAATGCACCTGTAGTCCCTCAAAAAATATGAACCCTCAGGGCAGTTGATTACTTTTGTAAACTAATTTTAAGCATACATAAGAATATATCATAAAGACTTTGGGATAATCATCAGTTAGAACTTATCAGTGGATAGGAAAAGGCAAGAAAAAAAAAAAATGGAACTGGCCTATGGAAAGAAACAAAGGAAAGAAGGAAGGTCTCTAAAGGATGCCCCTAGAAAATTCCTTTATAAGAACTCCACCTAGGACTCTCTTAAGACATTTGCCACATATATATCAGTTACCTGCTTTTCATATGCCAGCAGTTGCTTAGAAAGCTGTTGAGTAGCCAGGCACATTTCATTCTGTAGAGAAAAGAGAAAAGTAAGTAAGATTTGTCCAGTGCACACACACTGAAAATAATGCCACCTCAGAAAATCCCTTAAACATAATATGTATCTATGAAATAATACTTTGTTAATAAATTATTTGAAATACAAGACCAAAACAAAAATTTAGGAAAAAAAAGCTTTTCTCATACCCACCATTTATAAATCAGTGCTCCTTCTGGTCAGTCAGTAAACAAATGTAGTAAAACCACTAAAATGTGCCAAACATCCAACCAAGGTGTGGTCCCTGCCCTCACAGGGTTTGTTGGGGAAGAAGACGTTAAAAACTAGTTACAAGCATGATGAGACCCACAGAGGAAAGACTGGGTGCATTAGGAGGCTCTGACTGGAGGAGCTGGATGGTCTCTAATGAAGAGATGTTTTAAGCAGACAGATCCCTGGAGAAAGACCAGGAACTGGCCACAGGGATGAGCTTTCCAGGAGGGATGGGCGTGTAGAAAAGCACCCAGCATGTTTGAAAAGCTATAAAGCGGGGTGTAGCTGGTGCTTCGGAGAAGGCAATGGCACCCCACTCCAGTACTCTTGCCTGGAAAATCCCATGGACGGAGGAGCCTGGTAGGCTGCAGTCCATGGGGTCATGAAGAGTCAGACACAACTGAGCGGCTTCACTTTCACTTTCACGCATTGGAGAAGGAAATGGTAACCCACTCCAGTGTTCTTGCCTGGAGAATCCCAGGGACGGGGGAGCCTGGTGGGCTTCCATCTGTGGGGTCGCACCGAGTCGGACACGACTGAAGCGACTTAGCAGCAGCTGGAGCTTGGGGTACAGGGTGTGGAAGTGAGACAAGACTGGCAAGGCAGGCAGAGGGAGGGCATGCAGGACTCTGCAGCCCAGCTGTAAGCAGCATCACGACAGGACACATAGTCGGATTCTACCAAATCCACGGCACTAGGTCAGTGCTATCCACGGGTTATCACTGTGTTACCAATGATGGATGGTAACTCAGAAGCACAGCTGCAATGCCTGGGAAGGGCCCTTTCATACTGTTTTTCACTGGCAGACATGGTCCACTTTCATCTTGTTGTATTTCTCCCTCTAATCTCTGGCTACACAGCAGCTGTCTACCACTATCCTCCCACCATCAACACATCTGGCCTAGAAAATGTATCTTACATTTCTATAGCTCAGTTAAGGCTTCTCTCTAGGTTTGGGGTATACTCCTAAGAGAGGAACAGTGCCAGATGAGGGGAGGGTACTGGCCAGCCTTGACCTTCACTGCTGTTCTAATTCTCCTGGGTTTCTGTGCCTTAGGGGTGAAGGCCTGAGTTCTGCCAGGGCTTGTTTTATTTTTCATGGGCCTCCTTTGCAAGATCCATTAGAACCCAATCCTGTGGCTTTTTTGGCCTTCTTTGCAGATAACTGGTCAACCTGTTCCCCAATTTCCTTCATCTGTCCCAAGAAACAGCCATCAGTAGACCCTGAAACATGGTATGCTCTCTTCTCCCCCATAACAGAGTCAGGCAAACATAATGAGAATTCCTAGCTTTGGCATCCTACTTGGGTGCCACCACTTTGAAAACAAACTAGAACTGGCAGTCAGGTAGCCAAGAGGGAGGCAAGGAACAAATCCAGAAGCACTGTGTCCTGGATCTAGACAGGAATGTGCAACTGTTCTTGGCACAGAGAAGCGCTCCACAAGTGCGTGATGAATGGAGGAACAGAGAGGGTTAGAAGATTCACCTAAATTTCAAGTTTTTAAACAATACCTGGATCTAGACAGGAATGTGCAACTGTTCTTGGCACAGAGAAGCGCTCCACAAGTGCGTGATGAATGGAGGAACAGAGAGGGTTAGAAGATTCACCTAAATTTCAAGTTTTTAAACAATACCTGGGATCACAGCATAAGGGCAAAAATACTTCCTCATCGTATAAGGCAGCATCACAAACAAGTGGGGAACAGAGTACAGAGTGGACAGGGATGATGCAGTCAGCCAGGAGACAGTCTGCTGACCATCTTCAGCAGTGCTGTTCTGACGATCAGGGGGCAGGGAAACAAGGTCTGAGCCCATTCACTGAGCTGCTACTCTGCGGTATCAGAAAACCCCCGACTCCTCTTCTCTGAGTTCATGACAGTAGGTCTGAGATGGATCTGTTCAAGTCACCCCAGACAGCACAATGGAGACTATGATTTGCAGATCCACAGAATCATCCTAACCATAGCAGTGAACATCTACAGAGCACTTAATTCAAGCCAGATACCACACTAAGTGCATTCTTGGCATTGTGTCATTTCATTCTGACAACCCTGTAAGGCAAGTTCTAACTATTAACTTGATTTTACAGAAGAAGAGACATTAGGCCATCTGCCCAAGGTCACATAGCTAGTTAGTAGCAGGGCTGGGATATGAGTTCAGGTCTGTCTGAGTCTAAAACCCATGCTCTTAAACACTATTCTCTAAGATCCTAAGTCCTGCTAAGAGAAAAGATCTGAGAAGACCACTACTTTGGGCTAGAGATGACACACTTTTCCTATACAAGGCCAGATAGCAATTATTTTTGACTTATTGGACAGATGGTCTCTGCCATGACACAAAAGCAGCCATAAATAATTCATGGGCAAATGAGTGTGGCTTTGTTTCCAATAAAACTTTATTTACAAAAATAAGAGGCCAGTCCAAGGGCCATTAAGTGCTGGTCCTGTTTAGACAGTAAACGTCTCACAAGGCTGTCCTCTGCCTCACCTCCCTCAGGAGGCTCTCCATGAAGCCACAACCCTTCTAGAGTCAGGAACAGATTCTGCTCTTCTAGTCCATTCTTCTCTTTATTTTAGCTAAGTCTAAAATATTACTGCCCCATATCTGCCTCCTTAGAGACCAATCAACATGATAACCACACTTCTTGCTTTCATAACAAGCAAGGGCCACAGGCTGCTTGAATCCTTCTCTACCTCAGAAGGTCCTGGCAAGCACCCTCACATGTGGTGGAGATAGCTGCCAGGGAGCCACCGGCCCCCGACTGTGCCCAGGCCTGCGGGGGCGGGGGGGTGCACACGGGGAGGGGGTGGTGCACAGCCCCAGGGGCTCGGGGAGACGGGAGGGAGCCAGCAACGCACATGGCCGCTTCCAGAACTCCTGTGCACGCTGGCCTCTGCCAGGTCTCTACCAGAAATCGTTTCTGAAAATGCTGTGCGTCTCAGATGTGTGCGATTCCAGGGAGCAAGACTGTTCCACCAGCGTGACTCCACCAAGGACAAAAACAATACATGCTACAAAATGGCCTGTCACCTGCCCTGAAAGGAAATGAAACTCCCCTGTACAGAGCACACGATATGAAGTCTTTTTAAACTAGACCAACTTTAATCTTAACTCAGACTTAGTCTATTGTACACAAAGGTTTCATGAAATGCTTTATCAACATCAATTAATTTACCCACACCCTGTGAGGTAAGCCTGCCTAATTATCTCTGCAATAAGACCTGTAAAACTGGAACTTATGTGAAGAGTAAATATTAGCAGTAACAATAATAAAAGTAGCTGCTAATATTTACTGAGTCTTTTCTAGGTACCTGAATTGCTGTTACGCATTGTTTATATATAATCACATTTAATCCTTATAAGGCACTTACAATTTAGAGAATATCCTTATTCTCATACAAATGAGGAGAAAGGTTCTGTAACTATACAATTAGTACCCGGGACGGCAACAACTCAACTCAGATCTGTCAGACTCAAAATTTAAAGTGCAAGTTCTTAACAATATATTGGGTTGGCCAAAAAGTTCATTTATAAAACCCAAATGAACTTTTTGGCCAACCCAATACTATTCCTATCCAAAGTCCAAAACTGTACTTAGTTGTACTCTGTAGGCAGGTCTCATAGGGCCTATAAATATCAGCAGAAATTCTCTATTTTCCTAGCTGTAGTTCAGCAAAAGCAGTGGTCTAAAATGCAGACTCTATGAATAATGGAGTTCTGGGAGTAGCGTCCTTCAGCACTCTGGAATAGCTCTCTGGTTACTATCTACTCTATCAGATGTGTCATAAGAATCCTTAAGAGAGAACCTGATGAAGGGCTTACTGACAGAATGTTCTATTTTAAACAGCGCTTCGCAAGGCTGGTGTGGAGCAGAAAGACCACTGGTAGACAAACCCAGAAGGAAAACTGAGATTTGGACAAAGGACAGTTCACCTCACGGTGGCAGGGAGCACTCCCCAAGTGCAACTGTCACCTGAAGTGACCTGAAGGCCCCGGGCAAGGGAGGAGCGGCCAGGGCGGGGGCGGAGGAAGTCCACTGGTCACCGTCACAGCGAGGCTCTGCTTTCATCTCCACCACACATTTGGCCAGAAGCGCCGCCTGAAGTCAAGTGGTTGAGAGTCTCATTCATCACAGCACTACCCCCAAGCTGACGGGATCGGGAGCCCTGGCAGGAGCGCAGCAAGGAGAAAGGTTAGAGAACCCTGACGGGGGCAGGCCCTGAGGCGTACCCGCCGAGGACGCCACTCTGCAGGCACCAGGGAAGCCCTGAGGAGGACAGAGGTTAGCCCTGACGGGGGCAGGCCCTGAGGGGTACCCACCGAGGCCTCTGACAGTACTCTGCAGGCACCAGGGAAGCCCTGAGGTACCTGGGCAAGAGAATAACAAGGTCAGACATGAGCAGAATTTCCTAAGTGGCTGTGTTGCAAAAGAAACCTTGAAGGGAGAAAGAGGATGACATGAGGGTCAGGAGACCATTTGAAGCTGAGCGAGACAGAGAAAAGGCTGAAGCCAAGCCAGGAAGTAGAGAAGGTAGCAGAGATCTGCCTGGCATCGCCCAGGCAAAAACATCAGGCTTGAGTGAGTGGGGGAGGAGGAGCAGTCCAAGATGGCTGGACCCTAGACTGGCTGACCCACGACGGCAGTGCCCCAAGCTCCGGTGCTGATGGCGGGGCACAGGTCTGGAGGGACAATCAAGCACACATGGGGGTACGCAACATTCTAGTCAGTCCTTCACTTAACGCCTAGTTATCAAATGGTG